ACATCCCTGAAAGCCACGCGCTGATCTGTGGGGCCAAGCCTTGGACCTTTTCTTGATCCCTGTCACCACAACCCTCCGTGCCCTTTCCCCCTCCACTTCCAATCTCCCCTTGTTCGGTGGGTTGTGAGGTCGAAGTACGAAGTATTACGAAGGGGTGGATTTTGGGTATTCCTGGAGCACAGCTGCACACCCCTTCTTCACCCCTCATCCCCCCCGGTCCTCTTTGCCCCCAGTCCCCTCGAGAAGCACACATGGCAATGTCCACCCCTCTGACACGTCGGATGTTCCTTGATGTAATAGTTTGCTCCCCCTCCCAACCCACCAAGTCTAGGTATTATTAGGTCGGCATCTTTTTGGAAAATAAACAAATAATCGTCGGAGCCTGCTCTGGAGTAAACGCACGGTCTGTTAACGCAACAAGGCACAATTACGTGTGATACGGATCATTTCTTGTTAACCTCTCGGCCTTTACGCCGGTGCCCCTCGAGAGCTATGGTGTCCTTGCTCTCATCCCTCGTCGACACGAAATGGTTAGATGGTGGACGTCTTTAGAAATTGAACACTTCCAGCACCGGAGCTACAGGATGCGACAATATGACAACGTGGGCGAGGCGCCCAGTCCAAACACCCTTGTCTGTTCAGCCTCCGGTACCCAGGTACAAGGCCCTTCGTTTTACCTCCCAGCCATTCAATCCAGTGAAACATAGCGTGTCATTCTCCCTGGGCTTGTCAGGCAGGCTACAAGTATACTTGTCGGCGTGGCACAGCATCAACAGCATGGCAAAAGCCCGCACAGTGGTTCGTTATTTGGACACCGTATGATGGGTACATGAGACTTGAGATCAGAGCACGAGGGCCCTCAACCCACCGCCCAGAGGCTTGTGGCTGTCGCTGATGGGTTTCTGCATCTGCACCTCTGGCTCAGTCTGGCAATGTGTGGGGCTTCCTCCCTCAGATTCCCGTCCACCACGTCCCTGTCCTTGCAGGTTCCTTATCACTGCCCGCGAGCCCCTCTTTTTGGGTTCGTCCGCCGCCCCTCAAATTGATGAACAAGGACGCTCAACTTGGGACAGGCTGGATCCATGTTGGGAAGAAAATGCAATGGATGCGTGTGGGAACGGCATCAAGGATACCAGCGACCATGATACCCGCCAAGTTTCGTTGAGCCTCTTCTTCCCTACAGGGAAGCCTACAGGTCTTCTTCTCGCGGCGATTCGTCGTGCACTACCCGATATGTGGAAGGAACTGGCCTCGGACCCGATATGTGGCTTGAAGCTATTCCAAGGTGAAGGCTCTGGTGGTATTGTTGCCATGTGCTCAACGATCCACCCACCACACCTCCCTTCCACCCCTCTCCCGCCCCTCCCAATAACCCACTCCGAAATTGCGAGAATTAAGACGGCGCTCGTTTTTCGTTGGTCGGCCTTGGACTTGCGAATCCACCAGCGAATTTGTGGGTTGTTCCGGATAGGACTGATTCTGACTCTTGTTTCATTGTTCCCGCTCATGTCGCCCGCTGGCTTCCGTCAGCGCACGCTCGCATGGCTGGCCTCGATCGCTGTCAACTCTCATGCTTCGGGTAGATGTGATCGATTTGACGAGTCTTGAAGTGATGGACGTCATGTTTGACTGGTACGGTACAGCATCTACTTGTACCAAACAACTGGCTCGCACTTTCGAATCCACAATGACCACTTGTAGAGGTTCCGAAGAGGGGGTGGTGAACAAGGTGGGCTCTCGAATTGTGGTTGGGTCGAATTGAGGGGAATGTGAAGTTTCGCCTTCCTCCCGACCTTCCCTGCAGGCGTGGCCTGGTCCAAACCAAGTGGTCAAAGCCCATCGCGTCGCATTGATGGTGTCCTGGCGACTGTCCGCTCAAATACTCGCCAGGTCTTTTACTCTTCGCTATTCGTCCACACGCTGCGGGTGCAGGGGCACACCCGAAAGCAAGAGGCCCAGATCTTGGCGACTCTTCCCAAACACGAGTAGCCTCCATGACGGTGATGCTTGGCACCCACCTCGACTGACTTCTCGACCCCTCTTTTCGCGCAGAAAGTTTGTGCACCAGGATGCCTTGTCCATGGGTTCACATCAAACAAGGGAGGGAGGGGGTGTGGCTGTCTTCAACCTCTTTTTCTCCTTCCTCTTTTCCTTGTCTGTCTATCTTTTTTCTTTTCTTTCTTTTTGGCCTGGCTTCACCTTCCTGCCATGGCCCTTGCGGCTTGAGAATGTGTGTTGGATCTGGCTCCAAATCCCTTTCACTCTAGCTTGATCACTGAGTGTCCCGGCCCCTTGGGAGCCTGGGGGAGTAAGAGCCCGGGCTTCCCCTCCGTGGCCTGTCCCTCCACGAGCATCCACGTGCGCGGTGAAGGATTCATCCACAGGAATGGCTTGTGCCGATGAGCAGTTGATCCTCTCGCCCACCATGGATCGTGATGGCTGGAAAATATTCCGATGACTCCCTGGTCCATTCCAGGGACCTGAATCGGTCTTCGTTTCTCCTTCTCCGATCGCGATGGCTGGCCTGAACCACCTTTGGACAGGGACAATGATAGAAGCCAATTCCAAAACAGCAAGTGGATCACCACGTAGCCCCGCTGGACAAAGACGCCCCCCCCAGCCAAGCCTCCCAGCAGGGAGACTTGTCTCCTCGGCGAGGGTTGGCCCTCTTCCCCAAAATAAAATCTCGTCAACAGCGGAAAATAAAATCATTACAATATACTTGTGAACGGCCCCAAGCTTGCAAGGTGTTTGCGTGAGGTAGGCAATAGGCAGCCTGGCAAGCCTGGATGGGTGAGAGTCCCAAGGCAAGCTCGCACCGCCCCAGTGGTCAAGCTTGACAAATTGTCAAACATGGTCCCAAACCGATCTGGCTTTGAAGGAATGGAATAAATGACTTTTGGGAGTTGATGGCTGTTTGCTAACCACATCCTGGACCATTTTCGATAGAGCGGTCGACGGGGATAGCCACGTTTACTCGCCTTGTCTCTCGGGCTGGGTGGTAGGAGCCAGAGTGGGCTTGACGACTGACACCACGGCCGGCCCATTACCCTGACATCCTTCAATTTCTTCTTGAAAGGGCATCTGTCTCATTTACCTGGACCGCACGCCTTCTGTGGGGATTCTTTGCCCTTCTCCCGTCCTCATCGCCCCCTTTGGACTTGTGAGTGTGTGCTCGGTACAGTTCCCGTTCTTAACTGGGCACAATCCGAAGGAGACGCGAGTCAGATGTACCAGTACAAGGGAATTTCGGGAATCTCTCCACCACCAGCAGAACCTCGACTTGGGGACCAGGGGGAAAGAAGAGAACATTGAAAGAGAAAAAGAGGGGCCTGTTTGTCATCATTTAGTGCTCCACTTCCACATGTCTTCCCCATTCGGGGTTTCCCTCTTCTTCAGGAGCCATTCTGTCACTTCTCTCTCATAGTTGTACGAAACATGAATGACAGGAATTTCCCTCTGTTCCCTTCCGGCCTCTAAGTCGTCCACGCCCACAAGCGCCGCCTTTTCCAAAACGGGCCTGGGATGCTTGGGATTATTCAGATCATTGGCATTACCTCTCTTGGTACTCCTCCATGATATCTGTGAAGGTATCAATAAGAGAAAGAGTCCATAATCATCTAGGCAAAAAGGAAGTTCTGTAGATAGGTATTGTCGTCTAATTCCACCCAGTCCACGTGCTGAGCGACTTGTTTCCGGCTCCGGCCCTCTTGACTGGCGCTGAGCGTGGACTGGGTTGGGCTGGCAGGGCTGGCGAGTTGGGGGCAAAAGGAAAGAACATTGAAAATTCGGCACGCGTCCTTGTCGTAGTAATAGGTCAATCATACTGTCGAAATGATGGGTAAATCCTCCGCACTGCACGGGAAGGGGCAATGGAAGTTTCGATGGGGCAAGATGGGGGACCTGAAGGCCACTAGACTAAACGTTCCGTGTCCTGCCCTGTCCTTCCCCAGTGTGTTTCTGCAGTGCTGGAGCACTCGAGGAGTACCTTTGTTCGCCCACGCCCGCATCAATCAGTACACCTACACAACCTGATGTGGGGCTCTCCGTCTGCCTACCCTCCCCCTTTTTGCACCCACGCCCCCCTTCCCCTCCTTCGGGCGTGGCCACGCCGACACCCCCAAAATCTCCTCTAACCTTCGCCAGGCCCATTTTCTGAAATCAAATGGGTGCTCGATCCTCCACCTTTCGCTCAAACCCGCCCACTCTTCCTAACTCTTAGTGTCCTATCCTTTTGTCTCGTCCCCTAGCCACTTTTTCATGCCCTTTTTCTTATTCGCTGCAATTTGTATATGAGCGACCCCCATCCCGCCCTCGCCACGTTTTTTCTGACCCGAACCTTTCTTTTGGTGTTAGATGGAAGCTCTCCCCAATCGTCCCGTCCTCGAGATCACGGCGCTCACTCTCCTTCACGATCCCCAAACACCTCGCCCTCGACCTCGGGCCACCAGCACTCAAAGAGCAGCATCTACTCCACGCGACCCTCTCCTTCACCCTCATCCTCGGCGAGTTTGGAAAATTTGGCTTATGGTCCCGGATCGTCTTCCTTAATTGCACCCTCTCAGCCGGAACTTAGACTCGTGTCTGATACGCAATCGCAGCCCACCCGCCGGCACCACCAACCACAATCCAAATCCAAATCTTCTGGTCTTCTTGCCCTCGCCGGTCGGATTTCGCCCCTTCACGAGCCCGCTCTTCGACCTCGCCAATCCAACTCATCGCTGACACGCGCCATCCTGGCTGCCGACAACAGCTTCGGTGCCCCTCACAGCCCTAGCGAGCCTTCACCCACTTACCTGGGAATCGCGAACTCAGGTGCGCGGATTAGGCGATCTTCAAACCACTCGACTGCGTCAGGCTACTTCCCAAACTATAAGCTTGAAGCGCGGCGTTCCAGCCAGTCACTCGTCCTTCACAAGGATAACCCTCCTTCACAGCCTTATTCTACGACTGACCGAAACCAGCCTCCTCCGGTCCTGCTTTTAAATTCCGAAAGCAAGATGCATCAAACGTCATCGCGTCTCCTGAGGATGACGGACGACGACCGTCCGTTTACGAGGGTAAGCCAAGATAGGATCCCGTCTCCTATTCGCCCTCTTCTCTACCCTCGCGGGAGAAATAAAAGGCTAACCTCGTGAACATACATATCAGGATTTCAAAGATCTTTTCTCGACTCTTATTGTCAGCCTTCTTCCCCTGACAGCCCACAGGGTACGCTTGACCAAGGTTGAGCATACTTTTCTTTCTGAAGATGCCATCAACAATCTGGGCTCGTTGAAATTTTCTCAATCTAACCGCATGCCTGACCCCAAAGACCCCTCAAGGATTGTGACTACCACCACTACCACGACCTTTTCCATGGCTAAAGACATGGCTAGGGCTATTTGCCAGAGGTTTTTGGAGGCCCGTTTTATTGAGTCAGCGGATGGAAGGCTCCAACAGATCTACTCGCCCAAGGGCTCCGTATGGCAGCTTACGAGCAAGGGAATCACCATCCTCGACCGTTTCTGCGCAAGGAATGGGATCCAACAGAAACACGTTCAGGATCTGATTGGGAACAACGGCACGCAGTTGGTCATTCTTGAGAGGAATTTTAACACGGACAAGCTCGTCTCGGACAGGACCACAATCGAGGTCATTTTCAGGAGATTTATCGGCACCCACGGGCTCAACATCAAGTCCAGCACGAGCTCGGCGGACTCGGATTCGCTTAGCGATTACAGGGATGGTCTGACTGGTGTCAAGATGGCGAGCGAACGCAAGGTGAACGGCAAGACGTTCAAGGACACCTTTACGGGAAAAGCCGCGTGTGACTGGCTCATGGACTGCTGTACCACTGTAGACCGCCGGGAGCCTATCGAGATTGCGGGACTTTTTGTCCAGTTTGACTTGATGGAGACCATTGTTCAAGACCGTGCGTACATGGCGCAGTATCCTGCCGCCACTCAGTTCCAGCCCACCAAGCACTCCATCTACCAGCTTTCGAGCCGGGGCAAGGAGATATTCAACGGTAGCTCATCACGAGGAAGGTCGTCCGAGAGCGAGCCCGCCGTCCAGAACCGAAACGCCATTCCCCGCGACTCAAACACCCAGCGCTTGGACAAGATTCTGAGCGATCCTGCGCTGCGACTCCTATACCGGGAGAATTTGCGCGATACCCACTGCGAAGAAAACCTGTCTTTCTACGTCGACGTCGATGAGTTTGTGCAAGGATGCCGCATAGCTGTGCGTGCTGCCCAAAAGAACCCTAACAGCAGCTCCATGGATGGCATCAAAGAGATCATGGCGCAGGCTTATGGCATCTACAATGCCTTCCTAGCCCCGGGCTCGCCCTGCGAGCTTAACATCGACCATCAGCTACGAAACAATCTGGCGATGCGCATGACCAAGGCGGTTGGTCAGGACAACGCGATGATTGACACCCTGAAGGAGGTGACGACGCTCTTTGAAGAAGCCCAAAATGCCGTCTTCAAACTCATGGCTAGCGTAAGTTCTCGGTCTCCACCACACCCGTCTTGCCTTTGAACCGGGTTTCATCTCCCGGCGCGGGAACTTGAATTTTAGCTTGCGCCCTCATACTAACATCTACCCTGTAGGACTCTGTGCCCAAATTCCTCCGCAATCCCAAGTACGAGCCAACCCTAAAACAATACGATTTCGATGCGGTAGCAGGTGTGCGTGCTCCCGAGCGAAGCCTGAGTCGATCCAACCGCAGCTAGAAGGACACATGCGTTTTTGCTTGGCCAAGACTTGCATTTGCTTTACGTGTTCGCCCTACATTGCGTCTCCATCACATTTCGAGTTGTGATACCCGTCTTATTTATCAGATTTACTTTTTCAACCTTCCAACTGCATGGCAACCCATCCGCCCCTTCTAACCGTCGCTTCCCTCAGCCCCGCAATCACGAATGCGCGTGAGCCAACTCCTCGTTTTCAGCGAGAAAGGCACCGCCATCATGGCCACCTCCTTCAACCCTGCCAAACTCGTTTTACCGTCATTTAATTCTATAGAATTCATATCTTCTCAGCATGCATTGGGTACATAGGCTTGTTTCCAGGAGTCTCGGCAACCTGACTTTTCTTGCGCCTCTTCTTCGTCCGTCCTTCACCAGAGACCTCGCTCTACCGCCTTTGTCGCTTCTATCTCTCATTCTTCTCTTCCGTCTTCTTTTGTTTCAGTTTCTCCAACCGCTCTGGTTTACACTCGCGCGCATATCTCCCCTTGATCTGTCTCGTGCCTTTTCCTTGTTTTTATCTTCTCATCTTTCAAAAGCGCATTCCACAGAGCGAATGCCTCGGTAGTTGCCTCATACCAGTTCAAGTCTTAGCTCTCTTTTCTTTTTTTTTTTCCTTTTTCTTCTTGTCTCGGCGCCTGCCGTGTGTGCCCATTTCTCGAACTTGCTTACAGCTCTCGCATTTCGGACTGTTATGTATCTATCACTGCGATACAGCAAGCGTCCACAAAACCATCTTTGGTACTCTAATTCTTGTTGCCAATCAACCCATTTTTGGCCCATCCTCTTTTCTATGATTACCAAAACACTTCGTACAACATAGGGACTTGGGGGAAGAGGGAGCAGAAAATTCGAGTGGGCAGGACTACGGAACCCTCCAAGGCACTACAGAAAGGAAAACGGAGTGTGTGGGAACCGGGGAAATAAACATATATTGATAGGAAATTCCCTTCTCCTTTTTCGATTGCATTCACGTTAGTCCCTCAGTAATCATGTGGCCGAGTGAGGAGGATGTGTAGCAATCCTCAAAAGAGGTCTGACATTATCCAAGGCTTCTAGAATGGCCACCGCTTGAAGTATCAATACACGTAGATGATTAAGATCCTCTCCCAAAGGATTGATGGGTTATAGGTTAAATGTAGTAGGTCATATCTCATTTATATCTGGTAGCAATAGCCCCTTCACTCCACCTGCGAAAATTCGAACCCTCAGTACCATACATGTAGTCCCCAGGTACCGTGATAAAATGTTATCTAAAAAAACCCCCGTCTCCTCGACCGAGATGAATACAATGAATGAAAGTCATGAGAAAGTCAAGTGACATCACACTTGCCGCGACGCTGTCCATCTAGCGGAAGGACGTAGAAGGAAGAAGCAAAACATCCCTAATAGTACCAGTTCGTGGTGGATGGCCCCCTCAGGGTGGCGCCGACGGTCTCGAAGGGTAGTCGCTGCTGACTTTGTGAGGGCGGGATGATGATTGAGAGCGGGCGGCGCGGGCGACGAGCCAGTGGAGGACGGAGGCACATAAGGCGAGTAGGCCTTGGCCTTGGGGAGGTCCATGGCAGACCTGGGGCGCGTAGTAGGAAGGATCCCTAGGGCGCTGAGCCCCCAACAAGTCGAGCTCCGGTTCCTGGGCAGGGTACCTTCTTAGGTAGGAGGACCCTGACGATTTGGCCTCTGGCTCGAACGCGGAGTACCGGTTGGTGGGGCTGCCGTGGACTCCGTCCCGGGCTTAAACGCCGCATATGCCCTAGCGACGGGGGCTGGCAGGTGCTTTGTCGGTTCGTACGCGGCATAAGCCTTAGGGACAGGCGCCAGGGGCTTGCCTCGCGTTGTTGCTTTTGCTACTGTTGTGTAAGGGGGAGGATGCCTGAGTGATCTCAATCTCGACGGACGGAAAGTGTCCCGTATTCGCGTGCCCGAGGATGGGGGAGTCCCAGGAAGAGCTGTCATCCGAGTCATCAAAGGGATTTGCGGCGGCGATGTCGGAGTAGTCTTGTTCCTTGGCACGGGGGTACTTGCTAACGACGCTGATGGAGGGTTTGAGTGGCTGCCAAGCACTAAAGCGGGCCGAGGGGAAGGCCGAACGGCCTCCTCGTGTGGTGTGGTAGGATAGCAAGAGGCAGAGGTGGGACGGCGGCTGGGGCGGAGAGGAGATGGAAAGGCGCTATGAGGTCCGGAAGAGTTTGGGGAAACACTTCTTTCGAGAGTGGGAGAGGAAGCAAAGGGTGTGGCGGCAAGGTAAGGGGGAGGTTTGTCGTGAGGCGCGAGAGACTAGGGGAGCTGGAGTAATCGTCGCCGCTTTCTTCCCATCCGAGCTTGTAAAAGGTGATGGAGGCGGGGTCCACGGCGGAGTTGGTGGCGGCAGGGGCGGCGGCAGGGACGGCCTGGGAGTTGAGGCGGGTTATGCCGGCCTGTAATGGGGATAGTGTGTAGAGGTTGTGGTCGATGAGGAGGCCGAGGTCTTTGTCGTCCATGGATAAGCGGCGGGACGTTGCCGGAGAGGCTGTAAAACTAAAGGCAGGGCTAGCTGAACTCACCGGCTCGTAAGGAGGGGGTTTCCGCTGCACGCCGGCGGGGCGGAACCAGACCAGGAATGACCGGGAGAGGGGTTCGCAACACCCCTAGGATGTGCTACAGAGGGTGAGGCAGCGGCAGCGGCGATAGTATCGGCGGTGCGCTGCGCCTCAACCTTGACGGCCTCAACGAGTGAGGAGTGGGCCTTCTTGAGCGTCTTCTTCACGAAAGAGGCCATGAGGACGTTGCAGCGCATGTCGACGTCCTCGCGTACATACAGCCCAGTCTGCGGGGCGCCAAGGCCGAGCTCGACGGGCTCGCTGGGCTCTCCGGGGAGGGTGCCGCCAACAGTCCAGGTCTCGCGGATATTCAGGCCCATGGGAGCGTACACATGGGTCTGGACACCTCGAGACACATTGTTGAAGGCGGCAGTATAGGAAACCTGGCCGGTAACCTTGCCACCCGGCAGATAGGAGATGCTGTCCGTCAGAGAGTACCAGGAGCAGTGGTGCTCGTCGGGCGGGGCATTCGCGGGGCAGGATATGGGATGGCGGGCGATTACGAGAGGATTTAAATCGATCATCCGGAGGTGGTCCTGAAGAAAGGCGACGGCAATCTCTCGAGTGATGCCAGCCGGCAGCGGGGTGATGGTGGTGAAGACGGTGCGCTTCGACATATTTGCTGTTATTCGCTCCGGGGTTGCTTCTACCGGTTTCGATCCCGCGAGGTTTAAATATATATTTTTCAAAAAATATTCAACTCTTTTCTCGCTTCTTCCTGTCGTCGACTGTTAGCCCGGGAGAGCGACAGGAGACGGCTAAGAGAGTGGTGAAGAATTGAATGGTCGAATGTACTCGGTGGGATCACGATAGCACAAAGGGAGGCCGAAGGAAATCAGTTAGAGGAAGGTTGAGATTCCCGGCTGCGTCGTCAGCGCCTGGGATTGCCGTCCTCAATTGGAGACAGCACACGGACGGCTGACAGTTGGTTTGCTTTGGGGTTGTCGTCAAAAGGCGGGGTTCAATGCGATGCCACCACCTCGTGGGGAAACAAAACGAAGGGCGGGGTGGTCGCTCCTGATTCTCTCCCTCGTCTTCCCCTGCTGTTTATCTATACAGTATCGGTGGACTTTCGATAGGACCTTGGGATGGGCAAATGGGCGGGTAGCTAGTCGAGAGAGGAGGGTGCCGATCGTCTCTTATTAAAGCGGTAGCATGTACCACCTTGTTGGCCCCTAACAAAGGAAGGGTTGTTGAAGCTTGGAATGCTTGTGACGCTTGAAAGGTTGGCGGACGCGCGCGCGAATGCCGAGCTGCTACTAGGCTGTCGAGCTGAGGTTGGGTTTAAATGACGGAAGAGGAGGTTTCCGGACCCGGGTCGCACGAAGCCGAGAGAATCGAGCGAGGTATCATTAAATGAGGTGTGAATGGGCATCAAGTAATATTAGGGAATACGAGTACCGGTTTGCTGGGGTTTTCCTCATTGAAACAGAGCGAGGAAGACCGAAAGAAGCAGACGAAAGAACAAAGGCAAGCAATACGCACAATGAACTATTAAGATGCGAAGTCTATCGAAACTGCGGGAACAGAGGAGGAAAGCGCAAATGCCTGTGGTCGTACCTTCCCGTTCGTTATATACGAATATCTCGTACCCAAAGCCAATCGCTCCATTTGATCCCGCTCTTTCTCTTGCGTGTCAGATCCCGCGCACGCGATTCAAAGCGAGGGTCCATCCCGTTTGCGAGCGCGAGAGAAAGCCCTCGGGTGCTGCGGTTCCTTCTGTTCGCCTGTGCCACCACCAGACGTAACGGCGAGACAGGTCACAGCACAGAGATAGGAGAGAGAGAGAGAGAGAGAGAGAGAAAAGAGCCAGACCCGCCCGGCTGCGTGGGGACCCGAAGGGTGGGTCAAGGCTAAAATCATGGCTGAGCCGTGAGCAAAACCGCCTCTTTTAGCCCACCCTTTCTTCCAGACTTCCCGGGCAGTGTTTTTTAGACGCAGGCCCCCTTGAAGCGCGCGCCACTGACCAATGAATATTGTCCGTGAATGAGTACAGGCGCACGCACGAGGAAAAAGTGCCGCTGGGGTTGGCAGAGGGGGCTTGCTTATTCGTCGTCCCAGCCCTTTGGTCTCCAGGGATGAGTGCATAGCCTCAGCCCGACCTTTGTTTTTTGTGTGTGGGCGAGTTGGGCCGGCGAAGGAGGAAGCATCAACATGTCACCGCCCTCGACTCTCATGCAGAGACGAGACTGCCAAAAAGCGGCCCAAACGGCCTTTGCTTCTCGCCTATTCCCGCTTTCAATAATACATCCAGTATTTTTAAGCTGATCGTCGCTAGCCATCTCCCGAAATCTGTCGTCGGGCGCCACGATATTCCCGTTGCCAATACTCTGAATCAAAACGAGCAAGAGAGGATGTTCTCTCTTCCTGATGACACACTCTCCGCAGGTCCACAGATAGCGATTCACAGATAGCGATTCACAGCACATCATTTTTTTCTTTTTTTCCCTTTCATTTCCCCGTAGCCCTGTCCATGCAGTCATGTCAACAGAGACTCCGCCATGGCCTAGTGGAGCCTCTCCCCTAACTTCCTTGATACCATTTTTGAGTGTACAAATCCTTTGAATGCCGGACGGCAAACCCCAAGCTTTCGTCGAGCCCATCGTCGAGGGTCAAGTTAAGAGGCAAAGGAAAAAGAGAAACAAAAGGGAGAAGCATGCTAGTATTATCTTGTGACTTGTCTATACTGTTTAGATGCCAATGCCGTGATCATGACACATAACATGACGCATAATGTAGAATACATGGATGAGATGATGCGACAGAAAACCCAAGGAGAGAAGCAAAGCAAGAAAAGAGAGAAAGAAGAGAACGAAATGACCAAATGCACACTCGAGCCGCCGACCAATATCGTAGCATCAAATCTCCTTGCACCATCTTGCCAGGACTACGCTCAGCTTCACCGACGCCGCGATCTCCGGCAGAGACACGTCCACCACCCACATCTTGGCCTCGAGCCCGCCCGCGCCCTTGCCGCCTCCGAGTCCTGCTGGCACTAGCAAGCTCGCATCGATGAGCCGTTCCCAGCTCGTCGCCGCCACCCCGCGTCCCCACACCCGCACCCCGCCCCCGACAGCTAGCATGCCCGCGCTCGCCGACTGCACCCGTTGCCGTCCCATGAGCGAGCTATATTCGTCGTACGCCATGGCAAAGTTGACCGCGTCCGTATGTGCTATGATGTCCAGTCGCGCCGCCGCGATCAGCAGGCCTAGGTCGAGGTCCGAAAGCGACCGCAGCAGGTGCAACTTCGACATTGGTGCCGCCAGCGCGGCCACCGACGCCGCCCTCGGGATCTGAAGCCCAACGTTGGACGGTGAGAGCGCAGCGAGCGGCAGCACGCACAGGCCAAGGAACCCCATGACCGACTTGGAGAGGTAGTACTGGCCCAAGAGGAGCAGCTTGAACGCTTCTTGCTTGTACAGCCGCTACATGTTTCCGTAAATGTCTGGTTAGCGCTTTGCCCACAACCTCTCTTGTCTCGCTATCCAGAAACTCGGGACGGGGTCAAATCCGATAAATACTTACGTCAATCTTCTTGGCCCAATACTCCATGAATTCGTCGAACCCCTCGAGTTCCGTGTCCATGCCTTCTTCCGCCGCGTCGTCCTTGTCTACCACTAGACCCTGCCGACACACCTCCCAGAAGCCCGTCAGGCTGCGGGCCGGGGCCACGTAGACGAACCTGTGGCTGAACCGACTCTTGACGCGCTTCTCCAGCATCTCCACCACGTCGACGCGTGACGTGCAGCCCAGCACCGCGATCGGGGCTTTGCGTGCCTGGGCAATGTCGAACAGGTTGTACAAAAGCGTTTGGCGAGGATGGTAGGCAAACTGGTCAAACTCATCGATGACAAAGATGACCGCCTGGGAGATGAGGCCCTCGTCCTCACCCGTGATTTCCGACGGATGTGAAAGAAGCGCAAGGAGAGACATCATCGTGTCGGCATAGCTCGTCTGTAGTAGGAATTGGTTAGCCCGCCTGTATAATCCTCCCCTCTTCTGTCGCCCACGACAGCACAAAAGTGCATGCTCTTGCCGTGTTGCCATCGCGGCGTGACGCATCTGCGGCCGTCTTGTATCAAACTTACCCGGTGAACAATGTCGTCATCCACCTCCATCTCCTTTCCGAGCTGCCGCCAGGTGTCCCTAATCGCAAGCTTGTCGTCCGTGTGGATAAAACCGTTCAGCCGCACAACGTGGAAATCACCGGGGTGTTTCTTCCCCATGTCCGCGATGACTTTCTCGATGACCTGCCACCAGTGACTAGTTAGAAGGCCAAGAGGCTAGCCTCGCTTGACGTAGAAGGGTTCAAACCACTTACAGTTGTTTTGCCCACCCCCTGCTTCCAATGAGGAGCATTGAATTGCCCTCCCCAGATGTAATCGTCTGTTCCACTATGTCACCAACCTTGCCATATGCCTCATCCAGCCCTGTTAGCCTTAGCCGCCTTTGCCCCGTGCATCTATCCATGAGTATGCGCTGGAGTGCCGGAAGGTGCTTGTCGAGATTAGGAATATCGGGTGCGTCGGCGGGCACAGGCACCACGTTGATGGCAGCGGACGAGGCAGCCTTCTGCGGCGTCTTGGAAATATCTTCCTGCGAGCAGTTCTTGCAGAGCCAGTCGCCCTCGGGAATACTGGGAACGTTGTGGCACTTTTGATGGTATCCGAGGTCGCAGTTATCGCAGAATATGATTTCGTTGGGTGCCTTGGAGTCAGGCTTCAAGCAGATCTCGCACACCTCGTCGTCCTCTTCCTCTTCCTGCGGCTCCTCTTCTTTCCCCTTCCCTATCTCGGCCGTCGCATCGACTTCTTTCTCGAGTCCCCGGAGTTTGGGTGTCGCCTTGGACTTGGTCGTCGGCAAATCCTCGAAAAAGATCTCCACGTCCTTTCTCCCCTTATCGAGTCCAAACGCAACGCTTTTTCGACGTCGTGGTGTGTCATCGTTCCCTTTCCTCGACGGCGTCAGGATGCTCTTGAGAGGGCTTGTCTGTGCGCCGTTGGCGAGGCCGGTCTTGCCCAGCCGGCCACGACTCGGTGTTCCGCTCAACTGCTCCCGCTCAAGTGTCTTTTGTTCTTGCTCCCGGGGGTCGCCCAGGGCCTCGTTTCTTCTCGGTCGTAGGCTTGCTGGGGGTTTCGTCAAGCTGCGTGACGCCGTAAGGATCAACATCGTCCACGTCCATCAGGTCCGCCGTCGCGGCGCCCCTTGCAGTCCGCTTCTTCGATGTCGGCGTCGTATTTTGAGAACCAGCCGTCTTCCTACTCGCTTTCCTCGGCATCGTCTTTTCTGTCGTTATTGTCGCAGCCGCCGTGGTCTCTCCATCCGAACCGGGAAAGTCGTACACACTTTTCCCCTTTTCGCCAAGAATCGAGGGGCGCGGCCGGCCCCTTTTGGCTGGCATGGTAGCCGCTTTGGTGGGGCTTTCGTCTTTGGAGTCGGCTCTAAGGTTCTCCTGTGACTGCGACTCCTTCACCTTCTTCTGGCCCCTGGCCAAGGAGATGGCATCAGAGAGCGCCGCCATAAAGGACCGCCTGCCGCCTCGACCGCGGCCCGTCTCCGACCCGTTTGTCTCCGTGGCCGCTGCTTCGCCATCGTCGAGCTTGCGCTTCTTGGTAGCCGATCCTGGTGTCGAAGCATTGCTGACTGACGATTGCCTGCCGCGCTTTCGTCTCACGGATCCTCCGTTCTCGTCCATGGCGCCGGTTGGGGGCCGTCGGATTTCGTCGGGTGTTACTCAACGAGGACAGTCGCCATAAAGAAAATAGGTGCTGAGGTGATTGGAGGATAGGGCCACCAAACTGGGGAAAATCCGACTAGGTGGAGATAAACACGAACTCGTGAAGAATAGGTCGAGGTCTTATGGGGATTCCGTTCAAGGAGAAAGGTGGGTGTCCCCTCGACCACTTTGGCCACAAAATTCAATGGTTGCGGTTCATCCATTGGCTCGACGCGCAACGCGGCATCCAAAGTGCTTTTCGCTGGCTGACAACCGCCGACGTCGTACAGTGTTAATTGGCAACATATTGTTATTCACACGGGTCGAACGAGACGCAGCGATGAAGGCGAGCAGGATACAGGAGGCTCAGTTAGCCTGCGCGTAGGGTCTCAGAATCTTAGAGAAATCCATCATTACTCTCAAAGAAAGGCTACTAAAAAGGGCTTTGGAATATGAGTCGGATTCTGATCGTTGATCTATAGCACGTCTATACTGGTTTGATATGCGGCACGGCCTTTCAAAATAGGAGGAGACACTGGGGGAGTCAAGGGTAAAAAGAAGAAGAAAAAAACAACTAGGCAAATCAAGAATATGTCCACTGAATGATTCTCAGAACTCTATGTCCAAAAAGAAATAGAAAAAAACGGGTTACTCCCACCCGAGATGCCCTTGCCTTTAAACGCCTGAGTGTGATGGTTTTGGGAAGAAAAAAAACAGAAATGATAGATACCAGGTAGGTTGGAAAATGCGAAAAAATGAAGAACAAGAACCCGCTGCAGACCACCGGTCTATGTCCTATCGAGGAAGAAGAGGCTCTAAATGCCCATCCATCCCTTTGCCCTCTCGTAAACGTAGAAGCTTACCGCCACCATAGGTATCACCTTGACGTAGCCAATCGTCAGGCCGACGAAGAAGCCTCGAACACCCTTCTCCCGCATAATGAGGGAAGCCGTCTCTCCGATGCGCATCCTGTGGCCGTCTCCAACCACGCCACCGACCTGCATCCGACGTCGAATAATCTCTATGGGGTATGACACAGTCTGGGATATCATGCCCGCTAAACCACCGGCGGTAAGCTCCGCCCACGAGCGGAGAGGTGCCGCCTTGCCCTTGGGGAGTTCTTTCGGCTAGGGAGGGTTGTCCACTGAGCTACCGAGGGATGCCTAAATAGATCACCAACAGTATCGTGCGTCAAGAACGACATACCCGCGTAGGGAACCATGCCGAGCATCGTGGGGGCGAAGCCTCGGTAAAAGTTTAGGAAACTTCCTTTAGACGTAGCAGCCTTGATAGCAGACCCCGACGACCCCGGTTGGGCCACAGCCTGGGTGGGAGTCTCGTTGTATATCTGCCTAGTTATCGATGCAAACGAGCTTCCACCTACTCGCCTTGTCTCGAAAGCCATGCGGACTCTGATGAGGTCGAGCGGGTAAGTGCACATGACGGATGTGGCACCAGCAAGAGATCCGCTGAGGAAGCGGCGAAACGGTGTCTCTTCACCTTTATGGGTAATAACAACGCTACGAATCTGCTCGTATGCTAGGAACTTGATGGCTGCATAAGGAAAAATTCTCAGAAGAGTCGCCGAGTGGCCTCGAAAGAGTCCTGTTGGTCCGTCGTGGTGGTATATGTCTCGCAACGTCGCCGCAACGCCCGCCCACGAACCCGAGTATTTTGCGTACGTGGGATTGCTGGCCTGGAACAGAATCTTGACTCGGTCGAGAGGTGCAACGATCGTTTTGGCCTATAGTACGAAATAGATGTAACATATTAGCACCTAGAAGAGTATAGCAGAGTTTGTAAATGGCCGCCGAGCCGACAGCCCAGAGGCAAGAGAGGAAAGAAAAATAAAAGCGCCATACCGCACAGCCCGCCAGACCACCTGCAACACCCGAGCGCCAGGCGTAGTTCAGCGTGCGTGTCTGCTTCCGCAGCTCGACCGTATCGTCCCCGGGAGCGGGTACGGAGGGTGCCTTCTTCGTCATGGTGAGGGACGCCTCATAGTTTTGCCGTTGCTGCTGTTGTTGTTGGGGTTGTTGCTGCTGCTGCTGTTGCTGCTGCTGTTGCTGTGGTGTTATCGACATTGGGGCATTCTCCATGCTAGCGGGAGGCATTCCGGCGCCTCCCCGATCCCCGACCGAGATGCTGCAGGCTCAAGCGGGACGGTAATGGGATGACGATCAGCGCACCTCTACTCGTCGTCGTTCCAAAGCAAAGGGAGGTATTGAGAGACGAGCCTGTTGCTTCGCGATAGAATCGTGTGGGGCCGAACAAAAGGAGGGGAGTCGGGGAAGGAGAAAGATTTGGAGGGGACCCCCTTAGTGGAAAATGTATTTCTCTTTGGCTGGACAGACGCTTGGGATTCCAAAATGCGGGAAGGACCAGCGATAAGGGAAGAATTTCCGGCTTACGAGAGGCATTCAGTGAGACGTCATTCAAGCGCATTTTCCTCAGCGTCTATTGGCTAGCTCTCCGTCTGTCCGGGGTCTCCGCAACGCTCATTGCTCCATCTCTCCCATGCCGAGGATTGCCGAATAACAATTGATTTTTTTCTGTTTTCCCCGCCAGCGTCGGTGACTGGAGGCACTAATCCGGGCTATTCCCCCATCGTGACCTAGGGCTCAGGGGAGGACCTAGTCACCAGGGCCTCGCGTGACCTAGCCTACCTCGTCCTCTGAATCAGAGAGGCCCCCACCAAGGAGACGCAGAGACGCAAATACCACCCCAATAGACGCATGGGAATTAATGGAAGAGCCAGGACTGAGTGCGACGGACCTGGGTTTCCGCGGCGCCCCGCCCTCGTCTATCCTTTTGAGAACGCCGTCAAGTCAGTCGTGTGTCTCGACCTGCCAAGATCAATTGAGGAAGCGCAAGCCCCGCGCAACAAGACTACTCGTCGGAGGTTGATTTCCGCCCCCGCTCTCCTTGCCCCGTTTCCAACCCCGGCACCAAAGCATGCCGCCAATCAGTCCGCCGTCGCCTCGCCGGCCGCGCAGCTTTCCCAACTCATGACCTGCGCTGCCGCCGAGTCTGCACTCCGGGATTTAGAGCTGAAATACAAGTATCACGGTCCTTTTTGCCTGCCTCGTGTGGTCACGCGACCTGAATCTCCGACCTCGCAGTCGCCCACACCATTGTCCTATTTCGTGCCTGAATGTTCCCACGCACTCCATGGCTCCATCGAAGAGAAGAGTAAAACGCTGGACTCGAGCGGGCCCTTGTTCGATCTCATCCTCATGGACCCGCCTTGGCCTAACCGGTCAGCGAAACGCAAGAGGGGAGGTTATACCGTCTGCCACGGCTCTCAAGATATCCGCCGCTTGCTCTCCCTTATACCGGTCAGGACAAGGCTTGCGCCTGGCGGTGTCGTTGCTGTGTGGGTTACTAACAGTCAGGCCATGGTAGACGTCCTCACTGAGCGCGACGGCCTCTTTGCCGAATGGGACCTCGAGCCTGCAGGAGAATGGATATGGCTCAAGGTCACGGCAAATGGCGAGCCCATGAGCGATATCCACTCCACCTGGAGAAAGCCCTGGGAAAGGCTGCTATTTGCGAGAAGGAAAGGAGACTTCAAGGTAAACATTTTAGACAGGAAAGTGATCCTCGCGGTTCCCGATGTGCACTCGAGGAAGCCTAGTTTCAAACAGTTGTTTGACGAGATGATGCCGAGCGGCTATCACGCGCTAGAAGTTTTTGCACGCTACCTCACGGCCGAGTGGTGGTGTTGGGGGATGAAGTCTTGCTACACCAAGCCGACGAGCATTGGACGTCATACGCAGCCGAAGATTCTATTGGGAGGGAAGCTGAGCCACAAGAGACGGTCCAACTCGAAAAAGAGGGCTGACAGATTGAAAGTCTATTTCAGTATACAATAAATGATGTGTTTTTTGGGTGTTGTACATCCTTCAAGGGTCGTGATATAATGCTACAGTGTAACTCCACAAAACATCCGGCTTGAGTTCCGGTCGTCTCCGGTCGTCTATGAGCCGAGACCCGGCGTCTTCTGTTGTCGCGGGTCTCCACCGATAAGGGGCGCCTCTCAACCGACCCCTATTATTCCTTAGCCAGAGGCTTGGCGCTGGGTTCCACTTCCACTTCCTCCAGGGCCTCTCTCGCCTTCGCAGCGTTGGCCCTCGCCACGATGCTCTCCCACTTCTCGTCTAGAGCGACGCCGTTCTCCCACTTCTTCTTGCCCTCGAGCAGCTCCTTGGCCATGGCCCGGTAGGTCTTCTCCTCCTGCGATAGCCGTCCGTCGCTCGCGAGGGCGATCTTTCCCTTGTACCGGTCGTCCCGAATCTTCTCCTGGTCTTCCAGCATCTTCTCACGCATCCTGTACAGCGCGGAATCCCACGCCGATAGGTCTTCTGGCTCCTTGGGCCACACAAAGGGTTGCGTCATCTCCACTGTCATGTATTTTTCGGCAGTTGGGCGAACAAAACGACCTGCCGCGTTCTTGATAGGGGCTACGGGGCGGCGTACCCAAGAGCGCACTGCTGTGACCTCGACTCCATACAGATTCCAGAGATAGTCGCGGAGATCGAATTTCGTGAAGCGGAGGGTACTTGGAATGTGGCCCAGTCGGCGGGCTGGAAGTCGCGGCGTACGAGAGTTATGACATGATTAGGGCTATTAGGAATAAGCGTGGTTAGCAAAGAAAGATCGAGTCAAAAGAGGAGGCTCGGGAAAGAGAAAGAAAATATGTAGGTAGGCCCAGCGCGCCTTTGCGACGCGAACGAAAACCTGCATCAACTATCAATCGATGGCGGGGGTGAACAACGCTTACAGAAAGACTTGTTTTTGTCCAAGCTTGAAAGCCGGAGCCTTTTTACCACTGCGGATGCCATTGCGAACACATCCAAGAGTGAGAGTGGCGATGCTGAATCTCAAGGTGAGGACTCTGGTGTTCGCAATCATCGACGAACAGGGGCCGGATTTTCCATGCACGGCCTGGCAGCACGTTCATAGCTTCGCACGTGATTTGGACTCAGCACGAACTCTGGAGGCAGCTCTGACCCTCACACGACTCCCGAGTTGGTGGATGCTGACATAATAAGTATTCTTGCTCAATTCCAGCTTTCAGCTCATCCAAATCTTCTTTTATCCATCATCTTCAAAGGCACGTACTAGTTGAATAGGATTACTCCATCAAATATCATCATATTTTACGCCTTGTAGAAGACGCAACGTTGATAACCCCCACCGACGACCAGATTCGACCCTGTCTTTTCTGTTGGCTGGGTGAAAAAAATATGTGATGGACGGTTTTAGGATTCTTATAGAGGCACTAGGACCCCATAATTGATTCGCCTTCTCGTTCATTTGGCGCAACACTTGAAGTCTAGTTTTCTGAGTCCTTGGTGCCTGTCCAAGTGCCCCCGCTAAAAAGACCGCCGTGCAATTTTCTGCGTCCATTGCGCAGCGGAGACCCGAAGTTATGTGAAGTGGCATAAATCGGCATCAGTAGCGTGAGGTTAAGCAGAATTGATATCGCAACCTTCCATTAGGGAAACCAGCTACGACAACCCCGTGAAGCTATGAGGAGTGCCACTGTGAGATCATCCTCCTCTTGAGCGTTGATACTAACATCACTACGACCGATTGGCGGCTGTAAAAACCCCCTCTGCTAATCCCTTTTCAGCAGCATGATACAGTGCCGTTTTACTCCACCTGTGCCTGAACCTGGGGATAAGCACCTTGGCAAAGTGGCAGCCGCACACCCTCTCATCAATGTTTCCATAAGCCTCTAAGAGTGTCGCCCTGCCGCGGTCCTCCTTCTGGTGACCACAAAGTGAAGAAGTAGGATTGATATTCGTCTCGAAATGTTCCGTCAGAAAGACGGAGACCACTGGCCTCACTCTAGCAGACCCGCCTAAAATCCAAAGGGCTCACACATCTCCGCTCTGCGAGGACCTAGGGCCTTTATCGAAAACTAGCACTACACTCGAGCTTTGATTTCAATGTTTGACCAACCCAAGAATCGAATATCTCCCATCTGGAAAGCATTGGGGCCAGGGCTGTCCTCCTCTGGACACATGGCCTTTGAACAAAGAGCCATGTCATCACGACTAAGCTGGGACATAGTCGTGAACGAAGGTACGAAGTAGCACCGACCTAAATTTAAGTTCGAGGCTAAGCCAATTCATCCCCCCCAATCTCGTTCTCAATTTCGGCTTCAGAGAGTGTCTGAGTTTCTAGATATGTAGTACCTGGCGTAAGATGGTCCTCTTGCCCCCAGTTGGCATCCCACCATGCAGTCTTGTGAATCAAGGATGGCAATGGGTCCATGGATGGATCAATTGGCCCAGTCGCGCATCAATTGATCGTCGGAGCCACACTAAAATGCGGGGTAAAGGCGCTCGTCCAGAAAGGGAAGGAAGCTTGCAGGATCAAATCCACTGGTTTACAGCCAAACGGAACCTTCCATCAAGTGAGCATCTCATGTTGATTGGAGACTATCAAGATCAAGCAACATAAGGAAAATGCTGCAAACTAGTCTACAATTCCGGCATCATGACCGTTGTGGGGGAAAAACAAGCAGTCATGGTATATCATCATAATAATAAAAAACAGTCCCAATCCCCTGTCCAGCCAGGATCAGCCCAGTAATCCGTTAAAAAGAAAAGAAACGCCTTTAAACATCAACACCATCAACGACAAGGCCCTTCTGCCAGGTCCACTGGAGGCTTCGGGCGACGGCATTAGCAGACTCGTCCGAGACAAGAGCCCCGACAAGATACAGGGCGGCATCAGTACCGGCAGCGACACCGCCGCTGGTGATGACACGGAGGCCACCGAGACGCTTGGCAGCACGGCGAGCGATGTTCTCTCGGGTGCTGGAGCCCCTCAAAGAGATGCTTCCCTTCCTATAAACCCCGCAAGTCTTGAGTTAGTGGCAAATATCAAAAGGGCAAAGAGGTGGTCCAAAAGGTTCTTGGTAGTTGGGACCTACCTTGCGTTGGAGGGACGGCGAGCATCCGACTTTCGGCGGATGTAAGGGTTCTCGTCCTCGTCGCCAATGTCGAATCGCAGATTGTTCACAACATAGCGGACGCCCTCCTGGACGTCGGTACGCTCGTCTAAGTCGCGGGTAGCGGCACGACTGCAGATGTTTTCAAACCTCGTCAGGTAGTCAGGGTGGGTGGTGGCAGCAAGGCCGGCGAGAATACCCTTGTGGGCGAGGAAGTGGGAGCCAGTGCAGACAGAGAACAGAGTCCTCTCGCGGACTGGGTCAGCCTGTTGCAGTTCGGCAAAGGCCGCAATGAGGCCCAAGGGCTCGGCCTCTTTCTCAATAATCTCGTCAGTGTTGCCACCGACCACTACGAGCACGTCGTAATTCTTGAGATCCTCATATGCCTGCTTGTATGGGATCTGACCGACGATGGAAACATCCTGGTCGGAAAGAACATTCTTCTCATCGGCAGCGATGGTGCAGTCGAACGCCTTGTTGTCTAACGCAGTTAAGTAGAACAGGTTAGTTTGCTGTCCAGCCTATGTGATGTGATTGAAACGGGGGAGGAGGAGCATGAGACAGGTGCGGGGTGACATACCAGGTTCGTTGACGTCGTGAAGAGCAGTCTGGAACACCTCCCAAGGACCAGCCCAGTCCAACAAGTTGAACTTGGGGTGTAGGACAAAGAGCACGTCAAGGGGCTCAGTCTCGTCCACCACCGCCGATGTCTTGTGTGCACTCATCTTGCCGGTATTGTAAATGTATACGAAGTGAAGGGGAGATGAGGGGTGTTAGAGATGCAACTGAGATGTATGCGTCAAGTATAGATGTAACGCTCTTGGTACGGAGAAAGGGTGAGCAAGTGTTTGACTTGCTTACTAGTGTTGTTGGTGATGGTGATGATGGGGAGGGCAGTGCCGGTGATGGAAGTGATGGATGGGGAAGACAGAGATGATGAAGATGAAGATGAGAAGAAGATGGAAGGGGGCAGCTCTCAATTGAGGAGGGGTAAGGGCGATGTTTATATTGCAATTGAGCTGCCGGGGAAGAGTGTATGGAGGCAGGAGCAAGTGCGGGCAGATCAGGTCGGCTTGCTCACGTCAAGCCAAGGGGCGAGAGGAGAAGACGAGGGCTGATCAACACGTCAAAAGGAGCAAAGACACCAGCCAGAACGGCGCCGAGAGGCCATGGCGGGGTACAGTTGAGCTTCCCTAGTGTCCTGTCCCGAGCTACTTGCGCTTGGGTGCTTGCCCCAGCTGGATGGCGTGTATTGTGGTACGGTACTCCCGGGGCAGGCCTGGCGCAGGAGCTGGCACGAGTGACGATTCAGGGTGGGTCCGCCCCCGGGCCAGGGAGGAGGGGTCACACGACGCAGGTTGAGTCGCGTAAGAGGTATTCCATTGTCTGGCCGTTGATCCAGGGGATCTTCTCAATCATGGATCGTCCCCCAGCCAAGGAATGTAGACCTTGTCGAGCTCGCTAATAGTATACACTGGTGACTAGGTGATGGGAATATGCTATAGGGGATGGGGGAGGTTGGGCGGACGGGACGGAAGAGAAAGAGATGTGGATTCTGCAGTGCTCTCACAAATCGAATGATCAGGCAATTGGCCCACCTCATTCATCCATCCATCGTATGGCACTCTCAGGTGCTGCAGCGTCGCGAAGGGGGCAGCTCAATTGACTCATCCCCCACCTCGAACAGCTCCAATTCTGTGGCATTTTCCCTCCGCCCATCCATTCAGCCATCTACCCATGGATGCGACCATCAAATGGTCTTGATGGGGCGGAACCCGAAGCCGGCCTTTCCCTCTCGCAGGAAGCCGACCGTTTCAAGCGCTCGGCCCAAGAATCACAGACCTTTTGAGCTGTTCTAGCCATTCCCTCACCAAGCATTCGGGCTTGGGCGAAGCAGGAGGCTACTGACCTCAGTATGCGGGGTCGAGGCGCTAGTGCTGCATCGACTGAGCTCTGATCGAAGGCAAGCGCCCCGTATTTCTGCATTCCTCCAGCGAATCCGGGACCGGTGCACCGAAGCGTCAGGGGATCCACCAACCCACCAAATAGCACCAATGCTTGCTTCTCGAAGTAGCTGATACAAGATTCAACACCAGATCATACCCATTCCTGATGCGGGAATTCAAGTACTAGGTACATGCACAATTAGATGCTTGACATGCAAACAGTCACTTATCCCTCCATCCCGCCCTTGCACTCGGAACGAGAATTTCAAGCTTCACCACCTTTGCGTGCCGACCTCCACCGAAGCTTCCTTCCCCGTCCCTCCGATTAGCCCGGGTCGCGGAAATCTGCCACCTCAAGCTCGCTATTTTGCTCTCCTCTCCCAGCCTGGAATGATCGCATGAGGAACCATGGTGAGCCCAGGGTATGAATCCCCCCCCCCCCCATCGTTGCTCCCATCGCCACAAGCCCACTTTGTCCCGCAGAAGGTGGTGGGCTCTGAGTGGACCACATAACAGCCCGACCCTATGACTTGCCGGGCCGGGCTAGATATTTCGTAGCTCGCGACCCCTTATTCCCGATTTCGATGGAGCTTGCTGACATGGAAACCTCCCCTCTAGGACATTGAAGTCGCTTTCCAAGGCCATCAACTCCCACATTGCCACGCTAGCCGTTCCCCTCCACGAAGACCTCGATGAAGCAATCGAGAGCTACTTAACCAGGCACGAGAGGCACGATGACTCGAGCGCCGACCGCCTGCAGGAGGAGTTACTCTCCATCTATCACAAGCATATCAAGGATCGCCCAAGCCTTATCACCGGCTTCGTTGCCATCCTCTCCCGGCTCGTACCCATTATCAAAACCCCCGCGCGCATACTACAATGGTGGGACTTGCTCAAGGACAAGGTCGAGGAGCACTTTTCTAGCGAAAGGGGTTTGATGGCGGAAAGCTCATCGGCCGTGCGAGATCTCTTGGCCCTTGACGATGTTGGATCAGGGGATGGAGGAATGGAGGCGGTCCTCAACCCTTATGCAGAACGCTTGCTCCGAGTCTGGATCGACACCTATCAGGCTGGCCCCTCCAAGAAAAATGCTGAGCCCCTCGAGAGGTCCGCGCGAGAGTCGCTGGTATTCTACGGCAAAAGGAAACCAAAGGTAGGCGGGGAAGCGTGCACCGTTGGCCCATATTACTGAACATCGCTGATGAATGGATGCCCAAACTAGGATTTCCTCACTATCCTCAACAAGTTTTTCGTCAAGGCAGAGTATAGGATCAAGGCCGCCACCCTTCTTTGCGACTTTATTGAGCGCCAGCCGCCTCACTTGTATCAAGTGTTGCAGACCCCGCTTTTCAATAGTCTTTTGAAATGCCTTCAGCTCGACACCTCCACCACCGTGGTCTCCGCAACCCTTACGGCTTTAACGATGCTGCTCCCTCACATGCCGAGCTCCCTCGTCCCGCACCTGCCCACCCTTTTCAATATATATGCCAGGCTCTTATTCTGGCACCGAGAACGGTCCACCGCTCCAGGCTTTCCTGGTGAGCATCTCAGTCGAAAACCGTTCACTGACCCCGCTGGCTGGGAAAGGTCCCACTATTCCTCGGATCTGGATGGCAACCATGTACCACAGTTGAGGACCTACTTCACCATTCTTTACGGCTTGTACCCCATCAACCTGATGGACTATATAAGAAAACCGCATCGCTACTTGAGGCATGCGAATGCCCCCAATGCGGATGCCGTCGAGGTTCAACCTAGTGAAATTAGACACCAGTCTGAGGAATTTCGTCGAGGCCATTTGCTCCACCCCAACTTCTATAATCTCACCATCGAGTCCGAAAAGTCCGACCATGGGCGCTGGCAGTCGAGCGAACCCGCTGAAGTAGTGGCAGAGTGCGCAGCTCTTTGCGTCATGGCGGACCCCCTGTGCACGAGATAGCCACCGGCCCGCCTTCAGCCCTCCGAACCTCAAGCCTTTTCTCTAGGGAAGGAAATGCTAGGGACACTCTGGATAGCGGTATCCTCGGCTATCGAGGGGCTAGCGATGCCGTGGAATCGTCCGCGAGTAGCGTGTTGGCGGCCGACCGTCACAGCTCGCTGTCAAGCCAACCGTCGCAACGCGAGGCCGACAACGTGCGACATCGGAGCCTCAGTGGAGACAGTCCAACCCTGCCACCCCATCTAGGCATCCCGGGTGCTTCACACCTTGTTACGCGGAGCTCCGATGCAAGTGAGACGCTCGCAAGCGATAGCGTGCCCTCGCTCTCGCTCAGCCAGCGGGCAATGGTACCGGACACCGCCCCACCGCCTATAACCCCCTGCACCTCGGGGGCCCACACCAAACTTCCTTGCCCTGGCCGGTGATCCCAACGCGCAGGTCTCGCAGCTGCGCCGCCAGGTTCTCTTGCTGCAGAATGACCTTGCATTTGAGCGGTATCTAAAGCAACAGCACATGGCTCACATGGCCGAACTGAGACGCCGACAGATGAAGGAGGCTGCCTCCGAAGCTGAGCTGCAGAACCTCATTATCGCCAACCGAAACCTCAAGAATTCGTCCGAGGAAGCCAAAAAGGCTGAGATTCAGGTGCGGAGGGAGTCGGAGAAGAGCCGAACCATGGCCAAGAAGTGGGAGGCAGACCTGTCCGCCAAGCTCAAGACGCTACGCGAAGAGGCTAAACGTACCAAGTCGACGATAGAAGAGCTGGAGCGTGACCTTGCGTCGGCCCGGGCTGAGTGCGATCAGCTCAAGACCTTGGTGCGTGAGTATGAGGTGCGTGAGCTCGGCTGGAAACAAAGCTCGCAGTCGCACGAGCTCGACAAGACCGAGATAGACCGGCTCAAGGCTGAGGTCGCGCGGCTGACCCTTGTCGAACGCGACTTCCAGGGCAAGGAGACGGAGATGAAGCGCGCTGTCGAAACCGCTTCCAACGCCGAAGGCCAGGTAGAGATTCTCAACCAAAAGCTCGCGGCCCAGGACCACGCCCTAGATCAGGTCAAGCAGCTCTACGAGTCCCAAATCGTCGTGCTCAAGTCCCGTCTTGTCGAGCTCCGCGAAGGTCGGCTTGGGGCCGACAAAGCGGTCATTTCACCCGCCTCCGCTGTCATCAACAGCGCGTTCGAGAGCGCTCGCCGCGAGCCGTGCCAAGCAGGCCGAGCTCCAGAAGCAGCACAACCTCCTTACCCGCAAATACACAACATTGCAATCGTCTCTGCTCGATATGCGATGCGATACCCCCACCCGTCCCGCCCAGCCAGTCCGGGAGACGGGTATGTGGTCCGACGAAGAAGGCGACAGCTCCCCACCTCCAGCCTCGAGCCCGCCCCGCCCGCGCACTCGCGTCCAGCGCGTATTCTCCAACCCCGATACGCCATCCTTTAGCGGGACGACGGGAGCTGCCGGCCCCGCCTTCCGCTCCAACAGCCCGGCGCCTTTAACGGAGGGCGGCGTGCCGCTTCCCGTCATGTCCCAGAGTCCGGAACCTAGGTTCCACGGCAGAGGTAAGTCTGCATCCCTAAAGCGGCGGCAGCCTTGAGGTGAATGAAGGGGAAAAAACGAACAAACCAGGAAGTAGAGGGGGCGGACGAGCAGAGAGTACAGAGCGAATCTGTGTGTTAACTCGTGTCCCTTCCCGGCCTTAGGTGGCGTTCAGAACCGTATACGCAAGGACAGCAAGGATAAAAAGACGCCGGACGGCGACAAGAAGGACAAAAAGACCAGCGGGCTACGAGGGATTAGAAACTTTGTGGGCTAGGATCCCCGGCTCACGGTGACGCATTTCTGGATCACCGCTATTCAAGCCCACGGGGCGGGGCACCATTCACGTTTCGAAGACACAAGGAATTTCTTTTTCGCAAACCAGGACAAACAGGACTTTAAGATGGACAAGTTGAGGGTTGTAATGGTAGCATGGTATTTATGATTTTAATAACCCAAGAAAAATAGTATATGGCTGCAAAGCCACAACAACGAGAATTACGACATTACAAACCTTCTTCTCGAAGCAAAGTGCCCTGCCACCAACACGATAGCTTTTAAAAATTTTAATTGTGACCATCTATGAATGGACTGTAGGTTTTATGAATGTGTACAACATCAAAACAGCCCTCTGTCCAGACCCTATGCGAAGAGGCGCCGTCCGCTCTCGCCCTTGAATAACATGAAGGTGGAAAAAAGAAAAGATAACTCCATTCCGTAAGCTACGGCGACGATATTAGTGCCGGTGATCTAGATTCATATGTACAATTTTTTCAAATGAGAAATTCAAATGAAAAAGAGATGAAGTGGGCAAAAAGGAAACATTAGATCATGAGTCTGTGGGTCAAGTCGGGGGCAAGAGATTGCCGATTTTAAAGAATAAGAACTGCGGCAACGAGAGCGATCACGCTAGCAGCAATGGAATCAAGCCTGGTCAATCCGCTTGAGCCAGAAACGGTATTGGCGTCTTCGGAGGTCGAGCCGGAGCCGGAGCCAGAGCTAGGGCGAGCTTCGGAGCCTGAACCAGAGCCTGAACCAGAGCCGGAGCCAGAGCCAGAGCCAGAGCCGGAACCCGAACCCGAACCGCTGCTACCGGTTCCAGTGGGAAGTACGGTGTCGGTACCATTTCCATAGGGCGCGTTACCGGAGCCGGAGCCGCTACCGCCCGTGGGGGTAGGGGTGTTTACGGCGGTGCCGCCGGAACCAGTGGACGAAGCAGTACCGTTTCCACGACCGGAACTGAAAAGTTTTGTTAGCATGGGATAAACAATTACTAATGATGGACACGGTGCATGTCGACTTACGAGGATCCATCACAAGATAGGTCATGGAGGGGCTGGCCGTTCAGGTCCTGGAGGATACCAAAGCTGGGGTTAGGAGTATCGGGAGCGGCATCGCGAAGGGTGTACCACCAGACGTTGGTGGCGCCAAACAAGGAGCAACCGACATCCTTCCAGTAGGCCTCAGCGTTCTCGACCGAGGCAACGGCATCACCAAAATCCTTTCCACTCACGGGCCAGCCGGTCTCGGTGATCCAAACCTCCTTGCCGCCGGCAGCAGCCTTGGTAGCGGAGAAGGCGTCGTTGAAGAGAGCAGCCGAGTTCGAAATGTCGTTGGCATGGGTATCTTCGAAATAGGGATAGCCATCGAAGCCAAGCCAGTCGCAGGCGTCAATGACGGCCTGATTGGAGCCATTGACAAAGGCAGTCCAGGTGTCGACATGGCCGATCTTGGCATCAGCGAGCGAGGTGCCGGCAATCAGATCGCGGACCGAGTTGATATAATCGACGAGGGTGTCGGGGTTAGCGCCGGCGTACTCCTTGTTAGCGATGCCGGTCGGGGAGTTGCGATAGAGATCCTCGCTACCGACAGAGATGCCAGCAACTAGTCCAGAGAGTTCGCTACCGTACTGGTCAATGGTACGCTTCAGGGCGGCAAGCTCGTTGTTGAAAGTGTCTTGGCCAGCAGAAGCCCAGAGACCAAGAAGAAGGCTAGTCTTGGTGCTGATGGCGGCGGGGATAGCCTGAATAGGGTCGTTTTGGGTTCCTCCTTGCTGCGTGAGTGTTAGCATTCTCCCCTAAGTCAGTCACAAAAGGGGATGAGCAGGAATAGCATACGATCATGGTGTAGATACGAGCGCTGTTGAAGGCACCGTCGGTTCCGGCGAGGTCTTGGGCAGCCTTGAATTCGGCCTCATAATCAGACTGGACCTTGATCTGACCGGTGGTAAATGTGTTTCCATAGTTGAAGCCTTGGTAAGCAGCACTGGCAACCGTGGTCATGGCTGCCAGAACCAAAGCGTTCGTTACTGAAGGCATTGTAGAAGGTGGTTATCTCAGAGAGGAGTTTGATCTAAACGAGAAATCCCAAACGAGAGTAAGGTGTGGCGTGAGGGTATGGAGATCTGAATCTTCCAGTCGAATGGGGAGAGCGACTGAACCGGGTTGGACTATATATATATATATATATATATGTGTGTGTGTGTGTGCGTAATGGCTAAGATGGAGGGTGTGCGTATGTCCTCGGAGTGGGTAGGATAGAACTAAAATAGCAACAGCCGCTCTGGTTGGAGGTACAACGTCAGGAGCTAGAGAGGTGGATCGGCCTGGAAGCTGATCAATCAATGGACTAGAGCGTTACGGAGCTCGCAACCTGGGAGTCGGAGAAGATACAAAGCTGCTGGTTGTCAAGGCGAGTCGACCAGGAGAGTTCCGGGTTTCACTTTAGCGCATTCGGCCCTCCATCAGGGACCCGGGATGCAGAGCGAAGAGGGCGATCCGTGGGATAGGGGAATACGAAGAAGTAGCTGGATTTCGGGGCTACTACGCCACCTAGGAGAAAAAAATGCTACGGCGGGAGGTTGCGGCCATCAACTGATGACGGTGGCCAAGATGGACGTGGAACCGGAAGATCACGTACTACATCACAGATGCCGGCAAATTCTCGCATTCAAGGCTTCCAAGTTCACTGTTGCAAGCGTGTCCAAGAATATACATCCATCCATTGGAATGGATCCATCCATCGACAGATCGATCACGGAAAATGGATCGATTCATGGCCCAAGCAAGGTTAAAGCGAAGCAAGGCGACTATTGATGATGTGGGTTGTGGGTATGCAAGTATGGTACAGTCGTAGTCGGCACTCAGTGGCGGGTTCCTTCCTGGACGGGGACGGTTCCTGCTTGTTCTATGGCTCCTACCGGATCCACCTTCTCGTTTACGGCCTCCGGCTCCACTTGTCGGTCCCACATGGACACGCCGACTTGGGCTGAGCCCACGCTCGTGCAAGAGGGCAAGAGGGCTCCTGCCCAAATCCACTCGTTCCCCCAAGCCCACCCAGCGTTCACTCACAGAGTGGCAAACACCCGTTGCGCCTTCTTTCCGCTTCTGCCGTTACTGGATTGATGTTTGCGAGGCAGACCCGATACGAGGGTTTTTTTACGGTCCTCTGCATATTTCTATTTTACGATATAGTTTGGACCTATTGACTCAACAAAATGGCCGGTACGGCAAGATGAACATGAGATGGGCTGAGACGAACTCCCGTCCGAGGAATCCCTTGTTTCGACTTTGCCAGTATTTGGGTGAAGACGCATGTGTGTCTGGTGTCAGCCTTAGACACTCTGCCGCAAACATACCTGCCGGGTGGATGGCTAGGTCTGTACCTGTGCTGGAGTTTTTGGCGTTGATCAACCACATTCTCGAGTCCCCACCTACCGCTGCTTGAAGATCGATACTCGACGGCGGCGGATCTGCTTGCAGAGCACGCAAACCCGAGGAGCTATGGTATAGTAAGCCCCGGCGGCCAGTTGTAGTGTGTTGTCTCAGTCAATGCTCCTTGTTAAAGCTCCCTGACTACCGGAGATGTCTCACGGATCATAGTCCCTTCATCAGAGTTAAGGGAGTGTTATTATTCAAATTCGTGTTTCCCAGTTAGCCGCCGAACCCGACCCCGGCTTGCTCGTTCCGATGCTGCCTGGCTGTGACTGTCTGGTTGCGAGGGGCTTCCTCCACTTGGGCCAGCCATGACGTAAAGAAGCCTGGAACATCGTCGAGCATCGAGCTGACGAGTACAGTGGCCCAGCATGTGGGCTCCTGGAATGGGTCGCCGGCGGCCCTAACCAATCACAATCGAATCTACACCATTTCCACTGCCCAAGAGAGAAGAAATATTTTTTTCGGTGTTCTCCTTTCAACATTCGATTCTCTACAACCTCGTATCCGGTTCGACGTCATCTATTTCTTCCCCCTTCCTTGGGAAATGTAACAATGGAACAGCTTCTTGCGACCTTGATCGATTGCAATTCCGCTGGGGTACAATTCATACAGTCCATTAATGCAACACTCTGCGTCATCAGGCACGCCCGCCCGCTGCCTTCACTGTTCTCTATTTTCTCCTTTTCTTTTTCTTTCCCCTCTTCGACTCTCTCCACTTTTGTTCCTGATGAGTCTTGATTGAGGGCGGAGGCGCAGAATAAGGGGGACCGGAGCTAGCAATTAGATCACAGGACCCTTCCCGCTGCTCCTCGTACTTGGCTTGACACAGAATCATCCATTGTAGTTTGTATTCATGTGATTCCTTGTGAAAAGATCTGAGACCCTGATGTTTGAAAAGGTGCTGAGGCGCTGCCACTAACGTAGTCTTGAGAATCCTGAGGTGGGAGATCAGGGGACGAACGTCCCCTTGCATGTGCTGCATGCTAGATGGATCAATTGCATTGGTGAAGAGCAAAGGAAATAGACCTGCCAATCAGTGACAGGGACAGACACTATCCGCAATCGTGGCTGGTTGCTTTCTGTTCCGCGGCGCTCTAACGCCACCATGCTGCGATCGCACGCGTGTTTCCAGGTATCCAACGAGTGCAAGTCGTTTGAATCTGGATCCTGTGTGGCGCCTGGCTTCAACCGGATTGCCAGACCTCTGTAGTATGGCGTGCAACATGCTCTCACTAGTGTTTGACCAGATCCGCGCAACCCGTGCTACCCATTACCTGTGCCTTTTTATCAGCAATCCGTGCCCGTGACTGTGCCTGTGCCTGTGTCTGTACCCAGTTTGTGCCTGTGCCTGTGCCTGGTTGTCTGCCTGTGTCTGGTTGCCTCCTTATATAGTTCGCTCAGGGCACGGCTGCCCTAGGAGGGTCGGGAGACGCCCCGTTTGCGTCAACTTCTCTCATGAATTATCCATCCCATAGCTACCACACTCTGCCTCTACATATTGTGCCTCCGCCAACTAATACATCTTCTTGCTTCTTAGTTCCAGTAAGTTGACTTGATTTACCAAGAGATTTCCCGAAAAGAATAGGGGAAACCCGTCCTTACTGGAGAATTTATACTTGACCCATGATATATACGTGAGAGTGTTGCCTTTTGGATGTGCTGGGTAAGAATGGGGAGTTAAGAGAGCCAACAGGACTTTGGCCAGAAACTTTGGCGTCCCCAGGTCGGCGTCTCATCAGATATGGTCTCAAGGGCAGATAGATAGTTGACTAGAAGAGCGGGGACATTGTCTCCAGGCAACCTGGCTCTTGGCCCCTCTGACAGTAGGATGCACTTGACCTGTAGGAGACGATCGCCTCCAACAGACGTATCAACCGCGCCAAATCAGCTCCTGGAACGCTGTTCGCTGAGCGTGAGAGTCATGCCGGGAACGCGCGTGGGCGGGCAAGGGAGGGATGGAATACCTACAATGTAATCCACCTCCGGCTTAGATACGGGTGAGGAACATGAGATGCCGTTACCATGAGTCGGTGGCTCCATGTAGACTATTTTAGACAACCTCGCCGGACTCATCTTTGCTTCATTTTGAGGTAGCGAGAGGTCACAGTAAAGGCTATAGGGTTTCAATTTCCCGCGGCCGGTTCTGTCGGAGTTTGTGTGGCCATGCAGCGACAGGTTCAACAAATAGATCTCGGCAAGGCTCACCAAGTTTCTCAATCTCACATGGTGGAAGGCGCTGCATATGGGTACAGAGACACAGCTCGCGCGCAGGGAGTTGCAATGACGGATGGCCGAGTGGAGTTATCCGTATGTTTGCATGCTAGACTCGACATTGAGTCTCTCGTGGAAGAGACAGAGCCTTGTCCCTCAGATGCAACTGAGGGGTTGGCATAAGGTCGAGTCAGCCGTACGGACCTCACCGCGATATTACAAACACGATTCAATGTTCCCTTTATTCATCTTAAAATCGAGTCTGTATTACGGGAGATGCCATGCTTCGTAGCCTGAGAGTTCGGGATGCCGTTTTTTTCTTCTTTTTCATTTCTTTTTCATTTTTTTTTCATGATACTTCTTTAGATATAAAGAAAAAGATCTTCCCCTCTGGTTTCGGGTTTTCAGTTAATATTTGCCTTGATATTACGCCGAAGACAATTAAGGCTGGTTAGCGTCAACGTCAAAGATCAAGATGCGACAGGGCGAGCCAGCAGACCACAAGTAATGATGGGTTAATCTGAGCCGTGCTGTGTGTGCGTGAGAGGGAGAGAGTTGTTCGGGATCACCCGATCTGCCGGGTAAAAAAGAAAGACCCCTGGTCAAGCGTCCCAGGGAACCGGGAAGCTGTGGCAGAGCTCTATGGATGGCACAAGCTTGTGATCCGAGTATTAATATAAATAGAAACGACGATAATAAGGGTAGGGCTTCCATTGATCGGGACCGCGAGCTTGGGCCTCTCACTTGCATCGCGTTGGGCAATGTCGGTTATCAATCAGCCTCAGGGGACCCACGATCAATGTCTGTTCTTTCAACCTCCCCGCATCTCGCGATGGGGGCCCTCGATCATTATTGTCTGTGCCTGTGAGGAATCTCATCGTTGCACCACCAAGGCAATCGATGAATTCGTGGGAGGCTACACGTAGACATTGCAGACGCTGCCCTTGCTTCCTTTCCCTTTGCTGATCAAAATAGAACACGGCCCTAGAGATAGATAACCATGATAGGGTCCTTGAATGGGTCGCGTGTCTTTCTGGCACGAGATCGATAGATCGATCCGCTGAAATGGACCTGCTTGCCATTGAGCCCAACAATGCCCATACAAATTCGAGCCCGCATTTTGGAGGCTGCGACATCGGTGGGCCAAGGGGAAATTGGCGCCAACATTATCTTACCCCAAATCGGCCAAAATGAGCTTCGATCCATTGATGTGGCTTGACACTGACAGGGCCGCCTAGCTCCCAGTGCTGCCCTGCTTTTTTCTTCTTTCTTTTTGCGTGTCTATTCCCCCCTTGTTCGTCTCCTATTCCGGCCTCTGACTTTGTGGAAGTGACACGAGAGCCTTTTCTCCCTTTTCGCGTCCCTCCCCCTCTCCACCTCCCCTTTGACGGCCTCAATTCTTCTCTCTCTCCTTCATTTTGAGGGTATTCCTGGGGCCGAAGGCAAAAGGAAAGAGCAAAAAAGCGATTGGAAGAAATAAGCATTTCTTTTTTTGCGCGCCGAATCTGCCGCCGACCCAGTCGCCAACCGCCAACCCGCCAGCGCGTATCTCAAAGGATCACCAGTTTTCCTAAGCAGCCATGGTCTCTCTCAGGTCTCCCTGGGCGCTGCTCCTGCTCACGCCAATTGCGGTCGCTTTTGCTGCGGCTGCTGCTGCTCCCAACGTAACGTCGATAGAAAACCTTAGCCTCGAGGGCTTGGAAGAGAAGCTTCAGGTATGGGTTTATATATCTCTACATCTCCGCCCCCGATCCAAGTGGGAAGCACCCTGGTGGCCGTGCCGGTGAGAAAAGGAAGCACCCTGCTGGGTCCTCAGATCGCGTGCACCCTCCCGGCTGTCATCGATGGGCGCGCGCCCCCACACCCTCCTTTCCCCACGCCCACGCAGCGGTCTCTCCCTTCGCAGCTTTGCCCCGCCCCCTTCCCGGGCGGACCTGGTTTCTTCTGTGGCTAACGCGCATGCTCTTTCTCGTTCTTTTGCGGAACCCATCTAGACCTGCTCCATTGTCCAAGACCTCAACGCGCACAGGGCTGCCAACAGCCACGAGCAATCCACCTTCTTTCGCGCCTCTTCACGATCCTCTTCCCCGGAAGCCCCGCCGTCAACGCTCTTCTCGCGACGCTCTACATCTCGGGCCCCCAACTTCCTGCTCGCGCTATGCCCGACCAACATCGACCCGGCGTCCCTCACCATCATGGTGGCCTTTGCCGTGGGCGGCCTCATGGGAGACACGCTTTTCCACCTGCTGCCCGAGATCTTTCTCGGCGAGGAAGAGCACGGTAAAGTCAAGTTTGTTCTTGTCGAGCCCAATAGGAACCTCTTGCTCGGTCTGGCCATCCTCGTTGGTTTCATGACCTTTGTAGCCATGGATAAGGGCTTGCGCATCCTGACCGGGGGTGCCGGCCACGACCACGGCCACGGCCACTCTCACTCTCACAGCCACGAGGTGGCCCCCTCGGCCTCGTCGTCGTCCGTGGATGCGGCTAAGGGCGGTGCCAAGTCGCGCAAGAAGGGTACCGCCGCCGCCGAGAAGGACCACGACCACGCTGCCGAGCGCAAAGAGGTTAGCCCTAGTATGAAAATGGGAGGTGTCCTCAACCTCATGTATGTGTTACACGTCCCCTCTCTATACCCTACCCCGTTGAGCTCTTTTCTTGGTCTAGCAAGCACGGTTGCGGAAAAGGGGAGTCCGTAACATTAAAGGAATTGAAACGCATTGCGTGGAGGGAGATGCTAGTGGATAGCAGAATCACGTTCAAGTTAGGCTAACAACACGATGTAGTGCCGATTTCACCCACAACATCACCGACGGCCTGGCCATGGCTGCGAGCTTCTACGCCTCGCCCACGGTGGGCGCCAGCACCACCCTCGCCGTCTTCCTCCACGAGATTCCCCACGAGGTGGGAGACTTTGCCCTCCTCGTCCAGTCCGGGTTCTCTAAGCGCGCGGCTATGGGCGCTCAGTTCGTTACCGCCATCGGCGCTTTCTCGGCACCCTCATCGGCATCTGCATTCAGGAGTTTGGTGGAGGCAATGCCGACGGCGATATGTCTATGACTGGGGGTATCTGGGGGACTAGCTTGGTAAGTTCTTATCTCCGACGGGCAAGCAACGTCTGTATCATTACATGCGCGCGCGCAAGGCCCCTGCCCACCCCGAAATCCCATCCTACCATGCATAGGTTGTACAACACGCCTATTCATCCTTACAACCTCCCTTCCCGTGTCAGAGAGCTGGAGCGAGTGGTACCAGAAGTGGATGAGCTCCGATGAGGTGGCGAAACGCGAAATGAAGGGAGGGACACGGTTGGGGAGTTGAAAAGGGGGCTGTGGGGTTGTGGGCTATGGGTGTGCAGAGATCAGGAGGCTTGGAAGTGCACGCAAACAGGGTCTCTTAACAATCATTGCGCGTGCATGGCGCGGATGCGCTAGTGTGGGAAACTGGAGAGCTAACAGGGGCTGACTTTTTCGATAGACCTGGGGTGACATGTTGCTCCCTTTACTGCGGGAACGTTCCTCTACGTCGGGACCGTAGCCGTCATACCCGAACTGCTTGAGACTGGACCCAACAAGACCTTGGAGCTAAAGAAGACCCTGGGCCAGTTCACCGCTGTGGCTTTGGGCGCTGGCATCATGCTCTACATCTCTTGGCATGATTAGAGTTGGCTAGGGAGAGGGGGTTGACAATGTGATAGGCTAAGCCGTGGACGTGTGTGGTCCATCCTACGACACTATAGGCATCGCATTCTGTTTTGTGAAGGTTGGGGGATGAAAAGGTATTGGCACGTAGCTAGACCGGGTTTGTCTAACAGGTGATTGTGGGCGAACATCTGATGGACGGCTGTTTCCTGAAGAGAGAGATATACTCTAGGAAGACGCGTCAACCCCCACGCTAAGTCCTATCTACAGGCGAAGGGAGGCCGAGTTGGGAGGGGCGTACAAAACTAGGGGATAGGAGAAGTGGAAATACAAGAGCAATTTCAAAGGCTCAAGATGCAATTCAAACAGAAAAAGAACAGAGTTTCATGATGGGACGTTGGGTGCTGTAAGAGTCGGCGCAAGTGCCCAAAGCCACACGGCTAGTCCGCGCTGCGTGTATGTGTATAGGAACCGCCTAGACAGCCTCGACGACCCTGGGCTGGAACATGACACGGGCAATGGTGAATTTGGACGAATGCTGCCGCGGTCCACTCCTTTCATGTTTCCCCACCATCCATGATGGGATGGTGATGTCCAACAAGCGACATCAACATGGCGGGGAGGGGTGGGAAGAGGCAAGCAAGCAAAGGGTGTCTGTCCACCTGCTGGATTTCCAAGCATTGCAGGGGTTCCCCTCCCCGGGAGATGCCAGTGAAGGTTAATTGATACCAAGTAGACAATTTAACCTTGAGGGCGTAGCCCCGTGCAGGCGACGGAAGCAGAGGTGATCGACGAGGAGCTAAAGAGCATTGATGGAAAATAAGGAACAAACCCACACGGAGAAGCCAAGACGGTGATTGATAGGACAGCATGGTCCGTGTGCAGCTCGAACAAGGTTTGCGACAGGGTGCCAGTTGAAACTGCCAGTGCCACGAGGAAACGAGGGAACGACACGAGAGACACGAGGGCAACGCAAGGCAGGATTACAAATGCGGGCGGCTTGTCGACGAGAGGGCGCGCAACCAAACGCTTGCGTCTTGTCGTGCCAAAGCGGGAAGCGGGAAAGGGATGAGATCAACACAACGACAGCCCCCAAGCGCCAAATGCGGCATGGTGACGCGAGAGAGAGACAGACAGACGAGGGTTCCCCCATTATTAATGAAGTTAATTATTCAGCACAGTTTGACTATCAGGCACCGGAAGCCAACTGGAGGGCTGGCTGTCCATCAAAGCGTCCAACGCTGCATTGTGTTCAATTACCCCAACCTTTGCTTAAACGAAGAAAGTGTCGCGACAAGCTCACCCCGAGTAAGACCGGGGAAATATCAGGACCGAGGGAGGGGTGAGCAATCGCCCAAGAGATTCTTTTGGGCTGGATATGCACCGTCTTGAAAGAATATTTTTGTTTTCCTTTATCTCGTCAAACCTGCCGCAACAGGGGTCTTCCCCAATCAGTCACATTCACAATGAAGAACATAGATCCATTACATTTTCTAGTGACCGCTTGGCCTCGCAGCACAAAGGCGAAAGAGCGAAAGAGCGGGCTACCCCCACATTTTCTCCTTCTTCCTGGGGTTTCTAGATCTGACCAGGGTGCTCGAGTTCGAGATTGCGCGCAAGTATTAGTGTACACGTCGTGTCGTGGAATAGCGTATGACTCCCCGCTGTCATTCAAAGGGCGTCTACCTGTTCATCTGTGACTTTTCTCTATTAATTTCTTTCTGTTCTACACTACACTACCTACACTACACTACACTAGAGGCTGCGGGGCTGGTTGACTGGTTGGCGGGATCATCAAATGACTCCCGATCCCGTGCAGTACCATCCCTCCCCTTTCATGTCGTTTCCTGCCGTTGAGCCAGTGCGGTGGGCGGCCGACGCGGTTTGTGGCTGGGACCTGGTGGGTCGTATCCTTTTCCCTTTTCGAGCGGGAGATCGGGTCACCTTGGAAGGTTAAAGCCGATAGAGCGGGATGTTGACTCCCTGCAGGTGTATCGCGAGCAGTAGATGAGAAAACGACATGGAAGTAATGGAGGCGGCGGGGAGGAGGGCCCGGCCAATGGACGACTGCTTGCTCAGCGGAATGGTAACGAGATGGACCAGCGAGAGCCGGGCGGACATCAATGCTGAATGGGCGTTTCATCAATTTTGCCCAAGCTTTTCTCAATCAACCGACACAGTCAGATCTTGAGTGAAAGGCGATGGACACGCAAACTGCAAGCGGACTGGACAGCCATAGCCGAATAGGCTTTCCAAGTTTGGTGTGGTGGGTATCAAGGAAGCATCGATGATCGAATGGAGGCATATTTAGTGGGGAATCCCAATCCATTTGCACCCCAGACGGAACATTGAATCATCATGGTGGATCAATTGATCGATGTACAGTACCGAGGTACATCGCTCTCCCTTTTGGCGCCATCAAAGTCACTCTACAACCCCAGCTTGAGCGTAGTCCTCAGTAGCACGCCAGCTTGTCAAAAACTTTCGAAGCGACTAACAAGGGGTTGCAACGAAGGGCGCGAAAACGACATTTCACCTAATACAAGCAAGTACACACCCCCAAAAGTTTTTTTGGCGGCCACGCGAAACCCTTCATGCGTGTTCTTCGCTGTGCTTAACCGTGATGAGCGATCTAGCATGGCTGCCTGCTATTAGTATGTTGGAAGAGGGTGTGTTGCAAACAGCGATATCGGATACAATAGATGTAGACGATTGACATTAGTGTGGAAAAAAAGAACAAAGGAGAAACTGCCAGAGCCTCGATGTAACGACTATTGACTCCACGACCGTTGGTGGTTCAAAACATCACCACTTGACGAAATCTTCATCATCACGAACCGCAAAGGCCCCAGAGCAGAAAATTCTTCAAAGTTGGATCATAGGTTATCGTCGCTTGGAAGCGGCTCTTCGGTGTAGATTTTACGTTGCCCACTCTCGGCCGCATGGGGAGATGGGGCCGAGAGGTGAGCCAAAGTGTCGTGAGCCGGCATGGTGTTCTCTTATATAAAGATGGGTTCGCAAGAAATTTGTGAATCCCCATATAAAACCCACTCTTCCCGCAGCCAGTAAGACAGTGAGGCTCATGGGCGTGTACGGCTTGGCAGGGCTGCGAGGCAAAATCAAGCTCTGGACAGACCGAAAAGAAGGAAAAGAAAAAGACGAGGAAAGAAAAGGCCCGACAACACAAAAGGCCAGGCGTGCAGGCGTGGGGAAGGACAAGGGGCCGTAGAAAGAAGGTTAAGGGGGAAGAAGATTTTTTATACATCTGGCGGAGCTTGACGTCTTTTGTTACTAATAGCAACCTTTTTCACGATGCTAAGGCACTTTTTCCATTCTTTGCCTTCTGTATTCTTTCACTTTGGCTCTTGTTTCGCGGTTGGCATCGGTATCATGTGGAGCATCGTGGGGCATCAAAAATTTTATCCATCTCCGTCTTGCGATGATGCGGATGCAAATGGGGCCATGATGGAGACATTCCCGGACCGGGGTGGAAGCCTCCCGGCGGAGAAGGGGTTGAACGCGGCGGTCCCTTTTTGCACGTTGACACATATGTGAATTAGAAAGGACTTAGAGAGAGATGGTTGAGGAAAAGAAGGAAGACGTAGTTTCCAGCCCATGTCAGACTTGATCCATGGGGCCTTTGCCAAAAGAAAATCTCGGGAGCACCTCGAAAACCTCATGCTCTCCGGGGACCAACCCCTAACTGCCTTTGGAAACTACCGGACAGGAGTCAGCTGCGGTCCCCGTGGCTCCGATATCGACGCCGATGGGTGGAAGCTTGGATCTCCTTTGATCAGATTGACGATGATCGCAACTGGGTGTCACTGCGGATCTGCCGTCTGAGTCGTATGACTAGCCGGTTCCAGCCAGGCACGAGAGCGCGAAGCCGTTACATATGATTCAATCATTCACGAAGAGGTGGGAGGGTCAAGCGGGAGGTAGGGGTAGATAATCGCCCTAGCAGGGAGGGGGAGGGGTGCGATGAGCCTCAAACCAGGATCCATCAATGTCTTCCATGGTGATACTGCATGGATGATTCGAAATCGAGTTTTTTTCTTCGACAAGCAGCTCTAAAGGCGGCCGCCGTGTCCGAGGAAAGCTACGCGCGGGAGCGGGACCGGTGGGTTTCGAGTCGCAATCTCGGAATCGGGATGAGGGAACATTGAAAGGTCAGCTGCAGTGCATCAGAGCCACTGACTGTACACCTGTACAACCGGTATTATGGTCTTGTTTGGTCCATAGATGCCTCTCCTCCCAGTCTTACGATATTATTCCGCATCCCGATCAACAGCACTAGCATATTAAAAATTTCCGCTTTTTTTTTCAACATTGATGGGACAAGGATTTCTTCCGTCCATGGACACAGGCCCACATTAGCTCCATCTGCGAAGAGATCAATAAATGGATCCATCACTTCACATCATCGTGGCCTTGACCAACGCAGTCACTTGCGTCGTTCGTCGGTATAACGCTTCTGTCGTAGTGGAGAATCGGGATCCAAAGAGATTGACGCTTCGAAATCTTACATGGTGGATTTTTGTTTCGAGTTGAGACTGGTGGGCAAAAGTCTAGTAGTGTAGCTCCAGACTTCGGTAATGATACTTGGCTGACAAAAACAATTAATGAGCCCACCCCATCTCTATGGAAGGAGGATACGCTCACCGCGTTTCAATGGGTTGGTTCATGTTGGTTTGTTTCCAATTTGAACGAATCTTGCATCATTCCTACAGCCATAGCCATCACCACCACCATCACCATTGCCTGCCTTGCCAAGCTTGCACCCCTTTCGTTGGTTGACCGTGTCGGTGATGAAAAATCCAGCTTGATTCATCAGCAACGTCCACTTCCAGCATGAAACCATCTCGCAAAGGGTGCTTGTATCGGTACCAGGACCTATTAGACCATACTTGAAGGTTGGTCAAACGGCATGGGTCTGGGCCCAATCAATCAAGCACCCGCTTACCCAGACCCAGCAGGCTCAGCGTGTGCACGGCACTCTGGCGCCGCGCACACACCCTTGCGCCCCCGACGCCCTTGCTGTCCCCTGAAGTTGGGCTATTACCTGCTCAGGCTCCACAGCTTGTCTGCCCTTCCGAGTCGGCAGGGGTTATTGAACCCAAAGCCGCACACCCTTTCCACTTCACTGATGTACTTGTATTGTTAATAATATTTCATTGTCTGAACTGGGCCCGTCTGAGCTTGGGTTCGCGATCGTCATGCGTCTCGAGAGGAGAGATTGAGTGGTATTCAACATCAAACAAACCCAGCCTCGATGAGTAATTCGAATTGCGCTTCTGCGCCAGAGGAGGGGCAGGGTTGGTCCAGTAACTCTGACCCAACCAGAGAGAAGAGGAAACCCAAACGTATCGCACGACGGTTGAGAAATTCAGTGGTTGCCACAGTGGATCAGCAGTCAACGCTGAAGAGCCGGGTCCGGGCCCGGGCTCAAGAGCTTCATCCAAGCCGGCCAGTACATGGCATGCCAGATGTGGCCTTCAAGGTGCCACGAGCGGGATCCACAGTACGGCCAGAGAGTACCGACCGAGTCAGACGCTCACCCAAACGCCGACATGTACTGCTGTGCACCCATTCTTGCTTGCTTCACTCTCGTGAAGAGGAAGAGGGCGTTTCTCGGTATCTGGCTCCCATTGATCTAGCCCTGGAGCCATCCACCCAGAATCGTCTTCCAGTTCATCGCTTTCTTGTGCTACAGCCCTTTCGTCTTGTACATTAGGCTTCTATTTGCTTCTCGTTGTTGATACAGCCCAGCATCGTACACTGCCATGCCGTGCAAACCCTCAGATTGAATACTTGATGACCCAAGGCCAGGTTGTGGACCCGTGGGCCGGGAGATGGTGGGGGAGGGGACGGCAAGGAGAGAGCCAAAAGAAGGGGGAGTGTGGGAAGAAGCAACCCCCACCACACCCCTCACCTGGCGCCATGCCTACGCCCTTGCGCTTGTCAGTCGACATGGACATTGATCTCGAGTCGAGTAGTCACAAAGCTGAGAAACTAAATCGGTTCCGGATGAAAAAGCTCTCGGCCATCCACTCCCCGCAAGCGTGGTTCGTGTCCGTGTGCGTGCGTTTGTGACTGTGACTGACGCCTTGCGAATAACCTGCATCCACTTTTTTCTCCTTTGACGGGGGCTCTATACGTTCCTTTTTTCTGTCTTGTTTTTGGTCCTTTCCCTTGTTTCGCACTTGCATTGCGATGTTCTTGCCGATTCTTTTGGCTGGGTCTAGTAACTTTCGGTACTTCGTATCCGTTGGATTGGATTTGTAACTTTTTTCTACTTTTGGGGGTCTTTCCTCATGGACCCTTGCCATAACGCGAAGTTCTCGAACAAGAGACTCGGGACGAACGTGTGTCATCGGAGTAGCTAGCATGCCCACTTGCACCCACCACACCCCGAGTTCCGTTTCGTGAGCTTGGGCTCTGGTTGTATATAAGTCCATGGGCCCGCCTCGATGCCTCAGTCAACATCAAGGCTTGGAAGCTATCCATCATCCATCCGTATAAGTCTGTTTCTACAAAGACTTGACTTCGTGAACCAAGTGTGCTACTACTTCAAGCTCACTGCTAGAGAAAGAACGATCCACCTGCGCCAGCACTTACACCAAGAACATCCCATCACATTACATTACATCACACCGTCTCTTCACATCTTATCCTCATCCAAGCTGACTGACTGCCTTGCTCCTTCCTCTCTCCATCATTTCTTCCATTGTTACTTCTTAGTAACTTCCCGCCTCCACCTCACCGGCCCCGTTCAGCTACAACCGGCCGGAGCGGGTGTTGGTCTTTGTGCCACCTCCCTCGCTTGTCCTCCCTAGTCGCGGCAGGCTTAGGAGTTCAAACCCCCACCCCCAAGAACCACCAAAGGGACTACCAAACAGCTCAAACTCCCATAATGTCTAACCTCTACGATACCGCCTCCATGGCGACCACCTTGACCAAGAAGGCCGTGAACCCCCTCTTCCGCAAGAGCAGCGTTTCGGTCGTGCTCCACAACCACTTTGCGGAGAAGATCTATACCTCGGGCTCCCCATCACCGGCGACGTCATCATCAACCCGCTGCGCGATACCCGCTTCGAGAACGTGGAAATCACCTTTATCGGTCTCTCGCGCACCAAGGTCATGGCCACCCAGGTCGCCCAGCGTTCCTCTCACGTCTTCCTCAAACTCACCATGCCCGTGTCCGACTCCAAGTATCCCGTGCCCCGCATCTTTGAGCAAGGCCGATGCTACACCATCCCCTTCAACTTCGTGGTTCCCTCCCAGCTCACCCTGAGCGCCTGCAAGCACCCTCGGACAACATCTACGTCCAGGAGCACCACATGCGCCTGCTTCCCAGCATGGGCGGCTGGTCCCGGGACGACTTCGCTCCCGAGACCGCCGAGATCGAGTACTATGTCCGTGCCCGCGTCCTCGGCGAGGCCGACGCCGGTCACCGCCCCGACAAGATCTTCGAGGCGCAAAAGTCACTCCTCGTGCTTCCCGCCTCGCCCGAGGATGCACCCTACGACATCACCTCCAAGGACGTGCACTACACCATGACCAAGACCAAGAGCATCCGCAAAGGCATGTTCTCCCACAAGCTCGGCCGCTTCACCGCGTCCGCCTCCCAGCCTCCCGCTATTCACCTCAGCGCCGACACCCGCTCCGCTTCCGACACGGCGGTGACGCTGCAGCTTGCCTTCGAGCCGTCCGCCTCCGACATTGCGCCCCCACCATCAAGTCCGTGGCCGCTAAGCTCGTCTCCAGCACCTGGTACGGTATCACCGGCGCCAAGAACATGCCCGACATGGGCAGCCGACCCGACTTCGCTATTGAGCCCCCGAATCGCCTACAAAACTTCTCTGGCCCTCTTCAACACCAACGTTGACCGCGTCACCTGGAGGCTGCGCGGCGCCGCTGTGAGGCGAGACTCGGGGTACTCGAGCGACCCTGCCGACAGCGATGGCAACAGCTCCAAGAAGCAGGCGGCCCAGGACAAGACGGCGCACCTGGCCACTCTCTACATCCCCTTTGACGTCCCCGCCAAGCAAAGGGTGCTGCTTCCTACCTTTCACTCGTGCCTCGTCTCTAGGACGTACGCGCTCCACCTGACCCTCACCGTGGGACCTACCAATACGACCGTCTCACTGGTGATTCCCGTGCAGATTGCCGTCGAGCCTTCCGATGAGTCCATCGTGCTTGATGACGAGGCCATCGCCGAGGACGTAGACGAGTATCTCACTCCGCGCGTCATCAGGGTACCTGATCAGGAGCCCGTTCAGCATATCCTGCCTGGTTACGCTTAGGCAGGCGAGATTTTATAAAGACAAAACAAAGGCACGCAGACCAAAAGAAATTACGGAAAAAGACCCCAAACGAAAAACAAAGAATCGGCGAGCGCCTTCCCACTCCATCGACATCTCGCTCGGCTTCCTTGCCGACACGAACATGCCTCTCCTCCCCCCTTTTTCTCTTTTTCTTTTCTTGTTCATCTTTTTCAAGTTTCAGTCATGTGAAAGCGACATTAGAGTAACATCGCAGGGTTTGAGTTTGTTTTTCTCCCTTTTTTTTTTTGGATATTGATCACGACGATGACGATGATGATAGCGGCAGTGGTATCTCCTTTTGTTCTTTTTTTCCTCTTTCCTCATTTCCTTTTATCATGTTTCATTCCTTATCTCTTTTCAGTTATCAGTCTCATTATACCCGGAATTCAGTCAGAGGGATCCATTGCGTGTTAGGTTGCGACTTCGAGTTTGGGAACAATAGACATCGGATATATATATATATGAGAAAGGCACTCTGTGCGTACAATAGTTTCGGAATAATATTAACTACTCGTTATCAAATTCATTTTTCTATCTGCTATGGGCTTTGATATTCTTGACTTTGAACAAGCTGAAGAGCCTACTTTTCAAGGAGGAAAAAGGATGCCTTTATTCCGTAGAGCCATCGGACACCCAATCTTCCATGCCATGCACAACACGACAAGAGGTCATGATGGGCTGGTGGTAATTTTGGTGGCTGTAGATGGAGATACAAGCGGAGGGCGAACCAAGACCGCCATTATCGAACGGACCTTTCTAGTTCGAGGGTGTTCATGTTTCGGGGTTACACGACTGGACCTGCTCCGCCGGAGCACCTTCTGCCGCTTCCATCAACGTACATTCATCAATGAATCAATGCAGGATCTGGCCGTCTCTAAGCTTCCATGTCTGCTTTGATGGCGATGGGGTTATGTCAGCGAACACCGAAGCTGAACATTACTAATCACCAAACAGGAATATGGGGAAGTCCAGGGAATCCGCACTTCTATGCCGTATCCTTGCTCACATTCAGCCCTGACGCCTTCGAGGTGGGGAAGACATTTGGTCCGCAGGTAAAAATGCCAAACCCTCCACTGAACGAGGGTGTCCCTCTGCTGGGCTCATGCGTCCGAATCTAATTGCGCTTTAGACAAGTACTCGATTCATGGACAGCTCACTCCGATTGATGAAGTGTGCTGTCCAGCCCACGCCTGGAAGTATAGAATCGGGCTCTGCTCTTCGTGTTCACTAACGAGAGGATCGACCTCAGGAACATCTCTGTCCGCATCCATGAGGTGCATGCGCCGTGTTCATGGATGCACTGCTCATGGATACCACCAAAATCTGTGCTCGGTATGGAAATTGGTACATGAAGCGACTTTACTGAAGCATGTAAGACCGTTTAAGAGAATATGCGCTCGGTTTACATTATATCGCAGAACAGCCTGTGATCGCTGCGGCTATTCTGGCCGATCTGCCCTTTACTACACCTTGAGTCTCTCCGCTTTCACCACCGTGTCGAGGAGCGGCAGTAATGGGGGATAGCTTCACATTGATGTGCCGAGTATATACATGGACTCGATCACTTGGTTTGATCTGATCTATACCATTCATGGGCCATCAGAACCCCCACTTTCCGGACTCGTAGATCACGTAGTGCAATATGATGATTCATTCCCCATTTCCAGAAACAAGAAAACCCCCGCCACGGTGGTATTCTTCGGAACAAATCTCAATCGTGGAACCTTGAGGGCAGCATTCTTCCCCAGGCACCACACTGTCCCGTTCCCATTGATCCATCCACCTTTCCATCTCGACTGTGCGACAGAAGATTGCACGTAGACTTGCCAGCTGCGAGCAAGCTAACACCCGTTGGGCTAAGAGAGGTTCCGTTCCCACTTCCCCGTGCCAGTCTCCGGGCCAGAACTCGTGCCGTTTCAACCTAATTCATGACAAGATAGCCTTTACTCGCTGTCTGAGTCCATCTTGTTTTTCGTCTTCTCCATCTAGATTTATTTTTGATTTCAGCCTACCTTTTCCGTCACTTCCTTGTGTCCTCGCTGGTTTTTTTCTTCTCCTGCGTTCCCCTGGGAGTTGCTTTCTCGCTCTCCAATCGAGCCCTCGCATATTATCCATACGTGCATATTCGTTCCTGAGATTGGCCTTGGCGTCTGCCAATTGAGCTTAGCTTTGGGCTCTTTGTCCCCCTGTCCCGTGCCCCCTGCCCCTTTTTGGCGGCGGCGCCCTCCAACCAGAGTCAAGAGGTGTCAACGACATCTCGTCTGGCGTTGACCCAAACTTCTCCCGCTGTTCTCTCCCCCGTGCTGGGAAACTAGACTTTGCCGGGCCACCACCTTTCGAAGCGGCCAAGCGACATCGAAGAAAGAAAAGAAAAGACGCGTGAACCCCGGCAATCGTTCACCCTCCGATTGATTTATTCATGTTTGCGTTTCTGTCGTAGCCGGCCCTGCCTTGCCCTCGCCATTCAGCATGCGCAACCTCGTCGCAACGGCCCTGGGGGTGGCGGTCTCTCTCTTCCACATCCAGGCCGCCCATGCCTTCTACATTCCGGGTAAGCGAAGCCTTCTTCCACCGTCGTATATTTTTCTGGGTTCTTTTCCCTCCTTCTCTTGACCTTGTATTTGCTACATGGCGTCTTTGTCTTTGCAAAGGCACTAAAAGCAGTGCGGAAGACTCATTGGCTTCATTCCGGCCCGCGTCGTGTGTGTGTGTGCTAACAGTTGGTTTTCTTCTCTCGTAGGCTTCTCGATAAAGAGTTACACCGAAGGCGAGCAGCTCCCCGTTCTAGTCAACAAAGTATACTCGGACAACACGCAGCTCCAGTTCGGCTACTATGACCTCCCCTTCGTATGTCCCCCGACCGGCGAACAACACTCGGGAATCCTTAGCGGCAAGAATGTCCCCCTCAATCTCGGCGAAGTCCTCCGCGGCGACCGCATCAAGACGTCCGATATCGATCTCAAGATGGGCCAAGACATGGAATGCGCAATGCTCTGCACCCGCGACCTGACCCGTTCCGATGTCGAGCGCGCCAAGGATCTAGTCGAGGAGGGATACGTGGTCGAGTGGATCGTCGACAACCTGCCCGGCGCCACCAGCTTTGTGACGACGGACAAGTCGAAAAAGTACTACGCCGCCGGCTTCAAGCTGGGCTCCGTCGACTTCACTTCGGCCGGCGAGCAAAGGACCCTGCTCAATAACCACCACACCATCGTCATCCGCTACCGCAGGGCCCCGGCCGGGATGGCGACAATGGCGGCAAGGTCGTTGTCGGCTTCGAGGTGTACCCCAAGAGCATCGGCGTGGACACCCCAATGAACGACGCCGGCTGCCCCTTTGACATGCAACACATCACTCATAACCTCGAACTCAAGGTCCCGCCCAAGGGCGAGGATTACAACGACGAGGATGCCGCACGTCCCATCACGTCGGTACGGTACACTTATTCCGTCTACTTCCGCGAAGACGAGTCCATCGAGTGGAGCCGACGATGGGACCTCTACTTTGTCAACCAAGAGGACGGCAATAGGATTCACTGGCTGGCCATCATCAACTCCTTAACCATCTGCGGCCTTTTGACCGGCATCGTCGCCATCATTTTCGCCAAGACCATCCGCGCCGACATCAAGGGCTACAAAGATCTCAAGTCGGAAGAGGCCATGATCAAGCTGAAGCGCAACAAGACCGCGTCTCCTGGCCTAGCCTCGGTGGAAAAGCCCGGGGGCGCGGGCCTTCTCAGCGCCACGGGCGAGGCAGGTCAGATTGATGGCGGCGCTGATTACGACGACAATGACGATGATGACGACGGTGACGAGGCGTTCGAGGATGCTAGCGGGTGGAAGCTGCTGCATTCCGACGTTTTCAGGACCCCCGCCTATGGATACCTGCTCGCCGCTTTGGTCGGGTCGGGTGTGCAGCTGCTCCTTATGGCCCTAGGGCTGGTTCTTCTGAGCGCGTTTGGCGTGCTGAACCCTAGTTTCCGCGGCGGCTTCATCAGCGTTGGCATGGGCCTCTTCGTCTTCAATGGCCTGTTCAGCGGTTACTTCTCCGCGAGGGTGTTCAAGACTCTCGACGGCCAGAGCTGGCGCCGCAACGCCCTTGTTACCGCCCTCTTCGTCCCGGGTCTGCTGTTTGGCATCGTTTTCCTCCTTAATCTGTTTGTGTGGGCCGAGGCCTCGAGCACGGCGATCCCCTTTAGCACCCTGCTCGCTCTCGTTGTCCTATGGCTCTGTATCCAGGTGCCTCTGGTGTACGCGGGCTCGTGGTACGGCTTCAACAACTCGGCCGGGTGGGAGCACCCTACCAAAGCGACGTCGATCCCCCGACAAGTGCCCTCGCAGACGTGGTACCTCCGACCCATCCAAATGATCTTGTTCGCAGGCCTCATCCCCTTTGCCATCATCTTCATCGAGCTCCTCTTCGTCTTCCGGTCAGTGTGGCAGGACAAGAGCGGGTACTACTACGTCTTTGGGTTCCTGGCCGTCGTCTCGCTCATCCTCCTCGTAGCGGTGGCCGAGGTCACCATAATGACCGTCTTCATGCAGCTCTGCGCCGAGAACCACGATTGGTGGTGGCGATCCTTCCTTGTCGGCGGGAGCAGCGCCGTGTGGGTCTTTGCCTACTGCGTGTGGTATTACTTTTCAAGCTCAACATCACGGGCTTCGTCAGTAGCATGCTCTTCTTCGGCTACAGTCTCATGGCCTGCTGCATTTACGGCTTGCTGACGGGCACCGTGGGGTTCCTAAGCGCGTATGCTTTCATTCGGAGGATATACGGGTAAGCCTTTTCTTTTCCTTTCTCCCTTTTCTTGCCCTATTTTGGGTCCCCTTGACTTCCTATCCTCGATTCCTAGCTCCACATCCACTGCCTTGTCATCTTGGACTTCTTACTATTCTTCCTTGCTAACTGGGCTGACTTGCTCCGACAAATAGTGCTATTAAAGTGGACTAGATGCATGACGCTTCCTCATCCCTCTCTCGCTCTCGCCTCTTCTTTCTTTTATTTAATTTTTTCCTAATCCTTCTCTGTATGTCTTTTTTTGAAAAAAGGAAACAAACCAAACCCTTTCCACTTTTGATGACCTTTGTAGAAACATTTATCCATCTTTTCTCTCTTTTGGGAGGGGATACTTCTTGTTCTATATACGTCCCCAGACGAAGAGGTTCTCCCCTTTCTTCTTCCTCTTCCCCTTTCCCTTCCCAACGGGAAGCGGAATCTCTGACGAAGAATGACTTCCAAAGCTGGGAGGTTTTTTTTTCATCTTTGTTTTCTTCTCTTTTTCTTGATAGAAGCGAGCCTTGCTAGCTGGAAATGGGATGGTGTTGTGTTGGATGGGCGTTGGTTAAACTGAGCCGGGGCTCATGACATCCGTGGAGCAATGTATAAAACAGTGTTCAAACTCTCTTGTAGCATTTTGAAGCATTTTTCTTTTTCCCCGACTACGACTCTACGAATCTGTGCGTGCCCTCTTTCGTCTATTTCCGTCCGTCTACTGCACGTGAACCTCTATGAAGATCTCTCATATACCTAAAAACAGAAGAGGCACGAATTTCGAAGGGCAGAAGAGGCGTCATTTGCCGAGATCTAGTCCCCTCCATCCGTCACAGTATCAGCACGTTTACGTTGCATGCGAAGCATCCGGCCAAGGCCTTGTGGCATTATAGTCTACACGATATTAACAGGTACGCGTCGCTCGGTTTTAAACACAGTGGATGGCTTGAAAAATGAAGCTCAAAAAGGAGAGAAAGAGACAGAGAAAAACGGCAGTTCTAGATGCTAGCTCTTCGAGGGGCCATGGTCCGCCTCAAGGCCTTCTTTGCCTCCGTCTCCTCCACGAGAGGGAGCCTTCCTTCCTCCCTCAGCTTCTGCAGATATTCCTTCCCGTACTTGTACCCCGTCTGGTAAATCTCGTCAAACTTGCCAAAATCCAGCGTGCCGTACGGGTCAATCGGGGTCGCATGTAAAAGCATCCGGGCATCGCCTTGGCCCGTTCCAACGCGTCAACGCTCGAGACGTAGGCGAGACGAGCCTGAATCTCTGCTAGAGTAGGTGGGTTTGGATAAGATGAGAAAGGGTTCCACCGGTTAAGGATGACCCATATTCCCGAGAGAGTCTCCGAACTTTTGTGGCGTATCGTCGTCGAGCGACCCAACATCAACGGCAAAAATTGTATCGGCACCCAGCGTTTTCATGTGCGAAACAGTGAGGTTGTCAATGTAACCGCCGTCGAGGAGCATGCTCCCTTCGTCGCACAGCGGCGGGAGAAGGCCCGCCAGAGACATGGAAGCACGAATGTACCTCCAAGCGTACCCGCTCGTGTGGATCTCGGAGCGGCTCTTGCTGATGTTTGTAGTGTTGCAATAGTACTCGAGCCAGAAGTCCTCCATCTGGGCATTTCCAAACGTTTTGAAGATGCCTCGGTTAAACTCATGGCCCGTCGTGTACGATACTGAGGGATACGTCAAGTCCAGCGCCATTCTCCAGAGACTCGCCATCCGGCCGGCAAATTTCTTAGCAAGGCCGAATATGGGAACAACGTCTGCGTGGCGGGCGTACAAAGCCCCGATGAACGCTCCAATCGAGGTACCCCCAATCACGTCAATCGGGATGCCAGCTTCTTCCATTGCCCGAATAATTCCAATTTGCGCGATACCCCTCGCGCCGCCCCCGCCGAGCACTAGGCCCACCGATTTACCGCAGAGCTTTCTGGCTAGCCGGTGGAAGTCTCCCTTAAAAGGAGCCTCGGGTGAGTAAAACGGCCCATGGAGTACCTTCTTTGACGTGTACTTTTGTATTTCTGCCTGGAGAATCTGCACCCGCTCCTTGATGACCTTGCCTAGCCGCTTGACCGGAGCATGCTCTGGCACCGTATTGAGCCTGTAGGACATCTGGACGTGGTAGTGACCACCGTTAATCCACACTCGATTCCTCAACCACGCTCTCGTCAGGCCCTGAGGCGAGAACCTCTCAGAGTGAAGCAAGACTAGACTTTTGCGGGCCGTAGATTTCATGCCAAGCATGAAGCGCTCATATTCTCCGATCTCTGGAGAACCCTCCGCAAGACCAACCACTAGAATGCTATCGGCCTGGGATATACAGGTTTGCGTCCATGGCGAGTTGACATTGGTGTCTAAGAAGAAGGAAGAAGAAATTAGCATTCCACCATGTTGCTGCCAAACCCTCTTTTCCTCCACTTACCCGCAACGTAGAGTACGAGACTGTACTTCTCCTCGAGATCGGCCAGATATTGGGATAGCTTGAGCTTCCCCATCCTATTGAAAGCGTGCCTCCCAAGATGGCTGAGGATGGCAGCTTGATTGAGAGATGTGGCACCGTTGGGAGGCCCGACTTGGGCGAGCGCATTCATCAGCCGGTTGCCAAACTCGACAACTGGTACCCCCGACGTGACAGGCAGGATGGCGACTGTTCTAAGGTTAACAGTGGACGAGCCCTTGAAGGTCGCTGCGCCGGCCAGACCCCCATCCTTGAGGATGAACTTGGACGGGTCATCAAACAAGGACCTCATCCGAGATGCGATGATCTTGGAAATCTTAATCGTGATGTTGGGATGTTCCTGGGCGAGACTGTTGAAGAGAGTACGAGGGAACTTGACAAGCTCGGCGTCTCGAATGGCGTGCAGGGTTCCCGGCCGAGTAGATTCGGTCAGAACCTCCAATTCGCCCACACTCTCCCCCTGTCCATACTCGTCGCGTACCTTGACACCCCCTTCTTTCTTATCTTCCACTAAGCGCAAACGTCCGTTGAGGACGAGGTAGATGGCCTCGCTTTCATCGTCCTTCCGGAACAGAACCTCACCCGCGTTGACCTGGACCCACTCAAGTGCGAAATCGATGTGGAGAATCAACCTAGGTAGGATATTTGTAAGTCGCTTCGCCATGGTGAGGAGTGCAATTGGGTATTTGTCGACGATTCGTTCGAGCGGGACACGAGGGAGGAAGCCGACGTAAACATCCGTCTTGGCTACGACATCGATGAACGAGCGGTAAGACGAAACACTGCCGATGTAGCCCGCCAGGCCGCCGGGCTTGATGAGCGCTACGCTCCTGCGACCCCGCGGTTTCTTGTTCTTGAAGCTACCACCTTGGGCGTCCTTTTCCGATGGGGATGAGGCGAAGGGGTGCCACGTCCACTGTCCGGTGCCGTGCTACCCGGACCATCCTGCTTCGAACCGCGTCCATGGGGCCCCGCAAACATGTCGATCGAGCCTTCATCATAACTTGTGCATATATCGAGAAAACCGTCAATCACGTAGTACAAGCCGGGATTGCGCTCGCCTTGTTCGATCAAAACGGAGCCCTTGGGGAAGTAAACAATCTCGACTTCGTGATTCAGGTCGAGAGCTAAAGCGTGCGCATTTGGGGGAGGACCGAGAGGCACGTTCGTGGATGCCATGGACTCGGTTTCACCATCAGCCGAGGCATCCAACGGACCCATGAATCCGAAGGCGTTGCTCCCTCCCCCAGATCCATTTCCAAAGGCCGCACTCCCACGGCCTTTTGCTCAAAGGATGGTACTCGCGGGGAGCCCTCTGCAGAATCATCCCCCTCTGACTAGTTGTACCGGAGCTGAAACCGAGTGCCTTGAACATGCACTCGAGAACAGACACGCGGAAAAGGTTGTCTTCGTCGACCGATTCATGGCTGTGGGTAAAAGAGCTCCGGGGTTTGGCCTGGAACGGGTCAAACGATCCTCGGGGACTTGAGGCGCTATGAGTGTCTTTGGGGCTAGCTGCGCCTCTTCGTAGAATGTCCGTTGTCGGGTGAGATATGTAGTCGGTAGCGGTGGAAAGCCGACGCCCTGCCGCGCGGCCCAGTTGAACATGGGTCAAGAGATCTCCCGGGCTGGGTGATTGAGCTCCCTCGCCTCCCGCGACGGGGAGATGGTGACGCCACTTAGGGAAGAACGATGCGCCGTCATAGAGTGGAGCATGGCTTCCTTGCGCAAGTTGGTGCTACTTGGGTTGGGCCGCTGTCTAGCCGCGGAATTATGCAGGGCAATTCCCTTATCTTGGTCATCTTCGCCTATCCGTTCACGCTCGCGCTTAAACTTTTGTTTTAGACGGTTCAACGGTTCGCCGCGCAACGGATTCGGTAGCTGGCACATTGTGTATCGGACCACACTCTTTTCCGTGTGAAGAACTTCCTCGGTTAGACCCAAGTAGCTGTAAGCCGTGGCCAAGGTTACACGGAGGAAGCGGGTGAGAATCAGGTGTACGATCTGAGCTGTTGCCTTTGGGTAGGTTTTAATGAGACGTCTGAAAGCGCTGGCAGGTATGATTGCAATCGTAGTATCTACTGTAGCACGTGCGATAACGTCAGGATGGGCAGAGGTTGATGCGAGACGTCGCTTCAGAGCTGGGCGGATGGGAGGATGGGTTCGTCCGTCGTCTAGAGTAATGTGGCGAGTGGGCGACTCGGTAATCCCCGAGTGGTGTTCGAAGCGGCCGTTCTCCCCATCTCGGACGGGGAACTCGCGCGAGGCAGGCCGCGTACTCGTGTTCGACGCCGAAGGTGAAGGAGCGGCAAGGTTCGGGGTCTCGGAAAAAGACTCCTGAGGCACAGTCGTCGAAGAGGGCGTGCCGCCGGAGAGTTCATCCTCCGGTACCCTCAGGCTCACATCTTCCGTGAATAAGGACATGATGGAAAACAGGGAGGACATTGGGGCACCATTTCGCACCTCGGTCAAGAGCTGATATCGTTGCTGGCCGTGGCCCGTATAATCGTCGTCTTCACCCGAAGAGTCGTACAGTGAGTCCACCGAGGTGTCTCCAACGGAACGGCGAGGGCCCGACTTCACAAAGATGTCTACGAGACCATCCACCACAATACAGAACCCTTGCTCATCTTCAAGATTCAAGGTCTCGCCAGCAATGAGCTTCCGGGTTTGCATGCTCCGGGTCAACTCGTGGAATACAGGACGCTCCAGGTAACCGAAGATTTTGATCGCACTCAAAAACTCGTCCAGATAACTACCGAGGCCGTGCTTGATGTTCTCCTCATGGGAACCCGGAAACATGTCTACATCCGGTTCCTTCCTTTGGGGCTCGGGAGGGAGGCGAGAATACATATTGAGAATCCGATACCTAACAACCCAAGTGACAGCAGAAATAAGGGCGGCCAAGATGAGGGCTCTGTTGGTAGATCTAGTCAGTCGCAGAGGGAAAGAGAGGGGGTAATTAAGTGGTTGGGCAAGACGTACAATGTAGTAGCATTCATCGTTATGGTCCAACTAGATGATAAAAGAGAGAATATCAGGGTAGGGATTGTGATTGTGGTTAAGCGGATTGCCCAGTACAAGAGGGAGGAAACGAGCTGGAGCAAGACCATTATCAAGCGCCCAACGAAGCCAGACCAAGTGGCAGGCGCGGGGAGGATTTCCAGCATCTGCGCCAGCCATAGTGGCCAGCGCCGAGGCGGTAGACACATCCATTGTGCCGGACGCCAGAGGCAGGAATCTGAGGGGAAAGAGGTTGCGAAGAAGGCGCGCAATTATCGGAGAGACAAGGCCGAGTCGCATGCGGGTCAAGGCTAAAGGCTACAGGACGCTCATTGGAGGTCAAAGACAAGAGCCATGTGCAATTCGCATCGAACGGCCAGGGCAGGCAAAAGGCGACAAGAGTCTGGAGGAAAGAAAAGGGGAAGAAGAAGAGAAAAAAAAAGAGAGAAACAAGGACAAAGAAACCAAAAGGAAGAGGACGAAAAGAGAGACACGACAAGAAAAAGGGTTTGGGGGAAGCTGCTGGCAAACTCGTTGGTAAGGAGTTTGCAGGTACAAGCACGTGGAAGTCCAAGAGACGTCGGAACGCTGGATACACCGTCAGGTCCCGCTTTGCGTCAAAAGCTCCGGCCAGAAGCTCAGTGCATCCAAGAAATCAATGCGTCAAGGTGGCATGGGATTTCGGTCCATGCTTGGTTGTCCAGGGCGGTTTTGGCATGGGGGAAATGCAACGAACCGACACTTTCCGCTAGCTCCTAGGGTTGCCGAGTATTAAGCGCTGGGAGGAACAGGCCTGACAGCTCCATGATGAGGTCATCAGCCTGGCAGAGAAAAAGAATGCCCCGCCCTCCTTCCTAACCTGGTGCTGTATGCAGCATCGTGGGCTAGTTTGCCTACCACGTCACTTGATTTCTTTCTTTCCGAGATATTTCTTCTTAGCGCATGTGTCCAATTACCTTGGTTCCAGCCCCTCCCGAATCCATATAGGTTGGCCCGGACGAGAGTCACCATGCCCTTCGGCCAGCTCGTTCTCGGCAGTCCCGGCGCGGGCAAAAGCACGTTTTGCGATGGGAGTAGGTGTTGGCATCCCGTCTGGCTCATCCAGTGGTGGTCTTGTTTTCGCACCTGATGGCTAATACGCCCGCGATCCAGTGCACCAGTTTCTGGGCGCCATCGGCAGGGCGTGCTCCGTCGTCAACCTCGACCCCGCAAATGATCGGACCAACTACCCGTGCGCCCTCGATATTCGAGAGCTGGTCAAGCTGGAGGAGGCCATGGCCGACGACAAGCTCGGCCCGAACGGCGGCATACTATACGCCCTCGAAGAGTTGGAGAATAACTTTGACTGGCTAGAAGAAGGCTTGAAGGAGCTAGGCGAAGACTATGTACTATTCGATTGTCCCGGCCAAGTAGAGCTATATACGCATCACCAGTCCTTGCGCAAGATAATATTCAAGCTCAACAAGATGGGGTATAGGGCACGGCAACCCCTCTGCGACCCCTTTCCCTTTCAGCGTCGGTGACCTTGATCAGCTAACCGGTTCGCTCTCACAGCTTGTCGTAGTCCACCTCTCCGACTGCATATGCTTAACCCAGCCTTCCCTTTATATATCGAACATCCTCCTCTCACTCCGTGGCATGCTTCAGATGGACATGCCATGTGTCAATGTGTTGACGAAAATCGACAAAATCTCCACCTACGATGCTCTGCCATATAGCCTTGATTACTATACCGACGTTGATGACCTTTCCCGACTTCAACCATACCTCGAGGAGGAGATTCCTTCCAGGCGAAGCAACAAGTTTAGTCGCCTCACCGAGCTGATCGGGCAAATGATTGAAAGCTACGGCCTCGTTCGGTACGAAGTCCTGGCTGTGGAGAACAAGAGAAGCATGATGCATCTCCTCCGAGTCATCGATAGGGCAGGCGGCTATGTTTTTGGCGGTGCCGAAGGAGCAAACGATACAGTATGGCAGGTTGCCATGAGGAACGAGGCGTCCATCATGGATGTGCCTGATTTGCAGGAGCGGTGGATCGATAATAAGGAGGCGTACGATGAGATGGAAAGAGAGGAGGAAGACGAGCATGTGAGACGGAATGCAGATGCATCAATGGATCTAGACGACGAATGAAGTGCAGGTCTAGGGTGTAATCTGCAGGCCACTCCTGCAGCCCAACTATAGGCCTACCCATACCGCACTGCATCTTCCCACGCCATGAACCAGAATTTCATGTCGATATGGCGATATGGCTGATGAAGGATACCCGAAGGGGCTGTCAGATGCCTAGCGCAAAACAGACTTGCTAAGAGTCGGCGGTCGGCGGGGAGATACTGCGCATGAGGGCACCTCGAGGCCCTATACCTCCCTGCCTTATCTTTCCCCAATGTCTTAAAGGGGGTGTATCATAAGCTCCCATAGTAACTAGTAAAAATACCCGGATGAAGCGTTGGTTAACAAAAAACAACCTCATCTATTAGTCGGAGGATAGAAGGGATGGGTATCTAAAAGTAATGTCGATATCAACAAAAGGTAGAGAGTAGTCGTTGCATAGTGCATGGGGATCCTCGCACGCCGATTTTGGCCCTCTTCCATGTCTTAGTCGATCGCTCCAGCTGTAGCGAAGAGCCTGCGTTTGACGCTTCCAGACAAGGAAAAAGCAGGGCGACGCCCATAACTCCGTTCTAATAGTGGGAGGGGCTCGGGGTTCTGTGTCGGGGGTCCTAAAAGCATAGTAGGCGGTAAACCTCTAGAATGGTCTGGGGCTCCGCATCGCTAAGCCATAGTACCCGACGGGACCATGGCCAAGGCCGCAGTATCGACAGGGAACCGAGTTGCTAATCTTTAGTTCGTCAACGTTTGTAGTAGTGCCGACGTTGTTCAGTCACCGTCGCCCCCAGAATCACTTGAGGACTCATCCATAACATCGTCCATCAGGTCCACGGTCTCAGAGTTCCCTGGCTGGCCGAACACGGAGGATAGTGAGCCCGATTCGGAATCAGCCTTGGCAGCTAATATCAGCTGCCTTGCGCGCCGGATAGCCTCCTGCTCCGCCTTGCGAATAGTGCCGCTGACACGAACTACCCTAAAGATGCAGCTGGAGCCGTCGGATACGGGAATTTGGTCCATAAGGGTCAGGGCAGCCCAGACCATCCGGTACTGGGAGCGTGACGTCTTGACGATAAAGGTGGACGTAGCGCGGGAGAGATATTTCACTAGGCGTGTCAACCAACATTGCTTGGTAGAAGGGGAGACGGGGAATGAATGGGGCAAGCTTTAAAGGAGATTCAGAGATAGCACCCTACCTGATAAGTTACTCTCTACGACTCCGGAACCATAGTCCCCGAATAAAGAGGTCACGGCGATCTTAATGCCGCGCGCGAGGGCCTGCGCGGTAAGATTGTCCACGGTGGGACGATGGAGCGCGACATATCCGGGAATCTTGGCGGGTGTAGGCCTCGACGAGTCTGGAGGGTAGAGGATATTCACCAAAAGATATCTTTCTTTCGTTCGGACCATTTCCGGAAGTAAGGGTGGCGTAGGTGTATGGGAGTGTGGTAGAGCGATGAGGTGCGCAAAGTTTTTTTTTTGCTTTGTCCTGTTCCCTTATTTCAATGGATTTCTTGACAAGAATGGGATTTGGGAGGCATTGCGTGCCCAGAGTTCCTGACACAGTGCAGCGGATCAATCTTGACACCTCTAGGCTCTGAACTGGAGCCCTGAGCGTGTGATTCCAGTGCGATGAGCGCTCCATTCCCGCTGTAAACTGGCGCTTTAGTGGACAGTAGACTGTGCTACATGTCAACTGGTATTTGAACATTGATGAAGCGCCTCAAGACAATCCCAATTGATCAATGTTGGTCAATTTTATCAACAATAGATCAATAATAGACCCTTCACATCACGTCCTGCAATTAATCGAGATTGGAAGGGATAGGTTTGAGATAATACAACCCTGGAACGATTAAACGGTATCGGAAAAGATTCTATTTCTTGGGCCCTGAATCAGACATCGCCTGGTCACTGCCAACTTGCCTCGGGATCATGGAATCTAATATTCGCTTTAATTTACTGTCTGCTCATAGTTCTATGGATCTATGGCAGATAAACCTGGCCTAGATCGATCGGAGGAAGGATTCTGATATTCGCGCCGCTGGTCTACTTTGCAGGCAATATAACCTTAGAACATTGAAGGCTTCGTTGATCGAAATAAGCCACTAAAAGACAGGAATGGGGAGGCTGACTGATCGGTCAATGTCTAACATCCACCCACTTGAAGCTTCCATCGACGAACGTAGTCAACTCATCCTTATCTTCTGCAGCTTCCCTGCCAAAATCCAATACCTACGCATGTACAAGGAGGGGTTGTTGATCTTCGCCTACTTTTTATAAGCTATCGAGTATCTTTGAACAGCTCCATCTGAGATCTAGGAACTAAGATCACTTACTTGCATCCGCAACGGCCACCATGAGCGCCGCCCCTCAGCTACGGGCCGCTATTTTGATAGTCTCGACGACGGCTGCGAATGATCCTTCGGCCGATGCTTCCGAGGCAACTCTACGGCAGGTCTTTGAAGCAGAAGGCGGCAAATGGGACGTTGCTGAGGCGGCCATCGTTCCAGATGCGACGACACGAATTCAGCGTCAGCTCAAGCGCTGGAGCAAGGGCGCTGGCAAGGTGAACCTGATTGTGACCACCGGCGGAACTGGATTTGCTCAGGGTGATGATACTCCCGAGGTAAGGACGGCCCCCCTTCCCACCTGCGCGAGACCTTTAGCCCTACTCCAAATCCTAATCTTGAATTAACCGCAAAGCATGTCATAGGCGGTTTCTGAAATTCTGGACAGGCCGGCTCCCGGGCTAGTGCATGCCATGCTGAGCGCATCGCTCGCAGTGACACCTTGTAAGCGAAAACCCCTAGCATACGGACCCCTCTATCCTCTAGGTATATTTGGTCGCCAACTAAAGAGGAATGAAATCCTTGGATAGTCGCGATGATGTCAAGGCCGGTCGCCGGTGTCTTGAATGAGACCGTCATCATCACCCTACCCGGCTCCCAAGGGGCTCGTGAAAACCTGGAAGCCGTTATCAAGACTCTGCCGCACGCATGTCTCAAGCGGCCGGCGCAAACTCTAGAGCTCTCCACACTGGCGGAGTCAAGCGATTGGAGGCCGAAGCCGGGGTATCACCACAAGGCGGGGGCGGCAGTTCAGCCTCATCACCACCATCCTCACTCACACTCTCATGGCCACGGGCATGGTCACGGTCATGGCGGACTCGTGAGACATACTAAACCCGGCAGCGAGCATCTTTCCAACGACCCTAGCCTGGGGCCCAGCCGTCGGCAAAGAGCTTCGCCTTACCCCATGCTTGATGTTCCGGATGCCCTCGCCTTGATAGAGGAACACACCCCAAGGCCAAAAACGGTGACCTCGGCGGTAAATACCCAGCTCGTGGGCTCTATCCTCGCCCAAGACGTAGTCGCTCGAGAAAACGTCCCTGCTTTCCGGGCGAGCATCGTCGACGGTTACGCAGTAGTCGTACCATCCGACGGGAATATGAAGGGCACCTACCCAGTAACGGCCATCTCCCATGCGGCGCCAGGAGAGGCAAAGCCACTCAAACTAGGCGAGATTGCGAGGATCACTACGGGCGCACCCCTTCCCGAGGGTGCTACGAGCGTCATCATGGTAGAAGACACAGTCCTTAAAAGCATGACCGATGACGGATCGGAGGAGAGGGAAGTCGAGCTTCTTGCCGACGGCGTCAAGGAAGACGAGAACATCCGAGAGGTTGGCAGTGACATCAAGCAAGGGACAAAGATCATGTCCAAGGGCGAAAAGATATCCGGGGTCGGGGGCGAACTCGGCCTGCTCGCCGCCGTGGGCGTCGCCGAAGTCGAGACCTATAGCCGGCCCGTCGTCGGAGTCTTGTCGACCGGCGACGAAATTGTCGAGCACGACAAGCCGGGAAACCTCCGCCTCGGCGAGGTCCGCGACACCAACCGCATCACCCTCCTATCCGCAGTCCGCCAGTGGGGCTTCGAGGCCGTAGACCTCGGCATCGCTCGCGACAAGCCGGGCACTCTGGAGCAGGTCCTCCGGGACGGGTTCCGCCGCGTAGACGTGATCATCACGACGGGCGGCGTCTCCATGGGCGAGCTCGACCTGCTCAAGCCCACCATCGAGCGAGCCCTCGGCGGCACGGTCCACTTTGGGCGCGTCAACATGAAGCCGGGAAGCCCACCACTTTCGCCACGGTGCCGGTGAAAACCAACGCTGGCGAGCGGACGGTGAAGCCCATCTTTTCCCTCCCGGGGAACCCCGCGTCCGCTCTCGTCACCTTTCACCTCTTCGTCCTGCCTTCCCTCCACCACCTGTCCGGCCAGAGCCCCGCTGGCGTACCCAGCGTTCCCGTCACCTTGTCTCATGACTTCCCTCTAGACAAGGGCCGCCCAGAGTACCACCGTGCCTGCGTCTCCGTGGGGCGCGATGGCCTGCTCTCGGCGAGCAGCACTGGCGGCCAACGCAGCTCCAAGGTGGGGAGCATGAAGACAGCTAATGCTCTGCTCTGCATGCCCAAGGGAGAAGGCCCTCTGCGAACGGGCCATGTTGTCCAAGCCCTGCTCATTGCCCCGATCCAGCCATTGTGAGCTAACAAGGAAAAAGTCTGCTGAACAGGGCTAGTGGTTCAAGATCACGGGATGGGGTGAGGGAGGTCTGGTGACTCGTCCTCTTCGTAGACGAGCTCCTTAGCACAGGCAGAGTGTTATTTTTAAGCAAAAAGAAAAGAATTCCTCGCTATTGATCTAATTGTGCATCGCTCATGTTGGAGACCTCGATATTTCTAGGAGCTCTAACCACGACTCGAGCCTGATAGCAAGTTCTACACGGTAGCCGTTCTGAGAAACAGGGGAGAGGGAAACAATATCAATGACGACCGATACTGGTACATGTAATGAGAACACACAATGAGCTCTTCCGAATGTTGCTCAGTACTTCTTTCCTAAACGCCAGTCCAAATGATAATAATAGTACTGCCACAAAATGCTGATTAACCCATACATATCCAGCCCCGAATCCCAGCCAGCGCCCAGGCTCTTTGTGTTATTCTTGACCATAGTCGGGGATAACGGTTAGTCGTTACTCGCCGCTCATGGCCGCGCGACCGAGGTGAAGTCACCTGCCTTGCCGGAGACGAGGAGGCCAATGATGAGGCCGAATAGACCGAGGACGGAGCTGAAGATCTCGACAACAAGGATCTTAACGAAGCTGCGGGATATATTAGCATCTCGGTTCGGTGGTGCGGGGAGTTATGGGGGACATACAGCGAGGGTCAGCAGCATCAGCAAGGGCTGCGCCGCTACCATTGATACCAACGGAAACACCGCAGGCAAGGTTGCACATGCCTACGGTGATACCACCCAGAAAATGGCGTAGGCGACGAAAGCGGTGGCGGGGAGTCGATAGAGGCCGGGTCGAGGTCGTTGATCTTACTCGTGAAGATGATGGACATGATAAGCCCATAGATGGCTACGACTTCGCAGAAAATGATGGAGATGAGGTTCTTGGTTCGAATTCGAGGAGCTTTGACGCCGGCGCCGAGAATCGAGGATCCGGTAAGGAAGATACCCCTGCGTGATAAATTGCACCTCGTCAGTATATCGGACGTATCTTTAGGTATGAAGCCAAGTATAATTGTCAAAGGAGGGAGCCCAGGCTATGATAGTGAGGGAAAGCGAAGGAAAAAAAAAGGCCGCGATGATGGCCATGCTCGGCAGACTCACCATGCAGCTCCAACAACGGATAGGCCCATGCAAAGCGCCACACCAGTGCTCGCCCACGCGAGGGGAGACTGATTCTATGAATTTTCCAGGACTGAAAGATTCACCGCTGCCAGTGAAGAGCATGTCTACAAAAAGACGACGGTTTTGTTAGTACTTCTGTTATGGCAGGCCGGCGATATCGACCGGGGGAGGGGCGAGGGCATCATACAAGCTCCAACCACCAACAGGGTGAAGGACAAAATGCCGAAGCCATAGTATGAAAGTCCCATCGTGGTACGCGAGCTCAGCTGCTCAAGAGATAACCGGTTAACCTTGAGAAGGAATGAATGTCGGGTGTGTGGTCGGATGGCGTTTCGTCCTGCGTTGCTGGGAAGTGCAGGAGCTATTCCTTGATTCGCGAAGCTGGCTTGACGGGAAGCTTGAAGCAGCGAATTCCTAGATTACGAAAGACTAGAGGTACTTATTAAACAGTCTCTCTCTCCCTCAAACCGCTGATTACATGGGCTAGCCCGGCTCTGGAAAAAGGCAGCCTAGATCACGTGGGTGTGTTTGTCAGCAGCGCCGACCCTCAATGACATCGCCCCATTCTAGGCCTCAAGCCTCAAACTCTCCCACCTTTCCATTCCTATAAATACCCACTTCACCCCACGATCCTCTCAACACATCCCCCGACGACACATCGATCGCGCAGACGTGATCACCTCAAGATTATAAACTAAGGAAAAGAGAAGCGTATTTGTGGAAATCAAGGCTTTGACTCAAAATGGCTACTGGCGCCCAGTCGTTCTATGAGCTCTATCGCCGTAGCAGGTACGGTCGGCCATGTAGCATTGGCTAGCTCGGGGGCGGCGACAGCTCATTGCCTTGGACGACGACAATCAGTCGCCGAGTCTCGAGCAAGCACTCTGCTGTTTCTGCTATACTTAGCGTAATTGAAGCTGACTGTGACTCATTATATGCTGTAGCATTGGCATGGCTCTGACAGATACTCTGGATGACCTCATCAGCGACGAGCGCATAAACCCCCAGCTCGCGATGAAGATCCTGGGCAACTTTGACCAGGCCATCACCGAGGCGCTTCAGAAGAATGTCAAGGCTCGCCTTACTTTCAAGGTCAGTGGCCTGCGTCCTGCTGCACATGTTGCCTTTTCTAGCACCGTGCCCCCCTTGTTTCCTTTCTCCCCAGGCTTTTGCTCTGCAGGATATAGTACTCACGTGTCTTTTTATCATGTTGCCGTTTCCCCAATGAACAGGGCAGTCTTGATACCTACCGATTTTGCGATGAGGTTTGGACCTTCCTCATCCGAAACGTCACTTTCAAAATGGACGGATCGAGCGTCGTTGTCCCCGCGGACAAAGTCAAGATTGTTAGCTGTAACGCTAAGAAGCCCGGCGAAACCTGAGTTTTCGAGGTCGCTTGCCTCGAGCCAATGTTGCACGCAGCCTCGTGAGGCATGGGTTTTATATTCCCTTCTTAGTATCTCGCTCATGATGTGGGGAGCTCTTATGGCTACAATATTTCGCATGTAAAAATCGGCGTTTAAGGAATGGATTGGGAAGAGCATATGGCAGGTTCACAGGCTCTGGTTGTTTTCTTGGTAGACTTTAAGCTGCTATATCATTCAAGCCGTTCCAAGGTGGATATCATATTTGACGTCTCGGTCCCCAACGCCCACGTGAAGTCCAAGTGATGTCCTTTTCTTCGGCCCTACCATTCCGGGGACAGTGTTCGACTATGCTAAGCCTCCCATGCCACAGCGCCTTTGAGATACCGCAGGAGAGGGCAGGGTGAGAGGAGTGTGGACACATGTATCCATGGATGCATGCTTGTTATCCTAGAAATGATGACTGGTGCCAAAGGATGCTAAAGGGAACGATTATATCTTAGAGATATGATACAGGTGGTTAGCGATGGAGATATGGGGTATACTATGTGATTATTCGACCATTCGGCTGTGAGGCCCTCCAAGGGAGAGGGCCATCTCGCAAAGCCAAAACCGAACTTGGATCTTTCGGTGTCTGTATAAACAAACCCTTGATATATCAATGGTCATAGATGACAAAGGCGCTGATCTACCCAGCTAGACAATGCGGGAAAGCGTAATTCTTGGGACTCTGTATATAGGCAAATCTATATGTAGTCTACCGAGGTACAAAACCCCCAATTTAACCACTGAAGAAAGAAATAATTCGTGATACTGGGCGAATTTTTAAAAAAAGATAAAGACAAGAAAAAAACCCCAGAATGAATTAAAGTGATGGAGGATGAGACCCTCAGTGAGGGATTGGTGCTGGCCCTCTGCTCTGGAGGCCGAGAGAACTCGATGGCGCAACCCTGAGGCCACCGCTGTCAATCATTAAACTCCCTTGACGTACACACTAGTCGGGCCGGCACCGCTCCCAAAGAACTTTGAACAGCGCGCGCGCCGACTTTTTAGTCCCGGACGAACTTGACGCCAACGGCCAGCACTCTCAACCCACCAGACGTCAGCTACGCCGGAACACCCGAGAGCTGAATTGCGAAAGCTTGATTTGAACCATCATTGACGCCTCCTTCCACTGTAGACAATCATTTTTTAGCGTCTACTGATTGAGGGCCCCGCCACCAAATCCCCATTAAAACCTTCCCACTCCCTCCCCTTTCCCCATTCCGCGCAACTCTCTTTCGGCCCCGTTCATAATGGCCCGCCGGCGCAACCCTCATCGCGAAAGATCCTCTACTCCCGGGGATACGGCCGCCGCGAACGGAATGGCAGACGACGTTAGGTCCCCCAGGCCGCCGCCGCCGGCGAGCAGCAGCCTCTCCTCCCACAGAACGCGGCTGTGCCCCGGCTCCCGCGGGTCGCTGGGTTCTGTTGGCTGTTGCGAGCGGTGCCTGCGCTGCTTTCAACGGAATGTTTGCTAAACTGTAAGTCGGGCCCTTTTATCCCCATTTTTCATGTATGGATATATATATATTTAGGGCCCGCGTCTGCTTTAAAAGCGTGAAGGCGTCAAGGGTTCGAGGTGAGACCTGAAGTAGCTAACCCCGTAATGCTAGGACCACAACTGAGCTCACCTCAAGCCTCGCCGCTTTCATCGCACACGCCCTCGGCCTCACTTCCCGTCTCAGTGCCGTTGAGCTCGTCATCAGATGCGTAAGCCTTTTCTACCCTTTCTACCCCTTCTACCCTTTCCACCCTTCCTCTTGCCTCCCGTGGGGTCACAATCCACCATTGCACAGTAGGCCCGGGCCTCTAAACCTAGACAAAAATAACAGATGTTCTTCGGCCTCAACTTGGCCTTCAACGGCGTCATGTGGTCCCTGTACACCTCGGCCCTAGCCAAGGGTAACTCCAGCACCCAGGTATCCATCATGAACACCTCCACCAATTTCATGATTACCGCTTTTCTCGGCTTCGCCATCTTTTCCGAGTCGCTCCCACCAATGTGGTGGGCGGGCGCGGGTCTCCTCGTCGCGGGCAACGTCATCTTGGGCCGCGCGGAGAAGGCTTCGGCAGACAAGGAGAGAGCAACTGCCAATTGATGGTAGAAAGGAGTTTCGCTCAACGCGCGAGACAGTTTTGATGGGGATGGGGCCATCAGAACATCCGGAAATGTATAATGTAGACTGTAAAACATCCATCCATTGTATTCTCTAAAATATATACCCAACCCGTTCTGGCTATCGCTTCAGAAAACAAATGCATTGATCCATCATATTGTTTACACCAGCCTCTTAGATGGCTACATAAGAATGGGCTATCAGGAAACTCCGCCAACGCCTGTTGTCCAACAAGGTAACGAGAATGGGAAAGAAGAACGAAGAAGAAGAAGAAAGAGCCCAAGTTTGCGACGCTGAGGAAAAGAAAAGGGTGGGCTCATGCAAGTTGAGAGGGAGGCTAAGAGGCTAAGAGCAACTTGACCCAGGTCATGACCGACTATCTAGCTCAACGCCGCCATCATCGTCAACCAACTCTTCATCGCCATCCATGATCGGTCCACCCCGTACTCGCTCGTCTGACCCGCCAAGACGTATCCGGCCCCTAGAAGCCGTAGAGACCTTGCCCGAAACCCATTCCGCGACCCGTTGTAATACGTGCCAGAGCTTCTCCTGAGTTTCCAGCAGGTCGTGGTCGTCGCGCGGGTGTTCCGCCGCCTCGGCCTTGAACTGGTACTTGAGACAGTCCTTGACGGTGATGAGGCCGGTCAACTTGCCGTGGTACTCGACAAGGATGACGCGAGGACCGATCTTGCGGAAGAGTTCCATGACGGTCTCGAGAGAAAGGCGTGGGTGCACTGTGACGGGTGTCGCATCGACGTAGCGGCCGAACGATATCGTTGATAGGGAGCCCGATTCGCCGCTAACGCCTACGGTAGGAGTCGTAGGACCCCCGGCGGGATAGCGGGGAAGTCGTGGAGAACAAACAGCGCGTGCCCCGCTCCATGGGGCGCTCCCGCTTAGCCTTGTCTATCGCGTATTGGAGCTCGGTCCGTCCGATATAGCCAACGAGGGTCTTGGAGTGCTCATCTTCGACAATAGGGAACCCTTGATACTTGCCGTCGGAAATCATCTCCTCCACGTCACCTAGCGTAAGGCCCGTGGCAGGTAGGGAGACCGTGGCTTCCGTCATGGCGCGGGATACCGGGACACCAAAGTTGTGTTCCTCCTTGTTGTCCAGGTAGGGCATGCCGCTAGCCCAGATCGCACGGTCGGCGATGCCGCCCTTGCTGAAGAGTTCACCCACCGCCTTTGTGACGCCAACCACAATCATAGTGGGCAGGATATACGTTAGTGCTCCGGTAATTTCGAACATGATGACCACGACGGAGATTGTGATATGCATGACGCCGCTCAGGGCAGCGGCAGCTCCAAGAAGGGCATACGCTCCCGGAGTTATGCACGGCTCGTCGGGCTTGCAGGCGGAAAAGAAGATGGAAGTGGGGTTTGACTGGTGCAGGGCTTCCACAATCACACCGACGGTCCGACCAAAGAGCGCGCCAATAGCCATGGACGGAACGAAGATGCCGCAGGAATCCGCGCGCCATATGATATAGTAGTCAAAAAGATGCGCAGGCCGGTCGCGATGACGAGTGACATGATGGTCATGAAACGCTGGTCCGGGTCACAGAGCCCGTGGTAATCTTCTCCCTCGCATTCGGAAAAGAGGATCTCCATGCTCTCCGTCATATCGATCCTCACAAAGGGGTTGGGATAACAGAGAATGGCGGAGAGGACGGCGAGCATGGTCACTTCGAGGACCGCGTACTTGGTGAGGTACTTCTTTCGGAAGGCCTGGGCGCGTAGGTTCCACTTGATGATGAAAGCGCCGTAGAGGCCGCCAAAGATGCCAATCACGATGAAGAAGAGGATCTCGAAAAAGTGCCAGGTCCTGTCGTAGGTCACTTGGAACATGACGAGCTGGCCGGTGCGGAAAGGGTTTACCGCTGCGAGAATGGCCGTGGCAGCTAGGGCGCAGAAATAACTACGCCACAACGTCTTAAGGGGAAGTTGGCCGACATCTCCTCGAGGGAGAACATGACGCCGCCGATGGGGCTGCCGAAAGCGACCGCCACCCCGGCGGCTGCGCAAGCGCAGAGAACCTCGCGAGTCCTGGCCGCGTTCTTCCGGTACTTGTTGAATAGCCGGGATATAACGCTGCCGGTGCATACGGCGTAGTGGACGCTGGGCCCCTCTTTTCCGACCGAGATTCCGGCACCAATGGTCAAGGGCAGGGTGATGGACTTGATGATGAGGGTCCAAAAGGAGAGGAAGCCCTTCATAACGAAGCCCGCAATGATGCATTTGATTTCCGAGATGCCAGAGCCGGCGGCGTAGGGAGCAAAGTTCTTGACTAGGGTCGCAGCGGTAAATGCAAGCAAGGCCTGGGTGTCGCGCAACAACTGGTTAGCATACAGTGATAGATAGGCTCGTGGATAGGCTCTTTGAGGGGAGGCAGCGCGCTTACAGCTAGTACAATATAGATCAGGTAGTTGAGCGGCCCAAATCCTGTCCAGCGATGCCAATCGTCGCATCCTCTTTGCTCTCCCCAGCAACAGAAGTTTTCGTTGAGGTAGAATCCCGTCTTACAATAGCCGAGCTTTAGGTCGGCGAGCCACTCGGTCACGATGCTTAGAATGGCGGCATTGAGCCCGATGGCCATGCCGATCAAGGTGATTACTAGCCAGCCCTGGATTGCGTCGTATGTGATCCATAGGCGCTGTCTCAAGCCTGGAGGGCCGTGATCGTAGAGGCTGGCGACCTCCCGCCGTCGTGCTCGGCGCCGAGCCTGTTCGCGGGCAGCATCTTGAACCCAATCTGCGTGTTGTCGGGTTAGTACATATCTTATACGTGGCGAGTGCTGGTATAGAGGAATTGTCGCGATCGCATACCTATGGTTGTAAAGTCCTAGGACAGTTAGCAGATGTACACAAGGGGGCAGGTGGTGATATGTTGCTCGCGCTCGAAGTGGCTTACCTCATATCTCTTGATCTCGGCGATTTCCTCCTCTACGTGCTGTTCGCTGACATGGGCATGGCTGTGCTGGCCCCTTTCTGCGCCAGAGACAGCATTCGAAAGTCTGGCGGTTACGGATGGCCTCCGGGACGGCGTACGTGAGTGGGTCGAAGAAAATGATCGGGAGCTCATCGTGTAGATGGCGGGACCATTCTGCCTGTGGCGGAGGTCTCGCAGCTCGGGCAGGTCGAGATATCGCCTTCCTTCCTTGGCCGGGGGTTGTTTTTTTCTTTTTCTTTTTGCTCTCTTGTCGTCTCTTTTTCCCCGTGGTAAAGACTGTGCGGTCCTGCGGCAGCGATATATGGTGTGCGTAGACTCGATATCTGTGTCTACTAAGGGGGTGTGGTGGAGGGAAAGCCGTTGCGCGCACAGTTGAGCAATTGGCGCGGCTGGGGATGGATACCAGTGGCAGGCTGACGCATTTGATGGAGCGAATCTGGCAACCTTGCAATAGCGCAGTTGGAGAGCTCGAGGTGGGTCCGTCCTTCGACTTTGGGTTGCGCCTCTTAAAATCGTGCAGGACAAATCAAGTCCAAGGCTCAAAACAATAGTCCACTAATAACCCCCACTATATTCTGAAAGCTCGCCTGCCAGTACCAGCACCCGACTCAATGAATTGTCTCTTATCGATATCAGACTGCGTCCTTTGAATTGTCGCAGCGCAGGTTGATCTGCACGCTTAGCTGCCCAGTGGAATTCATTGATCATTGATGGGCGACTTCGTAAGGCTGGGCCCATCAGGCAAAGCCAGTAATTGACCATGGGGATCAAATCCAAAGCGAGGCCGGACACTCTTCCTTTGTTCCAAATTCCCTTGGCTGCTAGTCTATTAAGCTCAGTTCAACGAAATCTTGAATCCTGCACGCTTTCTTGCTAAGTAAAAGTGGTAATTGTAGACGCTTGGCCGTGTAAAAGTGGATGCACCCGTCACCTAGAAATCATTGATAGTTGATCAACTCGGCGCGTGCACCCCAATTCGATTCTCCAGCGCGTTTCTCAGCCAAAGATCAATCCAAATCTACCCCTCCACAACCTCTCCGCCAACCACACTAGAAATTATCAGCCATCTCACTTCATTCCCACCTCACTGCTTTCGCGCCTTTACATACTCGCATACTTTTTCAGAGCGCTACCGCGTACCGCGCAGGCCGTGATTGAACTTGGTTTTACTTTTCTTTCTTCCACCATGCCTTACAACACCACAGCTATCCCTCCGAGGAAGGAGACGGAGGCTACCGGCCAGACTCAACTACCATGTGAGATCCCAGCTCCGCGAACCCATGTCCTCATTATCGCCGCCCCATGCTGACAGAATCTACCTTTGTGTACAGTGACGAGGGTGAAGAAGATCATCGCAACGGATCCTGATATTGCGATATGCTCTAACAACGCTGCTTTTGTCATCACTCTTGCTGCGGTAGGTTCCGTGCCCAAAACTCTGCCTCCCGCGGAGGGAACTTTATGCTGACTATTTTTGGGGGCTCGTAGGAAATGTTCGTTCAACACCTGTCCAGCGCTGCACACGATGCCACCAAGCTAGACACCAAGCCCAGGAAGAATGTCCAGTACAAGGACGTCGGTACGTTGTAACCCACCTTGCTGGTGATTCCCCATGTGCCATCCCCTATATATCCATCATTGTCGTCCCTCTCCTCGCCTTCGCTCCCTGCTTCACCCCACCATCTTGCTAACATGTTATGCAAGCGAGCGCCGTGGCGACAAACGACAACCTCGAATTCCTCGAGGATGTCGTGCCCAGGACCCACACCTACAAGTCGGTCAAGCAAAGAGCCCAGGAGACGCGCGCGAGGATCAACGGCGAGCCAGGCGTCGACGAGAAGAAGCCTCGCTCCAACGGCAAGAAGCAGCAGAAGCTCACGGCCAACGGGGCTGCCGATCGCAGCGGCACTGCCGACGAGCATTCCGAGGATCCCAACGCCCAGCTTGAACTAGAGGCCAGCCAGGCCGCCGGCGAAGATGTGCCCATGAGGGACTAGAAGTCCATGAGGCTTGCAAGCCTACTGGGGCCTCCCTAACTGGCTGCTAAGACATGATGAGAATGATTTATGTAATACTAGTAACGAGGAAGGTGTCTTTGGTTGGGTGCCCACAGTTAGAGCATGTTTCCCATAGTGCACAGCATCAAACATTTCATTTCAATGGGTATGCATGAATCATGACTCCTATATCCGTTTAGTCCCTGTCCTCTGCCTCTTTTTATTATTTTTTGTCTTCCCCGCCCTTCTTCTTTTCTCTTTTGTCTCTCCCTTCAGCCCCGTAACGTCTAGATTGCACTCATTCCTCCATCGCATCGGGATCTGCGTGGAAACCCGGCGGTAGCCGTCCTTCATTCAGCATCTTCTCTAGGCGAATAATCTCCTCTAGGCTAGATGCCTTCTTAATCATCTCTTGCAACCTCTTCTTCTCCTTGTCCGTCAACTTTATCCTTGAGAGCCTAGAGCTGTCCGAAGGACCATCAGCCACGGCAGGCCCAAGGCCGCTGGATTTGATGCCCATGATCTATATATACAAGTTAGCCATTTGTAATGCTTGCGCCAAGTTGGCTAGACGGGAACGAACCTCTGTCGCCAGCTTCGTTGGCTTGTCCAACGTCCCAAAGAGCTTCTTGGCGTGCTGCCTCTCGGCATCCTTGACCTTTTGATAGTCCAAGAACCGGACAGTAGGGCACCTCCAAATTACCCAGTATCGGTAGTTCTGTCATAGAAAGCCCTCGTCAGTACCGTATGGTCACAGCCCACTGCATGGCTGGAGAGTCCAAGGACGTACCTCTTTCTTCGTCACGGGGTTGTCTGTTAAAACCAGGTGCGTGAGCCTCTTAAAGGTTGCTAGGACGTCCAAATCCGCCAATTCGGCAAAACTGTTGGATGCCAGGACCAGATTTCTCAGATTGGGTATCGAGTGGGCCACCGAAGGCTGGACGCTCGAGACGCGGTTCCTCGCAAACAGCAGTGTCGTTATCCTCGGCGACAAGGGAAAGTTCCCCAGCACCTGGATATCGTTGTCTGTGAAATCTATCGAATCATGTGGCTATAATCACACTTGTAAGTCGGTGCCTCTTTAGAGCACGGGTGGCGAAGCGCGGAAGCGCGGGAACGTGGCACCGCGGGAGGGGTCGCAGAGAAGGGAGAGAAGGGCCAGGGACGAGCAGGAGGTGGAGAGGCAGTGGCAGAGGCAGGACTTACCCCAGCAGCTCCCAAATTCTCAATGGCTGGAATTCGGTGTCCTAATCATGTACGAAAACATTCGCTATCAATTCTGCTCCACAATCAAAAGTGTAGTATCTGTCCTTTTCAAACGCACCTCGGAGGTCGAGCTCGCGCTCTTTCAGCGGGTTGAGGTAGGAGAGGAATCCCTGATGAGGTCGGCTGTGAGCCTCATCTTGGTAACTGGCGGTTACCTGCGCCGTAAGGGAAGGAGAGAGGCGATCGGCGGGTTTCGAAAGGGGAGGGGGAGGGGACAGGGTGGCCGTGTCGCGGGGTTGGTGTAATAGAGCCGCTGGAATAGATTTGAATCAGAGTTTCGATCGCGTGCGTGGGGAACAATTCTCGATGGTGAGAAGTTGGATGCCATTCCACTCCTCCAAAGCTCTGTGGCCAATTTTCCGAGGAAGTGCCGACCCCCACCACCCAGTGGCCCCTTCAGGCACCATTCACCAGTTTAGCAGTAATAGTGGAATCGTCTCAATCATTGATCTCAGCCATCGATATTCCCCAGTGATGGCCTCTCGAGGCGTGGCTCTTTGCGATCCTAAGAATGAGAGAGGGCATATCAGAAACTCTTCAGACCAACGTTCACAAATCTATCCACCTAGGACCTAATCTACATTTTCTAAACCCCCATTTGGAAAGCTTGAAATAGCCAGTATTTGAAATTGAGCCTCTCCGACAAGACCTGAGACTAGGAACTCGGATTATATCGTAGCACTGCATGGAAGCAGACCTTGACCTCCCGAGATCATGTGGCTGTTGGCTCTTTTAATACTTCATTACGCCACCATGGCTTCAAGAGTCCTGGCCCCTTGTCCGTCTTGCAAATTTAAAGGCTATGGGTTATTAGTAACCCGTGTTTTAAAGACTCGAATCATTGACTCCTAAGACATGGTCTAGTTATAGGTTAATCCAGCCACTTAACGAGATTAGTGGGGTGTGTTTCGGTGGCAGGGGAGCGGCCACTTATTATTTCTGGGTCTGGACTTGGCTGGACACAACAACGACCTTCTTCTCGTGGAGAGCTCTCCTACCCACATACAGTTGCCGAGCTAACAGCTCGAGAACCTACGAAGAGTGTACATATAGCAGGATTCCGTAACCAGCGCACCAATTGATGCATTACCCCACGACCGGTGGCTTTATCCCAAAAACTATTACGGAGCGACGATTGATTCCTCCCCCAGCACCATCAATTGTGAGACCGACTCCCTCGTGGCCAGAGTGCGCCGATCTCGATCTCGACTGCACCTGCGTCTCCGCCACCATGGACGAACGATCGATTCTCGAGTTTTATCGACTCCAAACACTATATCCGACCGAATGGCCCCAGGAGAATAACAGCGACGCCTCCGACAGCGAAGATGAGGCCAAGAAAAAGCTGCAGCGGAGGAAATCCCGATACCAAGCGCTCGAGAGGACGACGACCCGCAGGAGCATGATTGGCGCGGATTCATCGGGCAAGGGAGGGGAGGCGGCGCCCTTGTTCAAAAGGACGAGCCGGACCGTTGGGAACCGCCGACAGCGTCGTGCGGAGCTTGCGACAGCTTGGCTTACCCGTCCAAGAGAATGCTCGCCTGCGCAATCGATTCCTGCTGTCGTCCACATCCTTCGCCCCCTCGCTCTTTCTTTCGCAGATGCACGCGAATGCCGACAGCCAGATGCTCCTCGACGGTCTCAACGTGCTCACGAGATCGATTGATGAGAAATCAGCATCGCTTAAGGAGCTTGTTGAGACCAACTTCGAGCGTTTCGTCAAGGCCAAGGCCACGATCGACAATGTCTACAAGGAAATGAAGTTTAGGGGACCGAGCCTCCCTCGCCCTCTGGTGGACGCGCCCGGGGCCACTCGAGGCATGCGAGCCGGAACAGCTTTCGCGCCAGCGGCGTGAACAACCCGCTGGCCTCTCCAGTCCACGATCCCCGCAAAAAGAATGCACTGATCAAGGAGAGCGAGTACGGGGTCCTAGGTATCAAGGCCCCGCTTCTCGACGTCACCGCAAAGGCAGAAGACGTGTGGGGCCCAGCGTTGGGAGGGCGCGAAAGGGAAGAGCACTTGAAGACGATCTCTGCCAACATAGCCAAGTTTAAAGAATACACCGAGTTGAGCTCCTCTATCGCGGAAAGCATCAAGGGCAAGGATTACGATAACCTCGTGGAGGAGTACAACAAGGCGAGGAAGATAGCAGACGAGGCAAAGGCGCTCGCCAAGAGGCTGGGGAGCACGCCTCCGACCGATCCCGAGCTGTACCAGCTCATTCTTGCCTGCCGAATGTGGCACGACGTGGACGAACAGATCCAGACGTTCAAACGCGATGTATGGAGGAGCCTTACCTCGGTCCAAACCGTGGCGCGATCGGACAACATGCCTGGCCACCCCGAGGATCGCCACATGGAGCTCATCTCTCTTCTGCTGGAGCTCGGCGTGGACGACAACCCCATTTGGCTATGGCTCCTTAGCCGCTACGACTTTCTCAAGGGGAAGATTCAAGCGACGGCCGACCGAGCCAAGGTCGAAATCGAGATCCTCCGTCGCCGCCTTGCCAGCGCCGAAAAGCCTAGCCCTCAAATCATTGCATCCTATCTACGCGCTGGCCGCCAGCCCGCTCACAGCAGAGGAAGCAACCTTGATTCGGGCGACATAATCGAGCTTTGGGAGAAGATGCTCACTTTTGTGAGCACTATGCTGTCCAGGCAAGGGCTCTTGGGCGAGATCATTGATTTCTGGCAAACCGTAAGGGATTTTGTTAGCGGTACCACGCAGCAATCACTCCCGGTAGGGTACAATGGCGAGTCAAAGCAGTTTCATCGCCTGTCTTCGGAGGGCACCATATCACTAGAAAAGGCGGTTGTTGAGCTTGTTGATATCGTCCGGGACAACATCTTTACCTTTTTGCGGGGCTTCCTCCCGAGGATATCTCTCTACTCTTCTCTCCTCTCCCCTCTCCCCCAAGACACCGGCAGGACCGGCCACTCCCCTTTCGCCCAACGGCCCGCGCGACCCACGGTTCAACCTAGACCCGAATAACCTACCGCCCCCTTCACCGAAGCGGGGCGAGGCTTGGGAAAAGTTTGCCTTTTGGCCCCCGTGGTCCAACTCGCTCAGCGGTGTGCACTACCTCTCCAAAATGCTGGCCCTCATCGGCGCGGGGGCTGCGGAGCTAGCCGCCATCAAGGCTCTCGGGAATGCGGACGGTGCGGCCGTGGAAAGGTTGAAGGCCTTGGTCGGCATCGCCAGGGAACGGTCCGTCACCGCTCTTTGCGCCGCATGGAACAAGGACGCGGAGAATATCAAGTTTGTTGAGGACTGGCAGAGGGGTGAGGCTGGAGATGTCACTCGCATGCCCTCCAGCTTCGCCGCCTTTGAGGGTTCCCTCCTCGCTGGCATGCAAAAGATCCTCTACATCTCCGAGGCCATGTCCAAACCCGGGGCGGAGTACATCGTTCTTCCACCCCAGGCGAAGCTTCTGCAGATGGTGCGCAGTCAGTACGTCACTACGCTCTACAAAGCGCTTAGCGGCATGGTTGAGAATGCGGAGAGGTCCCTAAAGCAGGCGGACGACGAGTGGACGACCGATATTGACGGTACCCTCGCAACATCAGCCTTGATGGCTTCAGTCGCGAGCAAGGGTACGCTAGATGCTAGTGACAGAGTAAGCCCCTTCCCGTCATCCTCGTCTCATAGCCACCCTTTCTTTTTCGCCCGCGCCATTACTAACTCATCCTTTCTTCTCTGCAGAATGTCCGGATGCTCCTGACTTTAAGCAACCTCCAAGCCGTTAGGGCCTCTGTGGTGCCCGCGCTGAATGCGCAGTTTGAAAACGCCTTCTCGGTCAAGCTCACGGACGAGTCCAAGACGATCCGCGACGTGCTCGGCCAGATTGACGCGCGGCTCTTCCAAACGTACACGCGGCCGGCCGTCGACAACCTCAAGAGCATCATCAAAGAGGGCATCGCCGATTCCGACTGGAGCCCAGCACCAGGGGTCCGGCCCACCGAGGCAAAGCCCTACGTGTACGAGGTCCTTCTCAGCCTCGTCCTCATCCACTCGCAGGTTTCCACAACGGCGCCCTCGCTCACCACGCAGGTTCTGTCGTTCCTCCTCGAGCAGATCAGCCGCGAGCTCCTGGAGACGTATCGGCTGCGGCCCAAGTACACGCTTCAAGCCCTCATGCAGGCGACGCTCGACGTCGAGTTCATCGCCCAGACCCTCAGCCAGTACACGACCGACCGTGCATCCGAACTACAGGGCCAGATTTACCAGGAGCTGGACGGCCGGACGGACGACACTACGCGGGCCAAGTTGCAATCGGAGCTTCCTGAGATGCGTAGCGTGCTCAAGAAGCTGCGGGAAGCCAGCAAGATGGAGTTTGCATGCTTCAGGAAGCCCAAGAGGCCGCAGCAAGGAGATCGAAGGGACACGGCGGCCAGTGGGTAGAAGCGGAAAAACAAGCTGCTTAAGCGGGTTACGACCCGACGAAATCCGATGCGTGCTCTTCCTTTTATTATTGCGCTCGCTTCCTCTCCAGAAGGATACTAGTATCTTATTTTACACGATTTCAAGGGGTGCTTGTTCCCTATGCCCGTCATGTATATAAGGTGGATGAGCGTTCAGAAGGGTCACCAACTACAGTCTGGGGTCTTTTAACGATACCATCAAAGGCAAGCCACTCAGGATGGTTGGTTCTGATAGCTCAAACACTGAAAACCCTTTTCGATAGCAAAATCACTGCCCTAGTCACCTGCCATGTTGTCGCTATCAAACAAGTAAAGCCGGGGGCTATCAGTTGTCATTTTTTGACTTTTAATTGTCAACTCGGGATATCCCTTCTGCTATCAGCCGGACTAAAAGGCCTCGAGCCTCGCATCGGGCCGTTCAAGTACAAGTAGTCAGTCCCTGACGGCCAACCTGCCGAACAAATCCGTTTCGTTTGTGTGTGTTTTTTATGGTTTCCTCCCCTAAACAGCTCCTCCATTCCATAGTTCGCCAACGAAGTTGGATACCTTGTGGGGACGAAAGAAGAAGGAAGATTTCAAAAGAAAAGAAGGAAAAAGAAAGAAGCAGATAAAATAAAAAAGATTTAAAAAGGAAAGCTCGAGCGCCCATTTCGCTATTGTATGACCTGAACCCCGGTTGCATCAACGAGTCCCCTGGTCTTCCATTCGCCGTGGCTCCATTTGCGCCCCATTTTTTTGCTTTTCGCTTTTCTTCCGGATATCGTGAGTACGAGACTTAGGAGAGGTAGCTTCTCTCTTTTCTGGCTTCCTTCATTATCGTTGGATCGTGAGATACGCCTGAGGTCTCGCCGCTGGCGTCTATAAAAGTCGCGTCGTAACGTTGTCATAAGAGAGAAAAAGAAAGAGAGAGAGGAGGAGACGGAGTGAGAGAGAAAAGAAAAAGGAGACAAAGAGTGGAGAAGTGCGCGTTTAAAAAAGAAAAGCGCGCGCGTGTGTGTGTGAGTGTGTGTGTAAGAACAGAAGGGAGATACGGTACGTGAGTGTGGGGGTGTGCGTGAGAGTGTGTTGGTGTGGGTGTACGCGTGGAGAGTGCGATGCCTGGACGGGCAACCCTGGCATTTACATCTCTGTTCAAACCATCGTTATGCTGCAGGACGCGGTAACAGCAGATGAGAACAAAAGGCAAGTTCCAAGGAGCGGGAATCGCCCGGGTTGAATTCCGGTATATCCCTTCGGGTCTGCAGAGTATCAACTAGACAAAAATAACCATTAGCTTCCCATATAGACCATCACACGGCATCACGTGTGCTAGCAAAGGTGTTTGGAGGACTAGAAAGGAAAAGAAAGAAAAGAAACCCCAGCAAAGAAGGACAGAGATGGAGAAGCAACTCACAGTCTAGATCTAGTTTATGGAAGAAGGTTGCGATGATTGGGTCGACCTCCCCAAGAACGATCAACTTGCCGCTATCGCTAGACCGCTCTGTCTGCGGTAGCACGCGGCGGATGATCAAGAGGAGGCGTAGGAGACTAGCCAGAGTCTCGCCTTGAGATGTAAAGGTCCCCGGCTCACGCTCCAGAGGCCACCCGACCCGGATCTCGTCCTGCTCCCACGCTTTGAAACTCCACGTACTTTTCTCTACACAGTTGAGAAAAACGAGGGCGGTGATGTACATGGGAAATCCAATCTTGATTTTGCTGTCTTGAAGGATTCGTTGCATCCCGTTTAGTAGTGTCATTGATGTTGCATTAGCCTTCCTCTCGGCCGCGGCGTTTAGTTGGAGGCACATGATCGTGTAGACGTCTAGCTCCGGTTTCTCAGATGTCTCTCTAATATATCTGGGCTCCGAAGTCTCTTCGCCAGGTCGTTTCTCGATAAGTTTCCATTGCCGCTCGCGGTCAATGATTTCGACTAGTCCCCACAGTTCTAGGGCGCGCCGGAGCAGGTCACCCCGGGCTCTTCCAGCAACTGGGTCGCCGTTTCGAGGAGGACCCGGACGAAATGCGACGGCTCACGTTCAATGAGAACCGGCAACGCCTGCCGCATGTAACCCTCTACTATGTTGGGGATGTCCTCGGCCTCGAAGTCAATCATGACTGAGCGGGCTTCGGCCTCGAGCTCGCCGTCATGCTGCTCCACGGAGGGGATGATGGGGAAACTAGCGTCTGGAACACAGGTAACGAAATATGGTGGTCGGTATCGGGAAACTGTGAGGCCTCCACCTGGGCACCCGTGTTTGCGATCCGCAAAGAGGACTTGAGGAGATTATATCGCCTCTGCGCTAGGACAACTTGAACACCGGCCGAGTACAGGTCCAGCTGTTCGTGAAGACGGGTCCTGACGCAGCCAGAACGCCATACGCGAGGGGATAGAACCTTTCGGCAGGTATCACAAGGGTTACCCTTGCCGCAGTTTTTGCGAAGGATGCGGCAACGTATGCAGGCGCCAATCTTGCGGACCTCTTGGACCTCCTTCCGTCGTGTGGGGTCGAACCTGGCCCGAGAATGGCGGGGTCGACCGTTGGGCGAGCCGTCGCCAGTATCCATCCTAACCCCACCTTTCTGCAGCGGAAGGGGGATTTGGAGCGTTTCGTGATGGGAGACGGCAGTGGGACTAGCTGCCAGGTATGTTATCTCGCCCCAAGGCGGACTTGACGCGCTTTGGGGAGGAAGGGGATCGACAATGGCATGGCTCGGTTCGGTAGGGGGCGCGAGGGAGGCCGTGACCTCCTCAGCGATCAGTTGAGGGTCGAGAAATGACGGGTTTAGGCGGGCAGCGGCGGCAGCGGCAACCGATAGGTTCGCGGAGTCTATATCGGGGTCGGCGGCGGAAGAGGCGACTTGAGAATGGGCGTGGGACGGATCGGAGGCGCTCGTCTCCTGGGCTGCCGGGTCGTGGTGGGCTTCCGAAGAAACTGGAGACGAGGTCGATGAGAGATCCGCTTGAGGAGCCGTGGGATCTAAGGTAAGGTAAAGGTTATACATACCTCCATCTCCGTCCGCCAGCAGCCCGCCGCCGTCGCTGGCAGTAGCGGCTTTGGGAGTCAAGGCGGGGTTCCCATAGTTGGCAGGAGGGTTATCGAGGGTGAACTGGGCGCCCACCATGTAGTGTGCAGCCGACGGCGTGGCGGGGCTCGAATCCTGATCTCTCCCATCATGCTTCTCGCTCATGTTGACCCGTCTAGACGCTTCAGCGAGGGCTTCCAGCGCGCTCCAGTTGGCCGTCATTGTCGGATCAGAGGGGTTGGATCCATTGTCGCCGGCCCTGGCGCCCTGCTTGCGTTGCAGGGCAGCCGGGTTTGGAATACTATGTAAGGCCAGGCACGCCTGAATACGGGCGCTCTCTGAAATGGCGGGGCATTTTCCAGGCTTGGTGATGTGGTTTGTGAGGCTATCGATTCTGCCCTTGGGAAAATCCTCACCGCAAAGCTTACAGGTGTGGGGATATCTGTTGCTGTTGTCGGCGAGTTTGGGGCCTCGGTGGAAGTATGAAGCAATGACCTGATTGGGCTTCCGACCCATTGTAGCCGAAACAGCAGCTTCCAGACCAGAGGATGACCGGAGGATATGGCAATTGCACGTTTATATCTTGTTGAGTCGTGCAACTGTGCATGGGGGTTTGAATTCTTTTGGAGGAGGCCAAAATTCTGCCAGACTAGACCGCCGTGAAATCGCCAACCTTTTGGTGGGATGTTCACTTTTTTTTTTTTTTGGACCGCCCACTGTTTTGAGGCGGTGGGCAAAAAAGTGTGAAAAAAGGAAAGAAAAAGAAGAATCTTCAGAAATCGAATTCATTGGCTGCACCAGCCACAGAGGAAAAGGACTTTTGAGAAAATCTGTGGCGGTGGGTGGCCGAATAAGAAGAGAGCTTTGCACACCGCCAGAGTTTGTGGCACGAATCCTCCAGGGTCCTTATTAGGCGGCAACGCCTTTCAAGTTCACATATGTTCCTGCGTTCTCACGTGATTTGAAATGTACTGCTCGGGCTGTACAATAGTACCAGCCGGCCCGTCAATAGTACCAGCTGGCCCGTCAATATAAGGTTGATTTTCCTGCCCCATCAGCTTGTTAGTATGTTGGGAGTGAACCGGATTAGTCATCAGCTCTCCAATCCCCAAGCCATAAACACGGAGGGATAGCCATCTTGGACCAAGGGTCGCCTACCCCTGGTCTGACGTTTTTGGATTTCAGTTGATAATAGATCAAGGAGCGAATCCTACCTCGGTACACTACTAATAATCGAAGCTTTGCAATTTGACCGACAAAGGTCAAGCTCTGAGGATAACGTCAGATGGACCTGCTATATTGGTCGTGCCTTGTCGAGTTCCCAGTATTAATCGTCTGATTCATCGAGTTGACGATGCCCTTCCCCCTTCGCCTCAGCGCTTTTTCAGATGACTTTGCAAGACGAATAGGGTGAGTCGGACATGGGGTGGCAGCAAGGTGTGGGGTGGGGGCAGGCTGAGTCCGGTGGATTCAAGGCACGCGACAGCCGTTACAATCCTTGGGTCGAGAGGATTGATAGGGCTTCGGGTAGAGATTTGGCCAGGTCCCAGGGGTGGAGCCTCGGGTTATCCCCTGGGGTCCAAACAGAGCTCATGGATGTCTTGGCTTGTCAGCATATCTTCCGACCGAGCCGGGTGATGGGTTTGCCAAGCATTCTCAATCTTCCTTGTCCTTCGCAAAGCCTCGACAACTCCATGGGGTCATCCGGGGTTCTCTCTCCCTTGCCTAACAAACCGAGGAGAATAGATTTATTCGATCCAGAAATTGCTCGGTATCCCACTCTGGGGTTTAAACCCTCTTTCCATATCTTGGATATCCATCATGTTTTGATATCACGCATGGCACAACTCCCCGATCAGAGGTACAAGGGCACATACTTCGTACTTGTCATCATCATGTGCCACAAGCGCGTCAATGCTTTTCTTTTCTTTCTTTACAAGTAGGTCCCGGCGTATTGGCTGGCAGCTGAGAGGGACAATGATGATGGGTGAGTGATGACCTTTGTCCATCGTAACCACACCTGCGTGAGATCCACACCTTCTATTGTGGCACGACGGGACCCAACGAACCCGAAAAGGAAACTCTTGAGCACCCGAAAGGGTTTAACGCTTGTGCTCTCGCGCTTGCGAGGAATGGAATGGTGGTTCATCAGTTGATCTTCCTCTTGACGGCCGAGTTTCTTCCCTGGAAAAGTATTGGATCGACCTCGACCCCTTGCGGATTTTCTTTACCAAATGAGGCCAAGCGAGGCCAAGCACCCCCTCATTCATCGTATCCTGGCAGGACAAGAAGTCTTGGCCCCCTTGGCCTTCTTGGCCCCTTGGCCCTGCGCACCACTTTGATGGAGCGGATGCTCGAGGGCGCCAGGAACCGCAGCAGCACACAACATGGGGAGGGAGGGCAAGTATTTGCTTGGCCACGCTTGAGCTCTTGCCGCTTCACGAGGTCATCACACTATAGAAAAGAAGAAGGGCTCATTATGGCGGCTTTTCTGAGGTCTGAGTCAGGGAGAACTCGACCAACGCCGACTTTTGCTGTTAATAAACTAGCAGAATCGCAGCCGCAGTGCCGAGGTGCGAGGGTATATTTCATGCTCGGCAGGAAGCGAATACATCCTTCTTCGCCTTCTCCTCCGAAGTGATGAATGAAGAAGACAAAGGCCGCAAAAGTTGCTAATTACTGCTCGGCAATGGCACATGTGATGCGCCGAGAATCAAGTGCCTCTGTGTACTTTTGAGAGCAATGGCTCGCGTGAAGAATAACTCGGCAAGCCCTTTTTCCAAAGGCTGGACTTTCATGATTGATCGATGCGTCGTCTTGACAAACTTATTTGTCTCTTCCACTCCTGTCTTTCCCTCGTCAACTTCTGCCTTGTATTATTATTCTTCCTTTTGTGGAGGTTCCTGTTAACCCCCCTTTCTTTTTTGGCTTCGCACCCCATCGGCATTTACGCCAAGAGCTGGAAATTGATCCTCCCCCGCCGACCCTTGTCTCTCCCGACCCACATCCCCGTCCTGTTCGTTTTTTGTCTTGGCTCGTATTATAGTACAGGAATCTCTTAAATAATCTATGCGCGAAATGCGGAGAAAAGTTCCATTCCTCACAGCACAGGTCGTGATGATTACCGTGAATGGTGAGGATGAGGAAGAGAGAAGAGAGTGGCGTGTGTTAGTTGCTCTCCACCCTGCATCATAGATCCATAGATGCTTTTCACCTTGATCGCGACTAAACTCAGCAACATTTATCTGGGGACAATGCCTTGAGACTGTTTTGGTCCTCCAGCCGCCCTGCACCGCGCGCCACTAGGCGCATTGGCTGTGCCACTTCCTCCAGCACCCGTGCCATGAGGTGCCTAAACAGGAGAGAGAGACACTTGCAGCAGACGCGCCGCGTCGAGCTCGAGGAACATGTACAAATCTGGGTGCAATCTATCGAAATGTAGAATAGTGCGCGACTAAAATGGTTGATACTTGATGTACAAACTAATACAGATAGCCCGTGGTCCGATCCCCCGACCTTGCATGCTAGACCTCCTTCCGGCTGACTCTTGGGCTACCCCAAGATCCTTAATTCTTTAAACTACTTTGATCCCCTCCCCTCGAGCCGCTGGAGGTTGCTGTCATAACTTCAACGGTGCTTTTCTTCCGATCTATATTCTGGGGAATACCTAATTTGTCATTCCTTCCCGTAGCCCCAGTCCCCGTTGAAGTGACCCATTTTTCGGCGGGATGGTTGTCGCCGTTCCACTCCACGACTTACACTAGGATTCTTGGGAGGCTTCCTCCTTCGGCCCGGGCATTCTTGGCCTGGCTCTGAAAAGGAGCGTCTTTCCTTCCTCCCACCTCCACCTTCTTTCTTGGCCGCTTATACACACTCACTTTTCCTTGTATTCCTTTTCGTCCCTCCTTATACCCTGTCTTTCCTTCGTTCTTCTCGCGAGGAGGCCGTTTTCGCCTTACTCCTTCACTCTCTTTTTCTCCTCACCCTCTTTCCAACTACCGTCCCGTGATACTTGTCTTGCGGGGGTCGATTATCGGCACCCGAGGTGATCTGCCTCTAGCACTCGTTCCTTGTACACCCCATCTTACACGATGCGCTCCCCGCTTTCTTTTTCACATGTCCTTGCCGGTGGCCTGACCGTTTCGAGAGCCACCGGGCTATTAGAGCATGTTAGGACGGATGTAAGTGTATGGATCATGGCGAATTTTGGCTGGCGCTAACTAAGGCGTTCAAGACCGGTTCCCGCGGCGGTGGGAATACCTTCCCCGGCGTGTCCCGCCCCCTCGGCATGATCAAGATTGGTCCCGATTTGTACAACGGCCATGACAGTTATTCCGGTTACCAGCCCGACGGCAACTTTTTAGGATTCAGTCTACTCCACGAGAGCGGGACTGGCGGCGCGCCCAAGTACGGCGTCGTCGCGCAGCTGCCCGTCCTCGGGGTTATTGCGAACCCCCTCGCCGATCTAACCTACCCCCGTGAAGCCGATGACATAACCGAAGTTGGCTACTACAAATCCTTCATCTCTACGGGCATCGAGGTCGAGCTCGCGGCAGCGTCAAGGTCGGGATTCTTGCGATATTCGTTTCCCGAGGGCTTCGGCGATGTCAACGTTGTGGTCGATGTCTCCCATGTGCTCAAGTCATACCGCGGCCTTGGTTTCGAGCAGCACTATCTCGGAGGACAGATCGAAGTGCACGAGGAGGAAGATGGCCATGTTTCCTATCGCGGCTCTGGAAAGTACGATAACGTACGTAGTTGCAGCGGCGACCTGTGGGCGTTGTGTGGGACGCCGGGACGCCCTCTCCCACACCTTTCAATAGTAACCCTAACCCGAAGCCTCGGATTGCTGACTCTTACCGCGTTGTGCAGGGCTGGAACAAGTCTCCCGAGTGGACCGTGTACTTTTGCGGATATTTCGATAAGCCGGCGACGTACAAGACCTTCCTCAGCAAGGGACCCGACAGCCAAGACCTCGAGTGGTACGAAGAGAGACAGTCAGTCGAGTTCTCCCAGAACAGGCTCGGGGCCGTCTTCACCTTCCCCGGCGCGACAAACGTCCAATCCCGCATCGGAGTCTCATTCATCTCGACAGATAAAGCCTGCGCGAACGTCAATCACGAGATTACCGAAACGACCACGCTCGAGAACCTGCGCGACGATACACGGAAGGAGTGGGAGGACCAGGTCCTCAGTAAGATCACGACGACCGAGACGGATCCCGAGCTTCTTGCGCGTCTATACTCGGCCATGTACTTTATGAATCTGCTTCCCCAAAACAAGACGGGCGAGAACCCACTGTGGGAGTCTCAGGAACCGTACTACGACGATACCTTTACCTTTGGGATACCGTACGACCCATCTACCCCTCCCTAAACGCGTATCACTCCTCCCATGCTCGTCGGACCGACCAGGCTAACCGTGAGAGTAGTTCCGATGCACGACTTCGTTGTTCCACATTCTCCTGCCGGAAGCGTACGAAGAATTTCTCCGATCCTGGGTCGATATCTGGAGGAACGAAGGCTTCATGTCCGATGCCCGCTCTTCCTTTTGGAACGGCGCTGTCCAGGGCGGATCCAACGTCGACAACGTGCTAGCCGATGCTTACGTGAAGGGTGTGCGCGGCAAAATCGATTGGGCGGATGCCTACGAGGCCATGAGGACGGACGCGGAGATTACCCCACCCATAGGTACCGATAGCCGTGATCGGGGTGGTTCGGCGAAGGAAGGCCGTGGAGCACTCCCGGACTGGTTGGCCAGAGGCTACATCACCAACAAGTTTTACCGTTCCGTCACTCGCGCCGTTGAATAGTAAGTTGGCCGCAGTTCAAATCGGTCCCATGTCCCCCTCCCCCAGCCTCTTGAAGCAGGATACTTACGATTTCATCGTCTCCTACATAGCTCCGGCAACGATTTCGCCCTCTATCAAGTTGCCCTCGGCCTGGGTCATCGAGAAGACGCCGCCAAGTACCTAGCCAGGTCGCGGAACTGGAGGAACCACTGGAATCCCGACATGGAGGCTCTTGGCCACAAGGGCTTCCTCGGTCCCCGGGATGAGACTGGCAACTTTATCGCCCAGGATCCGCTGAGCTGCGGTGGATGCTACTGGGCCAATGACTGTAAGTACTTGATTTTCAAAGCCCTCCTCTGTCCCTCCCGCGCGCCACGCCCTCTCATGAAGGAGGGACCAAATAAGACTCATTCCTGACTTGGGAAATAATCATGTAGACTACCAAGGCCTCCCGTGGGAGTACACCTTCAATGCCCATCACGACCTGTCAACCTTGATTGACTGGAGCGGCGGCACCGAGCAGTTCCTTAGCCGCCTCGAAGACACCTTCAAGCCCGACGTCGTGAGCGGCAACGGCAAGTTTGGCCACACCATCTTCGACCCGGGCAACGAGCCCAGCTTCGGGACGCCGTACCTCTACAATTTCGTCGGCCGCCAGGACCTCTCCGTCTTCCGCAGCCGCACCATCGCCACGAAATACTACAGCCCCACGCCGGATGGCCTGCCCGGAAATAGTGACGCGGGCGCCATGGAGTCGTGGCTTCTATGGAACATGATCGGCCTCTACCCCCTTACCGGCCAGACAACCTTCCTCATCGGGTCGCCCTGGCTCAAGGACCTCACCATCCACCTCGGGGAGGCGCCCAGCTCGTCATCACCGCTCAGGGCGCTTCCGAGACCGCCATCTACGTCCAGTCTCTCAAGGTCAACGGTAAAACTTGGAACAAGTCTTGGGTTTCCTGGAACGACATCTTCCGGGACGGCGGCAAGATGGAGTTTGTGCTAGGAGAGGAGGCTGTTGACTGGGCTACCGGTCCGCCGCCCCCGAGCCCTGCCTTTGGTAATGATATCATCGTCCCTGATCCGCCCGAGTCGCCCGTCAGGAGGCGTGCCTCAAGTACCGGCGACTATATTGCCAGCTTCCTCATCATTGCCTCGATAGGCTCCTCCGCTACCTTTATCGCCATGGCCGGCTACAGGAAGATTGCGGATTCCACTGTGTCCCATACTCGAAAGGCTGCCGGCTATAGGAGCATACATTGGTGGCGCGGACGCCCCAGCATCGGCGGTCTTAGCGAGGCATCGGGTAGTGGTCGCTCATACCACGATTCTGAATCCGACCTTGAAGGCCTTCGGCCAGGGAGTGCAAGAGATAGCATCAAGACTCGGTAAAGCTAGGATTGGGGGCACTTTGTTTTTTTGTTCAATCATTTTCTTGTTAATTCCTTTTTCATAGGCGACGGCGTTCCGCGAAGGTAACATATATTGGGTGCATTGATGAAACGAATATTGTTTAATGCCTTGCATTACATCATATATAAAGAGTCCCCTCAGGGGACCTTTGTTCACGAATTAAACAGACAAATATAATAAACACTGTAAACTTACATTTGATCTGAGGGGAAAAAAAAGAAGACGCGAAGCCCAAATACGGCGCAAAGGGAAGAGGAATCAGACGAGGGAAAAACTCTCGGCAAGTGGAAAGAAATCCTGAAGAAACGCCATTGCTATGCTTGTTCTCTGTCTGTCTTATACGCGCGATGCCGATTAAAGGATTATGGTATAACTGATAGATCAACGATCCACCAGTAGTAGGAGCAAAAATAGGCCCCTGCCGTCTCGCTTTGACATATTTCCGAGGGAAAATAAAAGCTCTCTTCTCGGCCTTAATCCCACACGTTACGAAACTCGTCGTCGTTCTCGCTGACCTGATACCCCGGAGAAAGCGTCTGCTCCTCGGCTGTTTCCTCGACTCGCGACGCTGAGCCTCGCTCCTCCTGTACAGGCGTGGGACGTGCAGCCTTGTTCTCATCGGATGCTTGTAGGGGCTCCCGAGTTGGCTCGTCCACTGTTCTCTTTGATGGCCGTGTAACGTCAGCGTCCGGCGCCTCCTCGCGTGTATCTTGTGGCGGGGTCGCCTCTTTTTCTTCTTGGTTACAGGAACTCCCTCGCTCGGTGTCGACTGCGCCTGCCTGGAGGAGTTGGCACTCGGCCGCCGGCGGGGTTGTTGTTGTAAGGGTGGGGTCATATACCGGGCGTGCAGAGGTTCGCTAGCAGTAATGACCGGATACTGGGGAGAGGTTAGCGGGTCTATCATTATTAGGAGAGGGGGAGAGGCGTAAAAATCGCGACGTACATTCCAATCGCCATACTCTAGTTCCCGAGCTTTCCCGTAAAGCCGTTCTTCTTCTGGATCCAAATTTATTTCCTCACTAAAAGAGCTACTGCCCGAGTCGCTTGAGGGCCCGCCGTTCCTGGAGGACCCGGCAAAAGCTGGACCCAGCAGCGGGGTGGTGGCGGATGCCTGGCTCTCGCCAGGCTTGGGAATCCAGTATTTGCCTTTGCCTCCTCGTTCGTACCTCATCCCGGCATTGATCCGCGCGAGTCTGGATTGTGAGTCTTCGTGTGCTATGATCTTGTCCCCCGAGTCAAAGGATCGATATCCGTAATTGTCGCCCATAAAGGTCTGCTTCGAGTCCTCGATGAGGTCTTTGGGTCCGAATGCGTCCTTAAAGGCATGTCTCAATGGCATACGAGCAGAGAAAATGCTGTTGTCCGCAAAGTCTTTCCACGAAAAGGCGTACCAGTGCGCAATGGCAAAGGCGGGCATCTCGACGCAGATGAGCGCATCCTGAATGGCGGCGGCTAGGTTGTCGGGAGTATAGCCCTCCACGTTGTCTGGAATCGCGCCAACCCAAACTAGGATAGAGAGGAAGAAGCCTTGCCAGTATGAGGCAAAGATGATGAGTTTGATGCACAAGAACTTGGGAACTGGGCGAAAGGGTTTCAGATCATGATGCATGCAGACCCAAAAGAGTCCCAACGCATACAGACTAACGGTGACGCTAATGTTATAGACGATACCGCTCCAAAATACCCCGACTTTAGGCCGATATAGCCTTCTTCGTACACACCGCAAGCCTTCATGATGATGGCAGACAATGCGAGCAGTGGCTTCAGCCACGTGTACTGGAGGATTCCTCGTTTGATGGCAAGGAATGTATGCGGGTCCGAGATATCGACCTTGGGAAGGACATGGTTGAGTGGCCAAAGGTGGTTGACGGGGCCCTACCGTGCATCATGATGATTAGTGCCCGCTCACCACCAATATAATTGATAAGGAGCTGGAAAAAGGTGTAGATCGTGAAAGCCTGTCGGGTACTATTAGCCATGTCCAAACGCTTAGATTCCCCTCCCCGTTGGCTGATAGATTCGGATCCGATGCCACCGTACCTCATAGATATCACGAATCGGGTCAAGAAAATGTGAGGCTGTAATGGAAATCATGCTCGTCCATGAAGAGAGTGCGTATATGGGAACCCTAAGAAGACGTGAGCCATTTCGCCCGACTAGTTTCGTCTGCCAGTAATATGGGCATGGCTAGAGGAATCAACATACATGAGTAATATTCGGACGACATATCGCTGGAGAAGTGGTTTTCGGTAGTTTTTTCTAGGCGAGGAATAAGTGACAGCTCGACATTGCTCAGCCCGAGATGCTTGGTAGAAGTCTTACGCTTGTAGGAGGATTGAACTGCGGGCAAAGTCTTCGTTAGCACGGTTCACCAAGATACACTGAGATCTGCGGAACGAGAAAGGAGAGGGGGCGTACATTGAGGACAGTAATGTTGCGATTATAGCTGCAATACCAGCGACTGTAATCGTCGTGCTGGCCAGCCTTTGGCCTGTACCGCCCATATTGTTTATAGGATTTTGTAGGGTTGTGCGCCCCTATCTCTCTTTGCCTTGAGCCTTTTAGGTCTCGAGACTGGATGTTATCCACGCTGGTGGTGTTCGGTTTAGGCCGATCGCATGGCGAACTGACTGCACGAGAACCTTAATCCAAAGATCACCAAGTCTGATATGGTGGCAAGTGATCAAATTCGTGGTCAAATAGCCCACAACCACTGGGGCGTGATGTGGTGAGGGGTCGCGGGGAGCGACTCTCGAGGATGGCCTCTCGTGGGATATGATATGGCCCTTGCTCGGTTGGGATTGATGGTCCGAAGCACAACGTCGTTGTTTTATCGTCGGAGGAGGACAGGCTTGTCCATGCAAAAGCACCAAGTTTATCTCATCCTCACTCGTGGGGATGACGCGACGCCATTTATGCATGTGGCACAGGGGAGCTTAAGCTGCCTAAAGTAGATGATACTTAGGTGCACTAAGGCATATTCAAGGCCCCACTAAATCTAACCACTGAGGATAAATGGTTTGGCCACTCCACCCCGCTAGTCTCCTTGCTTCTTCAAGCCTTTGCTGGTACCTGGTACCGAGGTACGCAGGAACTGGTGCTGGTCGAGTTGAACTGACGACCCTGACGCGACTGGGGGCCGACGACCAAGCAGCGATCCTCACGGTCGGACATCGTCAGAGGTGTAAAGAGATTGACGACTTCAATCCCGAATTTTCGGTTGGAAGGGCTCTCTGCAAGCCCATACGAGACCGATCGAAACCTCTCCCCAACCTCGCTCGAAGACAAAGCATTGTCAAGACCCTCCTGACCCATTGATCGCACCCAAACCTTGAACGAGGTCGCCTCGAGTCGCCCCCGTCGACGACACCTCACTAGCAACATGTCAGCTCCCTGGCCTTCGTGCATAGCTTTCTCGGTGCTACAATAGCCTCGGGGAATAGACACAAAAGGCAAATCAGGTGGGGCTTCACATACGCCGAAGCGGCTGACGAAGCCATGTCGACGGACAACATCAACGCCGTGCCTTTGGAGCAGGACCGCGCGTTCAATCCGTAAAGCAAAACCCTCCTTGCCGATATCCGTCACTAGCATGTGACATATTTATAGTCTCGCTAACTCGGTGCTTGTGTAGGATATTCCTCGTCTACTTCCTGATCTGTACCGCGCTGAGCATATTCTTCCTTCTCTACTTCAACCGAGTTTTCGCCTGGTTCGTGGGCCATGGCATCCGTACATGGACCTGGCATCGCTACCGCATATATATCGACTTTCAAGCTCTCCAAATCTCCTTTCTCGGTGGCCGAATATTCTTCACGGGTTTGAGATATCATGGTATCAACGAGACCTTTCACATACAAAATGGCTACGTTACCTGGAACTACTGGCTCCGTCGTGTGCGTGATATCGATATTGGCAGTGCCGGCGCGAAGCCCACGAAGCCCGCCGAAAGCGTTATTGAAAGGCGTCGAAACACGAACCTGCCATGTAGAATCAATGTCTCCCTGAATGGCTTGGAATGGTTCGTCTACAACCGAAGTCCTGTCTACGATGGGGTTCTCCGGAACCTGGCCCAGGACAACCCGATTATTCAAGCAGCGGTCCAAAGCTCGATGGGGGAGAAATCCTCGGGAATTGATACAGAGGGTGTGGAGAGCGTCTCCCTACGGCATGATGGCAGGCCAGTTGGCCCTCCTCGTACACAGGACTTTAAAGAGCGAGGTGGTTCGTCCAGCGATAGCGTTACTTCCGAGGATGCAAGCCTGCCGTTTTTACTCAATTTCTTCCCAATCCATGTCGAATGCCGAACCGCCGCCCTCGTCATGGGGAACGAGAACACCAAAGCCGTCCTGGTTGTTAAGACAGAGGAAGTGTCTGGCGAGGTCGATGCCTCAGAGACTGGCTCGCAAGATCCTTACCGGCAACTCTTCAAGTTCGATTTCCGTCACCCCGTAGTCAAGATGAGGCCCAACGAGGACTACAAAGAGGACCAGGAATCCCGAGCCGCGAAATCGAAGGGCCCAGGACGAGAAGCCCCACCAGTGAAGAAGAGGGACTTTTCCTAAGGAGCGGGCGAAGGGTCACAAGAACCCTCCGCAACTTGGTTCCGTTCTGGCGGAAGTCGGTTGAATCCCTTTCACCCACGAGAGGCGACGGGCTATTGCCAGCGTACCCGCCTGGAGGAGATGGCTGGCAGGGCCTGTCAAGATATCTTCATGACGATATCGAAGAAAAAGCACGCTGGGCGGCTGTGGAATATGCGGCAATCACTACTATTGTCGACAGCCCTTCTGCGACCATGGTCTTCTTCTGGGATGTGCCTGCCAAGGTTACACAGCAATCCCGCCAGTCCGACGACATTAACGGCGATGAACCTCCGGCGTGGGCTATACACCTCTCTATCCAGGGTGGTACGGTCAACTATGGGCCCTGGGCAGACCGCCAACGTGCAGAGCTTCAGCGCTTCTTTCTGCCTTCGGCCTGCAAGGACGCCGTCCCGGCGGAGCGGCTGAAGGTTGGAGACTACAGGGTGGCGACCAAATTCAATCTTTATGTTGAACTTGATAAGGAGGTGACCATACGAGTCCCCACGCGGGAGCCTTCGAAAAACTGGAGATTCAAGGGTAAAGTTCCCCGTGGCCACGACCCAGCCTCAGAGCAAGAGAAAGCAGCGAAACCGCGAGAAGAAGGAACCTGAGGCGAGTGACCCATCGCGAATTCGCCCTCCTGGCTGGCTGGATTTGCGAGTCTCCGCCAACGCAACCATATCATATACAATGGACATGCTTGCGGGCTCGGCTGGCTACACGACCACGGTCGAGATTGACTTACCCGGTTCGGAGCTTTCGAGTAGTGTAAACCACGAGCTTATGTGGAGATCTGGACCACAACGAATCGTCTGTGACCTATCGTCTCCTCTTGCATGGAATACCCTGCGAACCTGGAGTTTTGATATCGCGAGTGACCATCTCGAGCTTTTTCTACTGAGAGACCACGTTTTTCTTCTCATAGACCTTGTTGATGACTGGACCACTGGTCCACCTCCTGATTACCTCGTCTTTACCCCGTTCAAGTACAACATGAACCTGGATTTCAAGAACATTCAGGTGTTCTTCAACATCAATGATGCCAACGTGATCAACAACCCTACATCACTCGACGACAATACCTTCCTGATCCTATCTAGCGGCCTCCTCCACGCCGCCGTTTCCATCCCCGTGGACACCTTTCGGCCATCCAAGAACTCCGTACCTTTTGAGATCAAGGCCGACGGTCTTGACGCCGTCCTTCACTTGCCTCTGTCAAACACGCAAGCCACATTTCTTCCCTCTAAAACTCTGGGCCAGGCAGAGAGTGCGGTCATATCCGGCGCATACCATTATAATGCGACCACATCGCCTGCAAATACGGACACCTTGATTCTCAATGTCTCGGGTCAGTCTCCGACCGTCACCGCCTATGGGTTTCTCATTAGGTACCTTCTCTCTTTGAAGGACAACTACTTTGGCGAACATGTCCACTTCCGTACCCTAGAAGAATACCAAAAGTCACTCCGGCAGCAGCCCGAGTCCACCGTGGCATTGAACAGCCAGCCACCACCCCAGGGTTCCAATGACATGGATGTCATCTTGAGTGTTCGGATTGATGACCCCAGGCTTCTCGTACCGGCCAATATATACGGAGCGTCGAATAACATCCAGGTAGAGACCGCAAGCTTGGGCGTTGACTTGCGATTCACAAATTACTACATGGACTTGGAGCTGTCCGTAAGCCCACTCAGCCTCGCTCTTGGAGCTGGCGAGAGGACAGATGGTGCACCCACTCCTTCCCCGGCCTCCACGCAAATGTTCATCGACGGGCTGAGCGTGTACGGGCATAGGCTTTTGGTCTACCACCCGTAGAGCCAACGTATCTCTGCATCTGGGATTTAGCGGTCGGTGCGATTACTGGGGAGTGCACTGCCGAGTTTCTCACGGCGTTGGCTAGGGGCGGAAAAGCCTTTATATTCGGTTTTGATGACGAGGAGAATGCTCTCGTACCGTACTCCTCTCTAATATTTCACGACGTCACATTCATCAGGGTCCAAGTTGAGCCTGTTCGAGTATGGCTGCATGTGGACGAAGCGGCATTTCTGTTTTCCACCGACGCCATTGACGTAGACTTCAACGACTGGGCGAGGAGCCACTATTCCAAGCGAGCAAATATCACCATACCAAACGTCCAGATTGCATGCCTGGACTCGGAAACCGCGGCGCGGCACAAATCGAGATCCCGCCACGAGATCGCCCCTGAAGCCCTTCTTAAAACCAGTGTGCAGGTTGCCATGATCGGCCGCGTATTCGAATTCTCCCGTGAGCGCAAGTTGCAGCAAGAACTCGTGAGACGAGAGGATGAGCGAACCCAACGGACCCAGTTCTTACTGCTCCCCGGCGTACTTGACGAGTTCTACCCTCCCCTACCAATCCTCCAGCTCAATGCGTGCCTCCCATGCCTGAGCCTGTCCAGGATTCTCATGACGACCAGAAATCCGTCACGACAGGCTCCTTATCATTCGCTATCCCCTCCATTAGGAGACAAAGCTCATTCCTGAGCCTGTCGAGCGCGAGCCAACAGAGCGTGGTCCGCACTGACCCCTCCAGATCTCGCAGCCGGGGTAAGGTTTCGGTCGCTCGTGTAGGACCAGAGCGTTCTGCCATGCACCTTAGAGAGTTCTCGACCTCGTCAGAGCGCCATTCCGCCTTCTATAGCGCCCTTGCCGACAGCGCATATCACAATGACGCGAACCGGCCGTCTGCCGTAACATTTTCAAGCCAGTACTATCCCCCTCACTTTCCCCTCGAGACCCTCCGCCCACACGCCTCCGATGCCGCTATTCCGAGCGTAGAAGGTGAGGAAGGCGATCCATTTAATACACTGGAGTTGGGCCTGGATGATATCGACCCGGATATCCTCGCCGAGGACCACATCTATACCAGTTTTATCGTCGAATTCCCAGCGGGCATTTCGGGGTTCTTGAACCCTGTTTCTGCTCACTATGCTGCTTCTTTACTCTCGGCGCTCCAGCCTACCTCGCCGGAAGACGTCCTTGACGAGCTGCAAATCAGCGCCATGACCGAGGTTGTAGATCTTAAGAAGCTAGCCAAAGTTCGTGGCGACGTAACAGATTTGATGATCAGGCTTCCTTCTGCCAACATTCGGTTCCTAAACTCGACGGACGAGGAGTTTCAAAGAACCACAAATGTTGTTATTGAGGATCAATATGATGCAGTCTGCCGCAACTTGGTGTTTGCGACTAGAGGCACCAATAAATGGGACGATCCGTTCAAGACAGCAACTACAGAAGGCCGCCGGTCCCTCCACCTACGTCTAGGTTCGGCCGAGATCACGGCCTCTGAGAGACTGAGGGAAATGGGTGAAGCTCAGCCGGCCGTAATCGCCCAGATCGAAGATGCTGTTGTGTCCATGGGATCTCGCGAGGTAACCTACGTGGACGCATCTATAGGGGCAGTGAGGGCTAGCACAGCCTCCGGGAAGATTGACTATCTTGCTGGACTCATTCATCGCACCACGACGATGGCTACTGAACTGAAGCGCCTATTTGAGGAGGTTTTGCAGAAAAACGACGACCGCCTAAGGTTCCTCATCTACAACCTAGCCGTTGTGAGCAAACAACTAGGCGATGCGCCCTTCTTTACGCGCCCTTCAGCCGTCTTACGCTCCGTCGAGTCTCACCTTCGGACCTTTGACTCCTGGAAGCTCATCCTTCGGCTGCGGCAGACTTTAGTAGACCTGAGTGTTGAGGAACAAGAGGCACTCTATCTTGCTTGCTGGGGTTCTCACCCCACCCCACCCATGAACGCTGCGGCGGAGGTGATGAACGCGTTCCAAAAATGGCGAAGCTGGGATCTGGGCGACTTGCACGAATCAGTGCTACTCAAAAGTCTTTTCTCTACCCGATACCTCAACCACTCCTGGAAATGCGGTTCCTCTGCGCGGTGCTTGCCAAATTGAGGAGGTAGAGTTGGTCTTGGATCCTGGACCAAAGGAGAATAAAGCTACCATTCTTGACCTGACTGGACGATTCGAACAGAACAACGAGCGACGACAATCTTTCGAAGACCTTCAGGACGTAGAGGGCCCTCTAACGATTCTAAACATCTATTGCGAAGAGGCAGCTGCAAATATCAACTGGGAGCTTTGTGAACTAGCAAACAATGTGCTCCGCCTGTATACGGAGAATCTCAATGATGATGAGCCCTCTCCACACCCACCGCCAAAGAGCACCTCGCGCTCGCCCTCGCCTAAAAGGACGCCACGGCCACTACATGTGGTATTCAGTCTAGGAAGAGGCGCGGTTGCCGTTGACACAATCAATCTTAGCGCCAAGTCTTTTGCCCACGGCCTCACCATGTCTTTTCTTAGCCATGATCTCATTGACGGAGGCGGTGGCACCAACTTCCTCCTGAATTGCGACGTCATCAAGTCGAAGCTTCACAGTCATGCCCAAATGCTCGGCATGTTCCAGCTGCAAGAGCCAAGCCTATTCATCTCCCATACTATGCAAGAAGTTGACTCTGTAAACTCGCATACCGTCAAATCAACCGCGAGCAGCAGAGGCCTCGCTCTCATTGTCAAGCAGGATCCCATTGCGCTCCTAGAGGTCATGGATCTCTTGGTCCGAGATGAAGCCACTCAGCTCTACCGCCTAAAGAGCCAGCTTCCGAGATCCTCTCCTAGACCGAAGCGCCGGAGTAAAAAGATTGCTGAGCGTCTGTCGGCGTACCGGGTGAATGTTGCGCTCTTCCTAGACGAATACAATATAAGCGTCCCTCTACTTCATTCCCTGACGTACAGCGTGTCTGGCGTCATCTCAAGAGCCGCCATGGCCGCCAATTTTGGGAAAGAGCTCATATTCGATTTCGATATTAGCGAGAATTCTCACGAGATCCAGATCGGAGTCAATAATGAGCTTCGGAGCATATCGCTCCTAAGTATCCCCCAACGAACGGCCGTCTCACTAGTCAAATCGGAGACACGGACCATTCGCTAGCTCTTTTCGCATCTATGGAACTCATCCAACTCGACGCCTCCGCAGTATATAGTCTTCTCAAGGCCCTCAACAGACCAGAAATTTCCAACGCTATCCATGACATACAGGAGCAGGTGCAGAGCATCAGCGCGCACTTAGACGACCTCTTTGACTCTGATACTGTCGCCGAGACCACGACCGTATCCTCAGCACATTCGCGCCTCATTTATACCATCCACATCACCCTCGCCGGACTTGAGATTGCGGGAACTACCCCTCTCGAGTCTGAGAATCAGCAAATTGCGCATCTTCTTGCCTGCATGAACAAAGTGCATCTTGAGATGTCTAATCAGGTCGAGGCCCGTGGCCCAATCCTAGAGCACCCTGAGCTGCACGTCCATCTCGGTGACATGCTCCTCGATTTGCGCAAGGGCCGCGAAGGAGAAATGAAGTCATGCGGTAACGTCTCGTCCAGCGCTCTCATCTCCGCGACAACCCGTCTAGGCGATGACGGCGAGGATGAACGAGCGTTCAGTTTCAGAAACGACGGTTTCGAAGTAAACTTGTCGCCGGAAACGATCTCTACCCTGGTAGATGTGTTGGGATATCTGGGAGATAAGATCAAGGATCTCGATACCTCAAGGGAACTAGAGTATCTGCGAAAGCTGCGGCAGACAAAGCCAAAGATTGCGATCAACGACCAGGAAGAAGCGGATGAGGCAGACTTTATCGACGCCTTCCTGTCTTCGATTGTGTACCAATTCGAAGTTCACAATGCACGCCTTAGCTGGTTGATTGCGGATGGCACGGAATCTCCGCAACCGGGAGAGGAGGACCTAGTTCTCTCCATCAAACTTCTAGAGTTCGGCACGCGCAAGACCAAGTCGGCGAGGCTCGCGATTCAGGATTTCCAGCTGCAGATGATGCCCCCGACTTTGACCCAAACACAAGGTCTCATCATTCGGCATTGTTACCTGAGGTGGTGTTCAAGGTAGCTTACTTTTCGACTGTCGACTCTCGTCGTCTCGCGTTCCAGGCGGTCGGAAAGTCACTCGACCTCCGTCTAACCTCCGGGTTCATTATCCCTGCGTTCAACCTCAAGGATTCCATTGCCCTTTCCGTCCATAATGTGCAGCAAGCATCGCAGAATTGGAATACGGGGATCTCGTCGACCAAGCCTGAAGAGCCTGTTACCGCAAGAAGCATCCTGGGTACCAAGCGCCTGGAATCTATCTTGATTGATGCCGACTTTGCCGGCGCGGTAGTCCATATGTCAGCCAAGAGATCGATCGAAGCGCGGGGTCACAAAACCGTCGAAGCCGGGCCAACGGAGGTGGCAAGTATGGACAGTTCTCCGACGATGCGGGAGGGAGCATGGCCCTCCGATCACCGGGTTTGGCTTGGAAGATGGAATACAGAGATAATGGCAAAGACGACCCGTCACTTTATGGAGAAGTCAAGATCGAAGAGTCAAGCAACGTCCTGTACCCCTCTGTCGTTCCGCTTGCCATGGATATCATGTCGAGCATCAAGGACGTTGTCAGCACAGATTCGGATAGTCCCACCAAGATCACGGTGCCCGCCAGCTCTCCGAAGCAGGGCGAGGAAGAGAAGCTTCTCACCGCCGATACGGATGAAGTTTTAGGACGCCTTCGCCTCAACCTTGGCTTGCGTATCTGCAAACAGGAGTTTACCCTCAGCTGCCAACCTATCGCTCGCGTCGCTGCTACCACTCACTTCGAAAACATTTACCTAACCGTGAACACGGTCAGGTCCAATGAGGCTGGTAACTTCCTGGCCATATCTTCGGCCATCAACAACCTGCAGACCTCTGTGCAGCACGTGTACTCGAGAGAATCCACCGGAAGCTTCGAGGTCGAATCCATTGTCCTCTCTCTAATGAACAGCAAGCATTTTAGCGGCAGGAGTGGCGTGTCAGCGATACTCAAGGTGAGCCCGACAAAAGTTGCTATCAACGCCAAGCAGCTGCAAGACTTCCTCCTGTTTAGAGAAATCTGGTATCCTCCCGAGATCCGACAGGCATCCATGGCCCCCGTAACCAAGCTCCAGACAGAAACATCTCAGGGCCACTTGGTTCAGAGATATCAGCAGGTCGCGGCAACGGCGGCGTTCCCGTGGACTGCCACCGTTTCGGTGAGCTCGCTGGAGATTAGCCTTGATCTCGGCCAGGCCATCGGCAAGTCCGTCTTTGCCATCAACGACTTTTGGGTATCGTCCAAGAAGACGTCCGACTGGGAGCAGAACCTTTGCCTCGGGTTCGACCGCATCGGGGCGGACTGCACCGGCCGCCTCAGCGGGCTTATCGCTCTCCAAGACTTTAGGCTCCGCACCTCGATCCAATGGCCGATGCGAGAGAAGGCGTTGAACGAGACACCCATGGTCCAGGCATCCATTAGCTTCAGTCAATTCCGGCTGAAGGCAGCTTTTGATTATCAGGTCTTCCTCGTTGCCGACATCACCTCCCTCGAGTTCCTCATGTATAACGTCCGGCGCCCAATGGGCAACGGAGATCGGCTCGTGGCCATCTTTGACGGTGAGGCAATTCAAGTATTCGGAACCACGTCCTCGGCTTCTCAGGGGGTAGCACTGTACCAGGCCCTCCAGAAACTGATGCAGGAACGAAGGGGCAACTTTGAGACGTCATTGAGGGAAATTGAGAGGTTTATGAGGCGCAAGTCTTCTTCCCTCATCTCATCGTCGCAGCCGAGCCGCATGCCCAAGCTTCCGGAAGAAGATACACTGGCAAAGTCGCCCATTTCCCTTGACACAGAGGTGGTGGTTACGCTAAAGGCCCTAAACCTCGGCGTCTTTCCGAGCACGTTCTCGGACCACCAAATCTTCAAGATGGAGGCTCTCGACGCGCAGGCTCGCTTCGCCGCCAACATTGCGCAGCGGCGAATCCACAGCATTCTCGACCTGACGTTGGGCCAGCTACGGATCGGCCTCGCAGGCGTCCGCAACATCGAGGCACCCAAAACCCTCAGCGAGATCTCGGTCGAGGACGTGGTAGAACGCGCGACGGGCTCTCGCGGGGAACGATTCTCAAAGTACCGCGGGTCCATGCGGCGATGGAAACGTGGCAATCACCCCGGGCCAAGCGCATAGACTACATTTTCAAGAGCGCGTTTGAAGGCAAGGTGGAGGTGGGGTGGAACTACTCGCGCATCAGCTACCTCCGTGGCATGTGGGCCAACCACGCCAAGACGCTGGAGCGGACGTGGGGCAAAGAGCTAGCCGTTACGGCGATCAAGGTGACGGGGGTGCCGGACGGGCAGGGTGACGAGGACGGCGGAGACGGCACGTCGAGCCAGCAAAAGCAGAAGAAGATCACGGCCGAGGTCAACGTGCCGCAGAGCAAGTACGAGTACATTGCGCTCGAAGAGCCCATCATCGAGACACCGCAGCTCAGGGACATGGGAGAAGCAACGCCGCCCCTAGAGTGGATTGGCCTACACAGGGACAGGCTGCCCAATTTAACACACCAAATCGTCATCGTTTCCCTCTTGGAGCTAGCCGGCGAGGTGGAAGACGCCTACGCGAGAATCTTAGGATCGTCATGAGGGGAAAGAGGATGATGCAGCAAAGAAAAAGCTGAGGGTTTGCGAGAGATAGGAGCGTCACGTCATGTATATATATATGTATTGTTTACCCTTGAAGCCTTCTTTTTTTCTTATTCCTTTCTCTATTCTTTCGTTATGTCTTTCAATTTTTATATACCTTTGTCTCATGAAATAGAATGCAAGTTTTGACAACTATTAAAATCTACCTTCCCAGCACCAGCTAGCCGAAGTTTACCGTGCTGTGCTTCGGGTTGCGGAGAGCCTAGAGATCCGTCGCTTGATTCCAGCCCAAGAGATCAGGCCTCCTGGCTCGTAACCCGGATTTAGGAGTTAAAAAAAGAAAGAAAGAAAGGTCTCGGATTAAGCGGGTGGCCAGAGGGCGAGTCTGTTAACGCGTGCACCTCTAACACCTCGCTATTGGGAGTGTAGGGGCAAATCGCAAGAGCGCAACCATCCAATCGTGTCGATTGACCTCAAGACGGCGAGGACTCACTTGGCCGTGGCAATGGACGTTGGCGGTGCGAGCTAGGTGGACGGAAGAGGCTAGACTCGTAAGATCAAGCAGGTCGAATGATTGGGGCCGACCCGCTTCGACCGCCACTTCGAGTTCCTCATCCTCGATAGAAAGTTCGGATTGAAGGTAAGGAAAGATACGTGATCCATACCCAGCCTGCCAGCCCACCGCAGGGAACAAAGCTAAACATTCCTTTTTCTCACCCGTCCCTTTCTTACCCCGAGTTCTCCATCACTTCCATTTTCAATATTGTTCTTGGCTGTCGAGCATCTCGGGCCCGCATCTCTCACGAAGTGATGACCTGTGAAGCGAGCAGGGGGATACTACTTCGTACATGTATGCAGTGCAAGGCATGGGGTCAGGTCCAGATGGGCGGATAGCGGGGTCACGGCCGGTGGTGGCTGCTGCTGATTTGAAGCAAGTGCGTTTTGTCGATCCTCCGTCGATTGATCCATGGATGGATGGAACTGATGCTGGTCAGAAAAATCATCCAGCGTAGCGAATCACTGCCAGGCATGGACTTTTACCCCACCAGGGAGAAGCCCGGCAGCTTTACTAGGTGGCGTCATTTACCATCCACGAACCTCTCCTACCCTGGTAGGCTAAGGAGCTCGGGCATTGCAGGGCATTGAATAGCTGTCCTTGCCCCTCACTTGGCATGTTTGCTATAACAACGTCGAGGGAGAGGGAGAAAAAAAAAAGAAATAAGAAACACAAAAAGCAGCCTCTCGGCCACAAGCTTCCGGCAAGGATCTGACCATTTGACACACTGAACCGACACAACAGATCATTACTTCATACATTTGAAGTCAAGTAGATTTAAGGCTGTATTCCCTCCATCATCGTGATTAATGGAAGCGGCAGGCGCGCTCAACCCTTGGGAGGTTGTAATGTACGCAAAATGTGTTTTGGCTTGCTTCGAGCTAATTTGACCAAAAGCACAAGAGGCAAGGAAAATCTCGGTCTCGTTCAATAGTTTTCCTCTTGGTTCGGCCCAAGTCAAGAGGCAAAGAGGCGGGTGGCAATCGATAAGCATCATGGGTGGTCGTAGAAGCAACCGCGGACTACAGGATGAAAAGGCTCGGAGAACAAGTGAAGAATATCCGATTGTGTGGCCCCAAGGTCATCAAAAATACGGAGCAGGGCTTTTAACCCTTTTTGCTCTTTCCGACACAAGTTTGATGGTGGGGTTGTCCAGAGCCATGAAGGGGAGATCCTATGCCCCTCTTCTCGCGGACAAGTACGAGCATGAGCTCCGTGGGAAGGTAGCGCTGGTATCCAATCAAAGTATTGGAGCTACGTGAATGCACATTATATGTACTACACAGTGACCGCGCAGTACTGACTAGCAACGGCGACAAGAGTCCCGCAAGAGGCAAGGCATCGGATAGCAGGGAGAAGAGGGGCTTGAGGGGGCAGGAGCATGTTGAGTGGACGCGATTCGAGTTCCGTTGCCATAACAATTTTTAACCCCACCATACAGAGAAAAAAAGAAGAAAAAAAGAGGGCCACTTTAGGAAGTAAAATAGCCAATGCCGCTCACTTAGGCGGAAGGAGGGATGGGCGATGAGAAAAAAACTATCTGGTCTTGGGAGCCAATCCAGTTTGGCAATACTTGCACCACATGATGTCGAGTACTTCCAGCTCGTCTCCACCCCTCCCCTCTCTCCCTCAGTCTCCCGCCATGTACTGAGCTGCTCCTCGCCAGCCGTATTATGTGTCTCAGTCTCTCACACACACACACACACCTCTACCATTGCTATCCATGGATCTATGTAGAATAGATGTGTACGTGCCTGAGTAAATGCGTTACAGTATGTGTGTATCAATGGATCAAATGGATGTGTGTGTACGGTGTCCGTGTATGTGTATATGTCGAGTCTGGCTGTGACCCCTCTGACCTGGGCCCTCGTCTCATATCGGCTCTCCCAAACACTCTCCCTTCCATTCTCCTAATTCTTCTTCCATCCTTCCTTCTCCAATTCGCCTAGGTGTATCAATAGCACAGGTCGAATTGGCTAACTGCGCCTGTTCCAATCCAAATTTGCTGCTTTTTGGGCGGAATTTTTCTCTGGCTTTTGGGGGCTCCCTTACGCCTACCTATTAGAAATCCACAATCGCGGGGTGCTTGGTTTTAAACCCCGCTTTCGACTCTCTCGCCTGCCCAACAGGTTTTTTTCACCTCTTCATCACCCAACCCCATCCCCAAAAACAACCATCTTTAAACGGTATCGCCAAACAGTACCGCCAAAATGGTCAAGTAAGTTGATCTCAACCTTATTCTTCCTCTGCATAGCATCTTGAGACCTCTCTTTTTTTGGTCTCTCCTCTCCCAGTTCCTGGGGAAGCTCGATGCCCTGTTTTGTGTCTCTCCCCTAGTGTTTCTAGGAGGGGGAGGAGGGGGCCAATGTGCCTCCCATCTCCTTTCCTGCTTGGACGGCTTCTGAGAGACCCGAAGCACTCTCGTGGGCAGACTTTTCCCTGGCAGGGGGGCGGATTTTGGTCTTTTTTCGCCCTTGGAATAGACACTAATCTCGCATTTTCCGCCACAATAGCTTCACGATCGACGAGATCCGGGCGCTTATGGACAAGCCTACCAATGTCCGTAACATGTCCGTTATTGCCCACGTCGATCACGGCAAGTCTACCCTGACCGACTCTCTCTTGGCCAAGGCTGGTATCATTTCCACTGCCAAGGCTGGTGAAACTCGTGCGACGGATACCAGAGCAGACGAGCAGGAGCGTGGTATTACCATCAAGTCTACCGCCATCTCCCTGTATGGTTCCCTCGAGGATGACGAGGACCTCAAGGACATTGTCGGCCAAAAGGTCGATGGCAAGGGGTTCCTTATCAACCTGATTGACTCGCCCGGTCACGTCGATTTCTCCTCCGAGGTTACTGCTGCCCTTCGTGTCACTGACGGTGCCCTTGTCGTCGTCGACACCGTCGAGGGTGTCTGTGTCCAGACCGAGACTGTGCTTCGTCAGGCGCTCGGTGAGCGTATCAAGCCTGTCATCATTGTCAACAAGGTTGACCGTGCTCTTCTTGAGCTTCAGGTTTCCAAGGAGGACTTGTACCAGTCCTTCTCCCGTACCATCGAGTCCGTCAACGTCATCATTTCCATGTACCTTGACAAGGCCCTCGGTGATGTCCAGGTTTACCCCGACAAGGGTACCGTTGCCTTCGGCTCCGGTCTCCACGGCTGGGCTTTCACTGTCCGCCAGTTTGCCATCAGGTACGCCAAGAAGTTTGGCGTTGACCGCAACAAGATGATGGAGCGCCTCTGGGGCGATAACTTCTTCAACCCCAAGACCAAGAAGTGGACCAAGAACGGCACCTTTGAGGGCAAGCAGCTCGAGCGTGCCTTCAACCAGTTCATTTTGGACCCCATCTTCAAGATCTTCGACTCCGTCATGAAGTCCAAGAAGGACGACATCAACACCCTCCTCGAGAAGCTCCAGCTCAAGATCTCCTCCGAGGACCGCGAGAAGGAGGGCAAGGCTCTCCTCAAGGTCATCATGAGGACTTTCCTCCCCGCTGCCGACTCCATCCTTGAGATGTTGATCTTGCACCTTCCCTCTCCCGTTACCGCCCAGAGGTACCGTGCCGAGACTCTGTACGAGGGCCCCCGATGATGAGGCCGCCATTGCCATCCGTGACTGCGATCCCAAGGGTCCTCTCATGCTTTACGTCTCCAAGATGGTACCCACCTCCGATAAGGGCCGTTTCTACGCCTTTGGTCGTGTCTTCGCCGGTACCGTCCGCTCCGGTCTCAAGGTCCGCATCCAGGGCCCCAACTACACCCCCGGCAAGAAGGAGGATCTCTTCATCAAGGCCATTCAGCGTACCGTCCTCATGATGGGCGGCAAGGTCGAGCCCATTGATGACATGCCTGCTGGTAACATTGTCGGTCTCGTCGGTATTGATCAGTTCCTTCTCAAGTCGGGTACCCTCACCACCATCGACACCGCCCACAACTTGAAGGTCATGAAGTTCTCCGTCTCCCCGTCGTGCAGCAGTCCGTCCAGGTCAAGAACGCTCAGGATCTTCCCAAGCTTGTCGAAGGTCTCAAGCGTCTCTCCAAGTCGGACCCTTGCGTCTTGACTTTCACCAACGACTCTGGTGAGCACGTCGTCGCCGGTGCCGGTGAGCTTCACTTGGAGATTTGCTTGAAGGATCTCGAGGAGGACCACGCTTGCGTTCCCCTCATCATCTCCGACCCCGTCGTCCAGTACCGTGAGACGGTTCAGGGCAAGTCCAGCATCACCGCCTTGTCCAAGTCCCCCAACAAGCACAACCGTATCTACATGGTTGCCGAGCCCCTCAGCGACGAGCTCTGCAAGGACATTGAGGACGGCAAGGTGACTCCTCGTGACGATCTCAAGGCCCGTGCCCGTCTCCTCGCCGACACCCACGGCTGGGATGTCACCGATGCCCGAAAGATTTGGGCTTTCGGCCCCGACATGAGCGGTGCCAACTTGCTCGTCGACCAGACCAAGGCCGTCCAGTACCTCCACGAAATCAAGGATTCCGTCGCCTCCGGTTTCCAGTGGGCCACCCGCGAGGGTCCCTCGGAGAGGAGCCCATGCGTGGTATCCGCTTCAACATCATGGATGTTACCCTCCACGCCGATGCCATTCACCGTGGTGGTGGCCAGATCATCCCCACCACTCGTCGTGTCCTCTACGCCGCCACTCTTCTCGCCCAGCCCACCCTCATGGAGCCCATCTTCCTCGTCGAGATCCAGGTGCCCGAAACCGCCATGGGTGGTGTCTACGGTGTGCTCACCCGCCGTCGTGGCCACGTCTTCAACGAAGAGCAGCGCCCCGGTACTCCCCTCTTCACCATCAAGGCCTACCTCCCCGTCATGGAGTCCTTCGGCTTCAACGCCGATCTCCGTCAGGCCACCTCTGGCCAGGCCTTCCCCAGTCCGTCTTCGACCACTGGGAGATCCTCCCCGGTGGCGCTGCCCTTGACCCCACCAGCAAGGTCGGTATCGTCGTCCAGACGATGCGTAAGCGCAAGGGTCTCAAGGTCGAAGTACCCGGTGTTGAGAACGTAAGTCTTGAAGATGATGATCACCCCGTCCCCCGTCCCCCAACCCCCTTTCCTTGCTCCCCTTTTGGAGCCTTTTTCCACCTTGAGCCGTGCCCTTCCCTGCGCTGGCGCTGGCACTAGCGCGTGCTAGTAATGGGCGGTCAGTGTGCTAACATGTTACGTTTCGCAGTACTACGACAAGTTGTAAGCGGTCCCGCGTGGGTACCACCTTTGTGACGCCGGATGGCTCTCGTGGAACGAATGTAGGGCCGTCCATGACGACAGCAGCCTCGAATCAGGCGGGTTCCGGACCTCGAATTGCTCAGAAGCATCGAGGTAGATGGTTAGATGGATTCCAAAAACGGATGTTTTGTCGATTTATGGGGATAACCTCCGAGGCAAAATTAGATGTCATGGCGGTAGGAAAGTTGATTTGTTCGACACTTTCCCCGCTTCGAGCTTCTCGTCTGTGTAGTTAGAAGTGACTGGCCTACAAAACACCCCATGTAGCCCAGCTATCTCTCAAAATTGATTTCCCGTCGTGTACTCGTGTACTTGATGAATTGAATGGTTCAGCTCTCTCACCTTTTGTGATGCCAACATACGTATCTCTTGTTTTTGCGCGTGATTTCCAATTCAAAGAGCACCAAAAGCTAGGGGTGAAGGGGAAAAGGTTGCTCGAAAGGCAGGGGCGGCGGTGGCGGTCATCCGCCTTTTCCTTTCTTTTCCCTTGTCTTTTTTTCTTTCAATGTTCTCTCTTGAGGACCTGCTGCTTGCGTTGGGCTCAGGCCTGGGTAGGCCAGAACCAGTGGTTTGGGTTGGAGGGGCTCCTCACCCCACTCAAGAGCGCACCCGGAGATTTGCCGAGCGGGCGGAAAGATTTCAGCGAAAGGGTTGCAACATAGCTTTCTCGAATAAGAATAAGGCAAATCCAAGCTTCAACAACGCAAAAGCCCAGGGCACATGACGAGTGTTCACCCGCGACCACAACAACCACAAGATCGGTTGCTCTTTCTACCAAGAGAACCGGCGCGCACTTGTTCCGGGCTGTCAATCTATGCCCGATGCTTTTTCCTAGACCCTGATACATTCCCTCTGGGAACCCTGTCCCCCCTCCGTTCCTCCCCGGCTAGCAAGAGAGTCGCAAACGAAGTACCGAGTGAGGTACAGCAAACCTCGATTCTTTTATCAATCCGCACAATACCTGCCGGCCCAACCCCGGGATTCTGATTCTACACCTAGCGCACGCGCAAATAATGGCATCGCCTCTCTTCCCCAAGGAGGATGTGCCTGCTCTCAAGGCATGGATTGTAAAACGTCTTGAAAACACGTGTGTTGCTTACCTTCCTGGTCCTGGCCCGCCGAGATCTTTCCACTAACTGGTGCCCTTTCCTAGCTCCGATGCTGATGCTGATGTCCTCGGCGAGTACGTCATCGAACTCCTTAGGCACGATGGCGATGCTAAATCGATCCGGGAACTGTGCAAGCAGGAAATACGCGATTTTCTGAACGATAACGGTAAGCTTGCCGAACGCCTCCATAATTCCGATCGCCGGGAGCCAAACTATGTTGTGCCACGCTTCCTAGACTGGGTCTGAACCTCGCTAACACGGTGCTGCTCGCTTCCTCTCTATTCTTTTCACTTTATAGATTCCTCTGTATTTATAGACGATGTCTTCACGGCTATCTCGGACAAGTTGTACCTACCGCCCGAAGCACGACCCCGAAACCGTCTACGAAACCGGCGCCATCGTACGATTCGAACAAGTCCCTCGACGGCTTCATTCCCAAAAGCCCCAGGCTCCCGGCCCTGACAATTCGGCGGGGCCGCCTCTCAACGGCTCGCGGAAGCGACCATACCGAGAACAGGAAAATGGGGATGGCCAGGATGCGCCTGAGAACACGAACAGAGTTATGAAACAAGCGCGGCGCGGCTACGACGGCGATAGGGGAGGAGGCGGCACGGATGTCAACTCTGCGTGGGCCAATCCGGGCATGGCGATGGGATACAACCCCTCCGACAATCCTCTCGCGCTCGTCGCCGGCTTCCCGGGGTTCCCTCGCGGTCCCGATGGCCTCCCATTCCCTTCGCCGTTCATGTATCCCGGCCAAGGGAGAGGAGGCGCCAAAGGCGGAAACAAGAGAGGCCGCAAGCAGCGTTGCCGCCAGTTCGACACGCAAGGCTTTTGCCCCCGGGGGTTGACGTGCCCTCACGATCATAGCCTTCCCGACTTTCCGGCGGCGTCGCTCCCTCTTTCCTTGGGGATCAATGCTGGTGAGAATCCCTTTAATCCCCGTCCGTTCCCCCAGCGGGGGCGATGACACGCGCGAAAGCATATTGCCTCGTTATCTGTACTAAATAGAACCATGTCTAGCCTACGACCCTTCCGACCCGAATCTGCTCCTGTTCGCCGCGCAGCAGCAGCTTAGCAACTTTGCACCACCTAACATCAAGGGGCCGCCAAAGAAGCGACGAGGTGACAAGCCGCGCAAAACCAGCCGGGAAAAGGGGTCCAGAGCTCCATTTTCCGTAGAAGGGCCGGTCCACGATAAGAATCGGACGACAATCGTGGTGGAGGGAATACCCGAAGAAAATTTTACCGAGGGGAGATTCGGGAGTTTTTGGCCAGTTTGGCCAGATCACCGAGGTCACCCTGAAACCATACAAGTACCTGGCCATCATCAAATTCGACAGTTGGGACTCTGCCAACGCCGCCTACCAGTGTCCCAAGGCCATTTTTGATAACCGATTTGTCAAGGTATTCTGGTACAAAGACGAGGCCGAGAGTTCTAGCAAGGGCCGTAGGAGGCCGGACAGCACGAGTCTCGACCCCGATGCGCATCCTTCCGACCCCACGTTCGATATGGACGACTTTATACGGCGGCAGGAGGAGGCGCAAAGGGCGTTTGAAGAAAAACGGCAAAGGCGGACTGAGCTGCTGAAACAAAAGGAAGAGCTCGACAAGCGGCAGCAAGACCTCCTTGAGAGGCAGCTCGAGATCAAGCGCAAGCTCGAAGTCAGACTCGGCACTGCGTCTGGTGGCGCTAACCAGGGCGAGGAGGAAGGCAGCGCGGCGACGGAGTCTCTGAGGGCCCAGCTGATGAAGCTCGAGGAGGAAGCGAGAATCTTGGGCTTGGATCCCAACTCCGAGGGCGCGCTGTTTGACGAGGGATCGAGCTTTGCGCCGCGTGGCGGGTATCGCGGCCGCGGAGGTGCGAGAGGCAACTTCCGCGGACGCGGATCTGGCCCTAGGGGTGGATTCCGTGGAGGATATGGCGGCGGGTACGGGGACGTCCACGAAGCGTACGCCGCCTACTCTTTGGACAATAGGCCGAAACGGGTCTCCGTCACCGGTATCGACTTTACGGTGCCCCAGAAGGACGAGGCCTTGCGGCAATTCCTACTTGTAAGTCTCCCCAACGCCCCTGTTTGTTTACAGGGTGAAGGGGAAAGCCCAACCTTTATATCGGAAATATCCCCAACGCTAACCTCAAAACACTGTAGGGCATCGGAGAGTTCACGGCGGTGGAGACCACCCCGTCCACGACGCACGTCACTTTCAAGGACCGCAAAACGGCCGAGATGTTCTTCGTCCAGGTCAACAACAACACCCTCCCCGGGGTCGAGGGCACACTGGAAGCGGCCTGGATACCGAACGCGACCCCACGCCTCCGACCAGATCAGGTCCCGCAGGAAGTGGCAGGAGCGCGCACCCAGCGGGCAGCGCGCCGGCAATAGGAGGCGATGGGAGCAATAGCGCGGACGAGGCGGGGTCCGAGGACGGGGAAGTGGTGGAAGACGAGGATGAAGGCAGGGGCTACAGGCATGAGGACGAGCGCGACATGGATTATGAGGTGGCGGATGATGACGAGTGGGGAGCTGAGGGAAGTTGTGATCATAGGAGAAAAGCCCCCCGGCGTGGGGTGAGATGCTTCGCCGTGCTCGCAAAATACTAGACGCACGCCTTGGAGACGTACTCCTCCACCCGTACAGGAGGTACGAGGTGCAGCAAGGAGGTGTCCCATAGTAGCTAGCAGCTCAGCGGATCAACGTGTTATGATTAGACCGATTTCTCAAGAGGAGAGAAAACAAAAGAACCCTGCTGTATATCATCATACTCAGTGTATCAATAAACGCCTGGGCATCATAGAAGAACCTATACACTGTAGATGACATGGCCGGGCTGCTCAGACTGAGCGAGGTGAAGAAGCTCTTGCATGTCCTTGCTTTTGGGGATGCCACCAGAAAATACGGTCAGGTTCCCGCACTATTCAGATTGATGTCGTAGCGGGCTAAGCCATGTGGTCGCAATCAGCAGGGAGGGGCAACAGAGGAATTTTCAAAGTGACGAAGAATAATATCATGTGTATCATTTTTAGTATAATGTTCCCTGGGTATCTTTTTGTTGAAAAAGAAAAGTATCTCTCCCTCCCGTGAGCCCCCTTTGGGCAAATTCAAACAAGATAAGTAGATCAATCCGACAAGAAAAAAGCCTAGAATAGGATGATGTTCTTCCAGCATGGCACCAACCAAGCCGAGCATCACTCCTACACAAAGATAGTATCACAAACCTATCCTCTAGCACCGTCAGAAGCGCAAAGACTGCGGTAGACCGCGGGTTGCAGGACTGAGATAGAAAAGAAAGGAAAAGAAGAAAAAAACGAAGAAGATAAAAGTTGGAGAGGAACGGGCAGTAAACATCCCCCAAGGGGGACATCGCGTCAATCGTAAGCGTGGTGAGCGTGATGCATGAAGAGACGGAGATGATAGAAGAAGAAGAAGAAGAAGAAACAACCGAGCGGACCCCAAGTGTTGGATTAGGACGCAGTCAATAACTAAGGAGAAGAGAAAATGGTTGAGCGGGGAGGGAGGGAGATTTGGAAAAATAAAACAGACAAAGTGGAATAATCCGGATGTTGAACGCCGTTCTAGATATGCAGTTGATGGAATCTTTGTTTTGTAAAGGTCGGACAGAAGAAAAGGCGTTGGAGCCTTCAAGGTATTGACGTCATTCGAAGTCAAGAGTTGGAGATGTAAGCAAAGGGATGGATGGGATCAAGGAGAGGTAGGGATCCGTAATGCCGACCCTCCGATCCAAGGAGAAGGTGAAAAGGATCAAATCACCGCGGCGGCTCCGATAACAGGTGCATCGGAACCAACGGCCGTGGCCTCCGAGGTGGGCACGGGGGCTCTTCCACAGGAGCGGGTGTAGGTGTCTCGAGGCCCTCCACTTCGAGACCCTCGAGCAGCTCGAAGATGGTTCGGGGCTCTTGGAAGTCGTTGTTTACTAGTGAACAAAAGTTAGCAGCTACTCGGATGGCGGATGGAAGAGGAAACTGAAATGGTGGCGAGAGGCACTCGCAAACCTACCGATGTTGATGAGGTACCAGTTGTTCATCATGCCCTCGATCAGTGCCCTGCTGGGGCTACGCGAGTCAAAGCAATAGGCCCAGTCCAGACCCAAGCGGAAGGCTTCATCCTTCCAAGCGAGGAAGCTGATGCTCTCGACAATGGTGGGCTGAACGATTTCCTTGCCCGGGAAGACACCCCAGGTGACGGCATTGGGGCCCTCGGAGGGAGCGTTAGTCTCTAGGGTGCCGTTCATGGTCACGGCGTAGTAGGTGATATCGGGATGACGCTTGATACGCTCAATGATGTCCGAGTAGACGGCCGGGGGTACGAGGAGCTCGAGGTAGGACTTCTGGTAGACATAGCCGTTGGAAGGGCCCCAACCGTGGATGGGGTGGCTCGACTTGACGCCGTTCACGGCCGGCTGGGAGTTGATGGTAATCAACCCTCGCTGGTTAAGGGCCACCAGGTCTTCGCGGATAACCTCACCCTCCGCTGTCAGGGGCTTTCACTCCAGGGCAGGTTCTCGAGGCGGTTCTCGAGATAGCTGACAAAGAGGTTGGCGACGTCGCGAATGGACTTGGGCTCGCCCCACTTCTTCCTGTTTTGCTCGCTGGTGCCGGGAAGGCGAATACCGTACGTGTCTAGCTCACCAAAGGCAGGCGACCGGGAATCACCCCAGCGACCGTTGGGGAACTCGTCCCACTCCTGGGTGCGCAGCACGTACGACTTGTTCCTGTTCCGCCAGAAAACGGGCCGGACGTCCTCGTGGCGGCGGCCCAAGCCGAGGGACTGCTTCCAGGGCAGAGCCTGCTTGAGAGGGCGGTTGGCGGAGGGGAGCCAGTCGAGGTCCTGCAGAACCATGCTAGTCGCGGTGGCGAGATTCATGGTGTAGAAGTGAAGGTGATGGATTTCCTTGGAGGCGAGGAGCTTGCGGCACAGATCGGCGACGAGCCTCTTGCCAATTTCTCGGACAGCGAGATCGTCGTTCTTGACGGGCTCGATGGCGGCCATCCACTCGGGGGATCTTGCAGCCCATGTGACTGGCGCGACGAAGGAAGCTGGCGTAGGTGGCAACGGGCATGATGCCGGGGAGAATGGGGATGGTGATGCCAATCTCGCGGACCCGCCCGACCCAGCGCAAGAAGTTGTCGGCGTCGTAGAACATCTGGGTGACGATGAAGGTGGCGCCCATGTCGACCTTTTCCTTGAGGTGCTGGAGAAGGAGGTCCTCGTCCTTGTTGTCGTCGCAGCCTTCGGGGTATCCGGCGACGCCAATGTCGAAGTGGTTGCCGTAGGTGTTGCGGATGTGCGCAACGAGGTCCTTGGCGTAGTTGAAACCACCGTCCGTCACCTCCCACTTCTCCTTGTCTCTAGGCGGATCGCCGCGGAGGGCGAGGATATTTGTGCAGCCGGCCTTGTAAGCGCTCCGTAAGGCATTGTTGACGCGCTCCAGCCCCATGTCGGTGCAGGTAAGGTGCATGCACGATTCCATGCCGAGAAGAGTCTGGGCCTGGATAACCATCTCGTTTGTCAACTCGGCAATGTGGCCGCCGGCGCCCCAGGTGATGTCGATGAACTTGGGACCGAGAGTGAACATGCGCTCCATACGGTCGTAAAGGTTCTGAACACCCTGCGCCGTCTTCGGGGGAAGTACTCGAAGGAGAAGGAAGGTTGGCCAGACCTTTCGGCCTCCTCAAGCATCTCTCGGATATGCATGATGGGCGAACGTGTCGGCAAGTCTGAAAGGAGCCGCGGGCGTATCGAAGGTTGAGATTAAAAGAGAGCCAAGATACAAGGGCACAAGAGAAGGAAGAGGGTGATTGCCTAATATAAAGGCATATGGAGGAGGAGCAGGAGGAAGAGGGGGAGGGAGGCGGGGGACTAGATGACTCGCTCCAAGAGCCTAGAATTATGGCACAAGATGTTAGAAAAGCAAGGTGTGCAAAAAGTTCAAGTTGACTGTCTCTTGGGGAAGTTTTGGAGTTTATGGAGCACAAAGATGGACTACAGTATCCGTGGTCGCCGAGAACGGAAAGAATCGTAACCACCCCACCAAGAGGTACATACGTGGGGTTGTGTGTTTTTTTCTTTTTCCTTTTCTTTTTCTTTCTTTAGGAATACAAGCTTTTGGATTGCTAGAAGAGGGGCGATAGATAATGGAACCTAATCACTTACAACAACCCAGACAATGGATGTCAATGGAATTATATAGACGAAGAGGAGTTGAGGAAGGGAAGAAGAAGAACAAGAAGGAGAAGAAGGAGAGGGCTGGGGGCGGGACTAAAAGGTCGATGAACTTGGCGAAGCAACCCCAAGACCCTGCGCATGAAAGGCAGGTCGGTTGAAGCTAGCAAGAGAAGGCAGCAGAGGCAACAAAAGGAAGAGGGAGAAGGGAAAAGAAACACAAGTGGCTAAAAGTACCTCGAAGATCAACAAGAACTCGACCGAAAATTGGGTCGACAAGAGATTTTCCAGGTTCCTGAAGGGACGATGAGGTAGCTTTGCATGTACAAGGGCTTTTAGCACTAGCTAATTAGAGCCTAGACAGACGGGTTGGAAGTCTAAATCCTCGACGGAGATTCCTCCAGAGTGCTCCGAATATGGCCGCAACACGATTGGTTCGATCAATCGGTCGCATCAATTGATCACATTTGGGAGCGAGCAGCACCCTGATGCTGCTGCTGCTGCTGCTTCTGCTGCAGTCTTGGGCACAGAGGGACGAGCGATTACTCCATGTAGCCATGGGTCTGGCGTGGGAAAGCTGACTGCCTTCGCTTTTCGTTCCTTCTTGGGGCACGAGCTCGGGTGACGGGGGATACGAGAGAAGTCACGGAATCCAATCCATTGTTTTTGCTTGCTTCTGGTATACATGGATCCATGGATGTAGTCAATGGGGCCGAAGAGGCAACTTGAAGTTGTGCAAATCCTGTGCTGGGGATGGGGATTTCCTGGCCTTGGGCTTGGGCTCGGGCGAGTATTCCACGTGGGGGAACTGTGGTGGCTTCACTCCCCAACCTGACAGACCATGATTGACATGTTCCAATGGATCACTCCATTCCTATCCTGTTCAAGCTCCGGGGCCCCTTCCCCTGGTCTTTCCATGTCCTAGTCAGCCGGTGTCCTGTCCGCCGTTCCTTCCTTCCTTCCTTCCTTCCCCTCCAGGAGTGTAAGCAGTTGCGGCCGACAAAAAACAAACAAACATTGGAAGTGGTTCCGAGAAACGTTGTTGCCTCCCACTGGCTGTGCAGTGCCCAGACACGCTTATTGATGCAGAATGTGATCAATCTATCCATGGATCTATGGATGGATCATTGATGTGTGTCAGCTCTGGTGCACGTCCAATTCCGACTGTTGACCATTTGGCTGAGTCCCAAGATAAGACTCGTCGCAGCGCGGCGTACACATTCCATAGTGAGCAAGTTGCTGCTCCACGGAGGGCGCCATATCCATATCCGGGCGTCCGTCGAAGCTGGGTGGACGAGCGAGAGGGAATGCACCACGGCCAAATTTTGCAGACCAACAACGCATATGAATAGATCCATCAATTGATCCATTAGATGGACTATTACATTCACCCGCACGTCGCGCCCTGTACCTTTCCTATTCCGATGCATCACTTGCGGAGCGACACATGTACCAGCAGTCAAGCAACACAAGGGGAAAACAAAGAGTCGGTGAGAAAGGTGTATAGTCTTCTACCCCACACCAAACTCGGAGGGCGAGCGAATACTTCGTAGGTTGGAATTCGTGGAGAGCAGAGCTGCTTGAGCTCACCTCACCGCGACCCGGCCAGCAACCCCGACACTCCTCCCCGTACATGCTAGCCCTCCTTCATCCAAAAATCAAATTGGGGATTTATTATGCAAGACTTGACGAATTGACCGGACGCAAGCAAAGTTCTGCTAGGCACCCAAGAACCTTTTTCGGCCTCCCTGTTGGGCCTGAAGTCAAGTCATACGAACAATTAACGTGACTGACGAGTGAATCCGCTACCAGCTGCTTCTCGTCTCTCTCCCTCTTTGTCTCTCTCTCCTCTCGCTCTCCATTCCTTGCTAAAACCGACTCCATCCATCAATTGATAGGATCCAATTTATGGATGTCTCGATCAAAGATTGAGGGGTGTCGAGTCTCATTGTACACAGTCAGACTTGCGGGTGGGCATTCCGGCGCAGGATCTCGGCGTGGGAGCAGCGACCTTAGTGGCTAGCAGCGCGGTTGACCGATCCATCCGAAATGCATCTAGAGATGGATCCATGGATGGATCCAGGATGGGATGGGGAATTGAAGCTTCCATGTTCCAAGTCCTGAGGGGCACTGCCCCCAATCTTCAGAGCGACGGGAAAATTGAAAATTGATGAGAGAAGTGAACCCCGCTTGACCCTCCAACAGGTCCTCAACCCTGCATGGCGGGGCAGGTTCCCGAGACACGACACGACACGACACGGATTGACTGATTGATGTCGCACCACAACATTTGAACATTTGAGCGCTAGAAAGATACAACCTTGGAAGTTTCAACTGCAAACGCGATTGTGTACCCCCACTTAATGATCGATTGATCAATTGTATCGATTTTTCTCGCTCTTTTTTGTTCTTCTTTTTTTTTTTTTTTTCCCCAGTATCACCACCATACCCCAATTGTCCTTGGTCAGTCCAGGATCCCCCTCCCCCACAACATCGTCCTCTTCAACAGAGCATTCGATTGAGAGTAAACATGCGGGCGGAGATAGTTCTATATAGTTCTGCCACGCCGGAGTCCCGTCTTCTTGTATATGAAGAGCGGGAAGACGCCTCGCCGTCTCTAATATCGGCATCTCTTATTACTTTATGATCAGTCAAGATTTGCAGCCCCAAGGACCTGGTTCGTACCCTTGGGCATGGACCAATCCCATCTTCGCAAAGCCAATGATGGTGGGAGGTTTGGTGCTACTTTCACCAATTATTATATATCGAAGATTGGAGGATTGATCACTCTATTAACTTTATTAGTGCCACCTCTCATGCTTGAGAATGCGGTGAGCTGGCGAGAACTACGACAGTTGAGCTTTTACATCCTGGCTTACCCCTTCTCTCTACCTCGTAGCTCTCCTCCAATCCCTTAGATTCCCACATAGCGCTAGAGCGAAGCTTCTTCACATCATCCTAATTGATCCCCTCAGAGCGTCGACCAACCGCAACCGTACTAACCCCGGTAGTAGTGCTTGGGCTAGTTGGTCCACCTATCCATGCATCTGTCTGCTCGAGCTCCGGGTGCTGTGTGCCTTCGTGCCGGGCCTATAACGTAAAGAATCCAGCACGCAAGAAAAAGAGGCGCAACATGAAGACGTGCATTTGACTAGCGAATCCCATGGCCGTATGGCGGTATCCCGGAAATGATGGCCCGGTTGAGCCTAGCCATCATGAGCATGGCATTATGCGTTCTCCGCAGGGTGGGCATCTCCTGTCTTCTGTATGACGAGGAAGCGGCCCCTCGGGGTTGTCTCATCATTCATTGTTCCATCTTCGTGTGGTTGCGGTGGCCTCCATGAAACTGGCCGGTGATAGGTGTAGGGTAGTCTCCCATTCTCAAGGAATCCGCTTTTCCCCTCCTCGCTACCTATCAAACTCAGGCCCTCCGTGACACGGCGGCCGGGTCGCATCGAGCGGTTGCCTTGGAGGGGCGCCACTCTGCCCGGGCGCTTGGCATCTGCCTGAAATAGGTCACCTCGTCGGGCTCGTCGCCTGCATGCGCAGAGGGGCGGCGCCTCTCAGCCTCCTCCACCTGTTGCTGTTCTCAATCACATCACGATCAAAGATGAACCACCACCTTTCGAACAAGACCTGCCCAACTTCCCAAGACCCCGGATCGTACACGTCGTCACCCCATATCCGCATGCCCTCACGGCTGTCCTCGACATCGTAGGCAAACTCGACCAGCGCGAGCGGGCTGGACGCGTTTGGCGGTCGTGCTTCCGGCGGAAGGCTCATGACGGCAAGCATGCGCTCGCGCACGCCGGGCCACGGGAGGAAATCTATAAACGGGTGGTGGGCGACGAGCATCTGCGACGGGGTAGGCCGCCAACATTCGGGCAGCTGCTCTGTTGGGGGACATGTGCCGGCGTAGAAGGGAGAAGTCGCCTCGAGCTGCCAAAACGACTCGTCGCAGCCGAGGCGAGACGATATCCGGAGTATGGCTCTCAGGATCGTGAGTTCGTTGACGGGAAGTAGGTAGCTGTCCGCCGATAGCCCGGATGTACTCGAGCCTGGCGAGGACCCGCTGTCCAGCAGGCAGAGGGACAGTGGGTCGATGCCGGCGGAAAAAGCATGTTGCGACGCTGAAAGTCCGTGGCGCCGCCCCCGCCGCCCCCTCACCTCCGTCGAGCGCGAGGTTGGGCACCTGGAGACTGCTCACGAGAGCCGTGGTAAACATGCCGTGGCAAGTTGCAACGGACATGCCGGACCAGCTGGGAATCCCGCTAAAGTCCTCATCTAGATCCCCTCGCTGCGACACGTCGATAAACTCGGCAAAATCATCCGCGGATGTCTCTTTCGCCGCGAGCGGCGCCGGCGGGGACTGTGATGCGGGGTTATAGGAGCTCGAGCCTGAGCTCGAGCTGGCCCCGCCGGAGGACTATTTGACTGAGTCGAACTCGACACTTCAGTCACGTCCCCGCCCTTCTTCTTCTTTTGCCTTTTGCGTTCCCCTAAGCTTAAAGATTAGCATATTGTATATCTTTAAATGCACGCCATTTGCCTAGGTGATTGCCATGGGCTGTGAAATATCATAAATGCCAATTTTTCTCCCCATCAATGCTCTTACATCAAGGCATCGCTGACAGTGTACAAAGCTGGAAGCGTAAAGAAGGGGCGAAAAGCATACTATACCGTCTTTGGGCCAACACATTCAATACCCGTTTTCTCTCGTCAGCGTCCTCTTCAATGTCGGGCACGGCGAGCGGGGGCGGTGCTTTGTAAATTCTTTGCCGCGTTCGTGGCGGGACATAGCTGTCCTTTGGCCGTTGACTCTCTCCCAGCAGGCTTTCTTGTTGCCCTTGGGGGCCTCCTGGCCGTCCGCCATGTTTCTTCTACAGCTTTGATGTCTGATGATTGTGGCATGTACTGCCACCGCCTTTTGGTTTGGCCTGCGCGTCCTTTCGCTCCGCAAGAGATCTTTCCCTGGCTGACTTTCTCAAAGATGCGAATTTGTGGCAAGGTCAAAAGGGAAACCGGGGTTCAAAGACCGAATGCTCCCGATTAAAAGAGAAGAAACGGCCAAGCCGTGGTTCAAGCGTCTTCCTCCCCTGAATAGCGCCTCCTCGCTGAGCGTGATGCTTGGCTCGGAGTCGGAGCTTCTCTCCGCCAGAAGGCTTCCGAGCATAACGCTTAAGTATTGTGCACTGTGTAAGCATAACGGATATAAAGTTACCTAAGCTTAAATACTTGTTTCCGTGGGCACCCAGGTCAATTTTAACAGAAACCCGACACTCCGACCAAGAAAATACAGTGCACACACACACAGCACTGTATCCGCCCACTCCGTCGGGCCGTCGTCCTCAAGCTCACAGCTTCAGCAGTCGACAGACAGAGTGACCGATGAGGTGGTTGGAATTCCGACGAGAAAAGACCAGACGAGCGAACCAGATATTAACCATGAAAAAGAATTTCAACCAGCTTTTATCTCATGCTGGGAGCGTGCAAGTGGCAGCAGCTCCATGGTAGCAACCCTGCCAGCAGCCCGCCCGCGAGGCTGCCAGCTGTGTAAGTGCTCTCCAACATCGACTGGGAATCGCTCTTCGACGTCTAGATAGGGAGACCGTCGTCAACCCCTTGAATCAAGGAACACATAAGAAAAGGTATATAGGGAGGCAGATACCACATGTGGCCGCAAAAGGACCATGTCAAGGCGGGGTCGAGGGCGGGGAGATGATTGGAAAGTAGGGAGGCAAAGCGAGTGATAACTCGCGCTGTAGCCAGGCAGACGTGGGCGGTATTCGTCCGGCATATGGTGGCGAGGTTAGGGTAGGGTTTCGATCCCCAAAGGCACCGTCCCTTGCCGATAAGCAGATAGGGACCTCTGAGAGGGGCGTGAGAAACAAGGATGATGGAAAGATTGTGATCAAACTCTGGGACTTCACACTGCTCCCTTCATGGACGGTCGAGGCAGACTATTTATGTTCGAATAAAGAAGCTGGAAAAATCCCCTTTTCCCCAGCTTAGGAACGTGAAGACGCCAGACGTGTCTTAGCATTGGAGATGCAAGCCTAACGCACAAGCACGTTGCCCAAGCATAACGCTTAGATGGGTTGGGAGCTGGGACACCGGGGGAAGAGCTAAGAAGCGACGATACCTAGATCATACAGGGAGATCTTTCAGGGATAGTTCTATTTACGCTACCTAGTTTCCAAAGCTAGATGTTCTTTCATTTGGTGAATGTCGAAGAGCTGGGGTACTGATGGGGGTTTGAGAGAAGACCTAATGGGCTATTTATTCTAGGCAAGCTGGCGAGGTTAGCAATCCAAGTATCCGCAGTGCAGCAAGCCACGGCAAGGAACAAGAAACTTGCCGAGGTAGAAGACATTGGTACACAGACGAAGGGGAAAGATGTGCCCTCCTTGGCTTGCGGCACCAGTTCCATGGCATTTATTTGTGGGATCCTAGCAAGCCACGTCTGGCGAGTTCGAGGTGACAGAAAGGCTTCCGAGAGGATAGTTTGCAGACCTAAATGCACAGATATTCTATTCAAGTTGTAATAATGGACGGGCTTGTTGGAATGGCCGGAATTCACTCTCCGTTTATCTGTCTCCCTTCCCGCTAACTGCTCAATCCCACATGACTGGGGAGCCTTGACGGACTGTGACAGAATGGCCTAGATTCTTGTTTAAACTGAGATATAATCTTCGCAACGTTCCCGATAAGGGGAGGAAGGCGAGGGGTGTAGAATCGATCACTCGTGCTATTAGCAAGCCACCTTTGACCCGTGGCCTTCAGGATAGTATCGAGAGGGGGAGGGTTGAGAGTACATTCATGCTCCTCTACAAACTCAGCAGCGGGCAGAACCATCGGAGAAGTGAGCAATAATGACCCCCTCCCGGCTCCGTGCTTATCTGGGGTGGGCATTCCCTTACGCGTTTCCATTTGACACATGATCACCGAAGCGAATGCGAAACGGCAAGAGGACCCTTTGGTGTTAAGCAATAGTGACTTCGGGCAGGTGGGTGACAGTCTTGCGTTCCTTTCCAACCGGCCACAGGATTTGCAACACGCTCCGGATCTTTCACTTCTATGGCGAGGTTTCCAGCTGCTTAGTGAGTGACACTCATTCTTCAACTACCTTGTCTAGGTTCAGTCCGCGTGACAACGAGACGAGATAGGTAGATAGAACCACTATCATTTATGATAGAAAAACAAACCTCTATGACTAGATATAAGCCTAGACACTTTCTTGATTGCTTCGCGTGTGTATAGTGTAGATCTTGCAGCCCTCAGTAAACATAGTCAAATTAACCACTCTCGCTCCTATGTGGTACGCGTGGAGAATGAGCTCGCAACGGGCTCGACGAATATTTGATGAATAGGCTTGAGGCTCGATGCTCGAGGAAGATGAAGCGCTGACCAAGTGTTGGGAGCGATATCAAGGGCTGGTTTCGAATTTGTGTTGAAATATATATATATATATATACGCGTTTTCGTTTCCTCTCTCTGATTCACTCTTCCGCCTTTCCAACCTCGCAGTCATACCAGTACCAATTCATATGTGAGATGCCGGTCGTAGGAGCGAAAGAGAAGGCCTCGAAAGTCTTCCCGTCGAGCGAGCTTAGACCTCGGAAACCCTTTCCTAGCCGAGTCTAGCTTCCAGTTCGAACGACTCCATTGTAAAGTATTGGTAGAGGGATGCGCTCTTTCTGTACGACGCTCGGCGACGCGGCGGAATATGCAGAGAGGCCGGTTGGGAGAAAGGGGGCGTGCAATCGAGGTTGGTGGTTTGGCCGTGGAGAGAACCGCGCCAGTCCCGCATCGGCGGGCTGCCGGGGATTCTCTGGTGGGACTGGGCAGATTTGGGTGGAAGGAACACGACCAAACCCCGAAAGCGGAGGAAAAGTGCTGGAAAAGGGAAAGATGCACCCACTTCCTCTCGCACGTGTGGATAACAGCACGCGGTAGGAGATATCCATCTCTACCTTTTGCCCCGATATTGATGTACACAGTGCCGCTACAAGGCGCCAATTGAGAAGGAAGGTGGAAGGGAGCAACCCTTTGAAGTTTTGAAGTGTTCGCGTGCTCCATCTTCATGTGCTTTGCGTACTTTCCCAGCCTCGAGCCTCGGGCGTCCCTGCACACACATTGGAGACTTATCAGACTGGGCAATTTTCTCGTCCTTCCCCAGATAGGGGCAGCCTCATCGAGGGACTCGATGATGAAATCTTCTACCGCGCACATCCACTCGGCATGGTCTCTTATTGATCGGGGAATGTAACACCAACTTTTATCCTATGCATGATCTCGGCGATTCCAGGCGAGCGTCACAGACGGAAACTTCAGAAAGTCTGTCGATATCTAGCTTCTCTCCTCCTAATTTTCCCATCTTTTTTCTTCTTAGCCTCCCACTTCCTTTTCCAGCTTGACGAATTGTCTTTCGTCCTCATCCTTTGACTACGAGTGGGGCTTTATGGAGTCGACAGGATCAGTAGGGCCAAACCAGTTATTACAAGTATTATTGATGCGACTGCTTCCGAACAGTCGCAACCGTCAAAGCAGCTGGATGGATCCATTGGATGGATGGATGTTAGAACAGGGTCCAGATTCGAGATTCGAGTATTACTTGTTAAACCAGTCGAGTTTCCCCGCCCCCGCGCCTTTGAACCGCTCCGGTGTCAGTGTGGTGATCGCTATCCGCACCCGAAGGGGCCCACCAATTGAGCTTCATTGTCAGCCGGGATAATGCCAGGCCTCTGATACGCCGAAGGCACCTCCGCTCGACGCCACTCACTCCCGCCCACACCCACCTCAATCGCGTGGGTGAGTGTTGGTACAAGGTGGTGCTGGTGCAAGCCTTGATTTCGTGGACCCCCTTCAACCCCCACCCCCTTGCTTTGCCTTCTTTGGTACTCGTCGAAGGGCTTGGCGAGTCACTCGAAGGGCGCAGAATTGACATGCTGCTGCACCCGTCTCTCCATCCAACCTTGCAACCATCGCATTAGCCTCCACCACCCGGCCTTATTCCGTAATGGGGGAACTTTTGTTCGCCTTCTCGAGTCCCAAACCAAGGAACATGAGGGTGTAACAGATTTTCTAATATTTTGGGCGCAGAATAGTTTCTTCTACAGGTTCTTCCCGCACGTTGTCAGAGTACCTTGCCTTGGTCCTCCTTCCAAGTCGACTCTTTTGATACATGGATTCATTCATGCAAGCCGAAGCTGGAGAGATGAAAAAAAAGATGGGGAGGTCCCGAGCCTTTCTAACCCCCTATCAGCGGCCTCGGCACCCTAAGCCAAAGCCTCGATGCCGTGAACAGAAGATATTAGGCTTCTCCTCAACTACACCTTTGGCCCCGTTTTTTATTCCTTCCCTAATATTGTGCGCTAGACCGCCGTTCAATGTTCTTCCTGGTGGCAGCAACATTCAATCGCACATGGGCCTCGTTCCCTCTGTTTCTTTTACATCCTTCCGAGAAGTGGCCCTTTCCGCAGTATTCAAGTACCGCAATAAAAGGTTCCCCGGTCCCAGCCTAACCCCGAATCCAGCGACCCATACCTTTTATTTCTTTCTCTCTGGCTTCTTTCACCTTTTCTCACGCCCTTTCTTAATCTCTAATTCCAGTGTGTTCTGTCAATCGACGCCCTTTGCCTCGGTGTAAGAAGTCACCGAAAGGGCGTCGTTTCCGTCTTTGTCTTCGGGAGGGTCCAAGGTTGGTTCGCAGTTCCAGAGCCGGACGCTTCCAATCGTGAATTCCCCGTTACAAAGCCTTGCTTTTCGTGGCCGCCGTTTCACTCTCGGGAACAAGAAGCGGTCTTGCTTATCCTCTACATGCTCACGCCTTTCGAATTACAACGTACTCGGGCCCACCACTAGCATTCATTTTCTCTCCCCAAGCACAGCCTGGACTGTCTGTGTGGAACCAGCGTGGCCTGTCCCCCTCCAGGCACCTTACCTACACTTACACCCTTGGAGTCATACCCACTCACAGCCCCTTGGGTCCTATAATCCGCTGGACACTATGGACGAGTTCATCAACTGGGATCAGGCCGGTGGTGCCGCATCTATGAACGTACCCGTTGGCGTGCCCAATGCCCAGGACCTGCCGGCAGGTGACCCGAGCTTAGATATTGATCTAGCTCTCGCCAATGTCACCGATGATGACTTTGGATTCTTTGCCCTGCAACACTTCTCTGGCGACCAGTCCCTCCCCGTTGCCTTGGGTGCCCCTCAAATGGACGGTGTCAGCTTTCCTCTCGACATTGATGCTGGTCTCGGTACTGGCTCCGGCTCCGCCTCTCCGAGCTGCTTTGAAATACCCCCAACCCCCTGTGCCCACTGCTCGGGGGCCGGCTACCTCTGCAAAGTCATCAAAGAGGGCCGGCACCAAGGATACTGCACGAGCTGCGTTGCCTTGAACCTTGATTGCAACCTTGCCGCGGAAACTGCTTCCGTCCTCTCCCTATCTACGGGCTTCGAACCCTCGTGGGCTGCTCGTCTCGAGCAGTGCGCTAGCAACGGGCTCGGCGCTGACCAGAACGGCGCCGCTTCCGATATGGCCACGGCCTCGGCCCAGGCTACTCACGTGCCGCTTAGACAGCCTGCTGTTGTCGGCGGTGCGGTGACCCTCCACCCAGCCCTCTGCCCCTTGGGCAAGATTGGTGCTCGCTTATCTAGAGAGTCCATCCGCATACTACGGCAGTGGCTTTCCACTCACCAAAGGCATCCATACCCCAGCGACGAAGAAAAGGATATGCTGCAGCGCCAGACCGGCCTTACCAAAGTTCAGATCACAAACTGGCTCGCCAACGCTCGCCGGCGAGGCAAGTTCCCCACACCCGGACGCTCTACCTCGCCGCAGGTCGGATTTGGCATCGGACCCGGTACGGGCACGCCTGTAGATATACCCGCGAGAAAGGCGACACCAGCACTGGAAAGCATGAATCCACTGCAGCGATGGGTTGACTCTCCCCCGAGCATGAACCCGCTTCGGCCATAGCTATCGCAAGGGCTGTTACGGCATCGACCGTTTCCTCAGATCGGGCCACCCCATCCAGCCACATCTACACGGACGATGGATCAGGCCGTTCTGCCCACGAATCCTCCGCCAGCAGTGTGGGCACCTCCCACTCTTCCGGTGGCTCCTTTGCCTCCGCGTACTCGCACGCTTCTCGCGGTTCGTTTGGCTCGTTTGGCTCGTTTGGTCGTGCCAACCGCCGTCGCAGGAGGCGCAGAAATGCTCCTGCACACGTGAGCGAGAAGCCCTCGCTCGCCGCCCCGTTGAGGACATACCAGTGCACTTTCTGTACCGAGACTTTCAAGACAAAGCATGATTGGCAACGTCACGAAAAGTCTCTCCATCTCTCGCTCGAGAGGTGGGTCTGCTGCAATAAGGGCGCCAAGACCATGAAGGCTGACGTCAAGGTCGTCTCGTGCGTTTTCTGCGGCGAGCCCGAGCCGACGGAAGACCACATTGAAAGCCACAACTATTCCGCGTGCCAGGAGAAACCTCTCGAGGGCAGGACGTTTTACCGGAAGGACCACCTTAACCAGCACCTAAGGCTCGTACACAATGTCAAGTTTTCCGACTGGTCCATGAAGGATTGGAAGGTAACAACCCCGGAGATCCGGTCAGTGTGTGGTTTCTGCGGCATTTCCATGAACACGTGGAGCGTGCGCGTTGACCACCTGGCCGAGCACTTCAAGATGGGTTACTCCATGGAGGACTGGAAGGGTGACTGGGGTTTTGAACAAGACGTCCTGAACCTGGTCGAAAACTCGATCCCCCTGTATGCGGCCTCTCCAATACCCCGTCGACAAGATCAAGCCTTCTGACTTTTCTTTTACTTGAACCCTAGATCTCATTCACAACGAGCGAACGACTCCCCTACCGTTCGCGGCGAGCATGGCGCCCCCGGAGAGCCCGCGAAACGCCTACGAACTGATCAAGGTCGAGCTGGATTACTACATGGGCAAGACTCTGGAACTAGGCGTGCCTGAGGATAGCCAACTGCAAGTAGAGGCGTGTCGTATTATTTTCGCCGCTGAAGTGCTCTCCCTGAGAGATTGCTTCAACAGTCTCGTGGTTTCGAGACTTGATCATGTCATCCGAGACGCTCCGGCAGCAGGCACAGTTTGGTCCGCTACGTTCGCAAGCGGAAAACAGGCTGGCTATCCTTAAGATTAACGGCAAGGACAACCTGTTCGAGGCCTGCCCGCTTGAGATGGAGCTTCACGAGTTCGTTAGGGCTAAGAAGTTGTTGGGCCTGACTGCCATGGACGACGAGCTTCAGGAGGAGGCTTGCCGAATCGTTGGGCAGATGGAGGAGGTTTCGACGCACCCGTCGGAGAACGTGGCCAACTGGCTCATCCGCCTGATCAAGTGTTCCACCGGCTGGCTCGCCGACTTTAGACAGCGGGCCCACCTGCCACGGAGCGAAGATATTCTAGACTCGAAGCGGCGACCAACGGATCCGACCAAGATTGACTCGACGGTCCACAACTACAGCAGGCTGGAGCGAGAACTGGGAGATTATATCGACCTGCAAAAGTCGCTCGGGATCGAGCCGACCGACGCGGACCTCCAGAGGCAAGCACGCATCATCATTTACGAGATTGAAGATGGGTGGAACCAGACGGCAGCCGATAATCGAGTGTGGTTGGATGCATTCAGGCAGCGACACAGCAACCAGGGCCAATCCCCGAAGGACAGCTCGGAAGGGCACAAGCTGTCCCCGCAGACGAACAACTCGGTCACGGGGGCGGGAAGCTGGAAGGATGGAGCCAGCAGCGAGGCAACGCTTTTGACGCGCGGCAGTGGGGGACGGACGGAAGGCGGGATTCTTCTCATCAACGATGCAAACTGCTATCGCCGACTGGCGAGAGAGTTGGGCCGCTATGCCAAGTCAGCCATGTCGTCGAACAACCCTAACCGCCATGTGCCGTCGGATGAAGAGCTTCAACACCAGGCGCGGTGGATTCTTTACGATGAGTAAGTCGAGAGAGCCCCCACCCCCACCTTTCCCTTTCCCTTTCCCTTTCCCTTTCCCTTTCTATTTTCCATTGTACTCGATACCCCTTTTCATCCCCTTCTCCTTTCCCGTTGGAAGGTTGACTAACTAGTGGGCAGTGATGATCCCTGAACCAAACCGCCGCAGACAATGCGGAATGGCTTCTACGGTTCAAGCGTGGAGTTGGGATCCTCAAGGACGGCCCCGGGCTGCCAATGGTGTACCCATGGGCGGTCAAGGAGGGAGGCTCGGGCTTTGCGCCGCCATACACGTACTTTAGCAATGCGCCGGTGACGCACTACAGCGGCAGTGAAGTGGTGCAGGTTCCCATGGGACCTGCAGGGCGGCAGTTTGAAACATCTACTTCAGCAGCCAACCGATTCTTAGAGACGATCTCGTCACGATACCCCCGACCCGGACGGGTGTTTTGTGCGCGTGAGCTCGAGGAGGGTCTCCGTGCGTATGTCAAGTTCGAGGTTGAGAATGGCGGCGGGTTCCCGGATGATGAGGCACTGCGGCGCAAGGGCCGGGAAATTCTCAGCACGGGGAGACGGCGGCGGATGACCAAGTTCTCTTGAACAAGTTCAAGAAGATGATACAGGATGGAGAGGAAGAGAGCGACGACGGCAGCGCCAACCGCGGCCATACTATGGATCACGGTGAGGAGGTGCCGGTGGTGAGTGCCGGGCCTGTGGGAGGTATCCTGTCTCCTATTCCTGTCGCGCCGAGGCCGGTGATGGGGACCCAGATGCCGGCGCTGCCATGTTTTGGAATGAGCAGCTCGTATGAGGGCATAGCTGCCAACATGGACATCTCGATGACCGACGCCGATATTGACGGCATGCTGATGCAAGACATGGACTTTGATACAATCTTTGAGCAACAGTGTACGGAGACGGGAGGGAATGAAATGTTGTAAAGGGAAACATCAAGGGGTGGAAAAAGGATGAAAAGAAGGAGGATGACGGGTTGATGAGCACGCCTCGGCATTCAATTGAATGGATGTATACATATTGCACGCGGCATGGGTCAAGGTCGGGTTGTCGGCGTCGCATTGCTGACCACGGGCGGGGGCGGAATCCGCATAGCGAAGGATCCCGACTGTTATGTTTTTATACGCATGTTTTTATACGCAATGGATTGATGTCTACGAGTCTCTTTTCTTTTTTCCTTTTCTTTTTTTTTCTTCTTCTTCTTCTTCTCTCTCTCCGCTCCGTCTCCGTCTTTTCTACGCAAGGGTTTTTCCTCTTGATTTTCTTCCGCTCTCTATGGAAATGAGTTATAGCAGCTCTTTGGACCAAAAAGAAAACCCCGCAAACCTGCGATGAATCAAGAGCGCCCTTTCTACCGTGTAAGTGCTGCCGAGAGGGACGTTCGGGTCCCCGCCGGAGTCTGATCCCGGCGTTCCAGACGGTTCCGCAATCAAGCCGACAGCCGCCAAACTGATTGTTGGTGGCCGCCAAGCCAACGGCACCTCGACTGACGTGTAGAGAACCATATCACTCCAATGAGGTTGACACTATGACTAGCTAAACCCCAAGAGAAAACTGCCACGATCTCTGGATCATTGCCCTAGGGGTACGTAGGGGAGAAAAAGATCAAAAGAAAATAACGGTTTTTCCTTCTTCAACTTTGATTGATGCATCTCGGCATCTCTTTCTGTTTATCCGCCTTGTTTGTCCCCATAATCAGGAAGATGCAGGTCATGGTCCGAGATGGAGATGACGCGACATACATAGGCAAAGAAGGCGGGAGAACCAGAGAAACTTGGTAAAAGAACACGGGAAGGAAGGATGAAAATGGGTTGAAGAAGAAGAAGACAGAAAAAGGGAGAATAGAAGACGAGCGGAGGAGACACAAAGGTAGTAGTTGTGACGCAAAGTGTTTTGGGAAGCCAACGATGAAGAGGGTGGGCTGTGTTGGAATGCGTAATTCCGGGTCCGCTTCAGTGGAATGGAACGGTAGTTTGGATAGTCTAGCCGGGGTTTCCGAGGCAGAGGGAGCAGGGGAATACTTGGTAGCAGTTAGTGAATGTCTGGTACGGATTAATCAGTTCGAACGAAGATGGATTTCGTGGTTCCGCGATACTAGACGGCAGATTCATGGATGAGGTAGTACCAAAGGTGAAGGGAAACAGGGGGGCGCAGGGGGCAGAAGAAGAGGGAGAACGGGATGGAAGGGAAAAAAGAAGGAATCCCCAAATTAAGAGAAGAGGGAAAAGAAGAGAAATCATAAAACCCGGGAACCTTTCAGCGACGATGTCTGGGACGGGCCATGTGTCTACCTTGCTTCCGTGCTCAAGGGGAAAAGGGCAAGCGAGGGGTAGAAGGCCAGCCAGGGGGAACCAGGGTTGCAGTTCGAACCCGGGTTACATTACAATATCGCGGGTCGGAGAAAATGGTCGGCCAGGTCGTCCCGGAACTTGAAGACATCACTAAAAGAGAAAGGAAAAAAAAGAATGTAACTTGAGCGAAGCCATCGGAGGACCGGCCAAGGATACCCGCGAGGGGCTGAAGGCGAACGAACTGGCTAGGTCCGTATCATCAATTAATCCATGTCCCAAGGTTGCATTGGCAAGTCCCGGGTGCGTGTGCTGGCTCTCCTCGGAGAACGGAGAACGGGAAATGCAAGTTTGAGGACAGAGGCTTTGTAGAGAGCTTTTCGTGGAGGCTTCAATGTTGGGTCCGGATACTCTACCTGCAACTCGGAATGCGCCAAGGGAGGAAGAAAGAGGCCACTCTGACGGCTCGGGGCCTGTTCCTGCTTTTAGGGAAAATGCCCGGACGGGAGTTGGCGTCATTGTCATCTGGAGCTTTGTCGGCGTACGGAGGATTCGGGAAGAGCAGACGGCACCTCTCTTGTTCTCACGGGTTATTTTGCGTTTGGTTTTGGCTTTTGGTTTCTATAGGCTTACCAATGGATCAATTGATGCATCTATTGTTCTCTAACGGCTGGATCTAGCCATGAATCTATCTGTCCCTCCTTGCCTTTGCGGGATAGAGCTGGGATAGCGGGGAACGTTTTATTCGGCATTCCTCCTCGCCCAGTTTTCTCCAACTGCTTTGGATATATCCAATTCTTTTCCGGGTTGACGGAGGTTTCGTTTTGCCGCGGGCGAGAAAGACCCGTCGGAAGATGTAAGAGAGAAGAAGAAAAAAAAAAAAAAAAGAAAAAAGAGAGGAACCAGAAAAATAGACAGCTTGGAAATCCAAAAATCTAGTTGAAGAACGGGAGGTATGGAAAGGAGGAAGAAGAGAGAACAGCAATAAGAAGAGAAACGCTCAGCGCCGCGAAGTTCCTTCAGGGAAGATTTGATATAAAAGGACCATGAGGACGCCTCAAAGGCTCAATATTGTCGACAAGTTCGGTTTCTTAGGTCACGAGTAGGTGTCGACAGTCAACTCGCCCTCTTCGCTTCTTCGCCTTGTTCGTTCTTTTATTCAAGGCCGAGAGCCCGCACCCTCTGCGCGTTGATAAGAGGCTGTGGCTGATTGTTAGCCCCTCCGTTGATCAATTCCAATTGTTTTGCACAACCTCCACTGAACCTCAGTAATTCCCGGCAAACTCGCCGCATCCCGCGCCTGGGGCTGAGCAGTTAACCCAACCTCTCTACCTCTCTACACAGCGTTGACGACCTCCCAACCCTGGCATCCGTGTTGAAATTTCCAAGGCCGCATCCTCCGCTTCTAAATTTAACGGGCAAGGTTACAGTCTCACGTCACGCTACGACTAAAAAGCCACGAGTTGTCTGATGCTCTAGAACGTCGAAACTCTTGGCTGCTGAAGACTGGAGCACATTTGACACATCCATACATCCATACATCCACTAGTGAGCCTGGTGCAGTGATCGGTGCCATCAATTACATCGAGTAGCGTACGTACACCATCATGCAATGGACAGACAGACCTCCAGAGCTTATCTATTTGGCGGTTCCATCCCAAGAGAGAGAGAGGGAGAGAGAGGGTGCAAGAAAACTGGTCCTCCGTGCTTCGTGCTCGAACTATGAACTGATTGATCTACAATTGCTCTAGGTTGGGTTGACGTCTTGGCTCGCATCCACCATTCATATCGATCAATTGATCCATTGATCAACGGTATCAGCAGCCACGAGGCCCTCAGGACCCTGGGCACGTCTGCTCTCACACTCACACATCACACATCTCGCATCGCGCATTCATCCCTGGCTGGCCCCTGCCTCTGCCCGTGAGCCGAGATCGCTCAATCGGCCTCGTTCAGCCGCCATTTTGCGCCGCACTCCACCACGCTCTCCCTCCTCCAAGCCTCACGGCCCCAAGCTCGCCCGTTGGCAACTAGACTCATCACTGACCACAAGAGTTGGTTGCCGACGTAGCTTTTCGAGGCATCCAGCACGCCAGACGACGCATCGTAGGCTTCTCGCGCGGCCAAGGGCGTGTTTACCGGTCTTCAAAGCTCCCGATTCCCAAAGAACGAGGTGGGCGAACGGCCAATGCTGATGCGACACCGCCTCAAGCCCACTTCTGCTGTGAGAACGCCAACCGAACCAGAATTCCCTTGCCGTCCCACCCTGGTGCTCAAACCCCGCGAACTCAATCCCCCATCCCAACCATTTTGAGCCCATTTGATCCATTCCATCAAACTGAGCTTGTCCACGCGCAGCCAGCGCAACCACACCAGACGAGACGACATTGCAACCCTCGACTGGACCAGACTGGACCAGTCACCCACTTCTCTTTGCGCATCAAGCGATTCTGATCGCCGTTGCAGTGCCAGCTTAGACCTCGTGCCATTTGATCGAAGATTCCACTCATCTTCTGTTACTCAGGGCCCCCTTACCGAACCAGAGACTGCAATCGGGAATTCAAGAGAAAGCAACCCTCTGGCTTGGGGCTTGGTCCCCCATACGACTTGAGCCTCCTCTCCCCCCAAAATCTAAAATTGTCCGCACCCCGCACAAGCTCCCCCACCTACGGTATACCACCTACTACTCTCATTCAACAGACGGTGAACGACTGCGCACCTGCAGACACTCAAAATTGAGCTCTCGTGGAAAGTGCAAAAACCTTTCCATCGAGAACATTAAAGAGGACAGAAGAAGGAAAAGGTGGGGAAAAAATATATATATACCCCCAAAAAGTGAAAAAGAAAAAAGAAGCATCGCAAGAGAAGCCAATTTGGCCTCGTCTGCCGATACTGATATCTGATATCAAACTGAAATTCCTTGGGGCCTGTATCAGTTGCCCTCACTCCGGCGCGCAAGCTCTTCCTTTTCCGCTGGACCCCTTGCTCACCTGCACTCTCCACACTCGCCTGCGTCAGGGTTTTATCTATCTCCGGAACGGTCTGGTACTCTTGATAGAGTGCGTCCATTTTTATCCCCCTCCCTAACACACGGCCCAACCCCTCAGTGCATCCCGCATCTTACCTCATCTGTGCAGAGTCTCTGAGACTGCATGCGGGTTTGCCGTCTTGAACGAGGCCGTTGACGTGCAGGAGGATATCTGAATCCTCCCTCTCTTCATCTAGGGGCGCCACCTCCTCGGAGATCGGCTTGATCTAGACAGACTTTCATTTTTGAGGGAAAGAGAAGAAGCAAGAAAGAGAATAACGGGAAATAGAATTTCTTCTGTTTCATCGTGCCACTCTCTTTCTTTTTTTCTTTTTGTTCCCTCTTGCCCCCTCCCCCGTCTTGAACCTTGGCTCCTCTGGCAGACTTGGGCAGTGTCATTTGATGCACCTTATCCCCCTCCCCTTGATAAACCTCCACTTTGTGCGACAACGGGAAAAGGCTCGTTTCTTCCGATTTCTCCGCCGTCAGCTTAAAACGCACACACAAACGCACTCGCGCATGCACGCGCACACGCATTGCCCACTACCCCACTGGAATATACATCACAGGAAAGAACAGATACGTAGCATATATCTTCACGCACCCCTGCTCTCCTCCCCTCTACTTCGAAATCAACCATCTCCACAACTCGCATCCGCAACGACACCTCAGCTACCCTCCGCACGCGCGCAAACCTTGAGCGCGAGAGAGGTCCCGCCCGTAAACCACAAAGATAAGGCGGCCCCCACTTTTCTCCAAGCTTTGTCACCAACAACAAGGGGAGCTGGGCAAGTAAACGCAGCAGAGACGAAGAAGACGAGGAAGAAGAAGAAGAAGTTCTTCAGACCAAAGCCATGCCAACCTACCTCTGTCACGGATTCCGCTGGCATCGGCACAGCATCCGTGTCTTCGTTGTCCTACAGGACCTCGAGGAAGCTGCCCCCGAGTGGATCCTATCGCCGCAGTCTACATCGTCCATTCTCGAAGCCTTTTACAAAGTCTTTGACTTTATCCCCGAGCCGGATCCGAGTCCGGACTCGACAGCTCGTCGGACCGCCATAGCGAGTTCCGACAGCGACGCTCGGAAGCCGACGGGAAAAAGTCGGCCAAAGCCGCCGTCGCGGTTCCAGCCGCGGCCCCAGCCGAGGCGCCGGCGCCGCCATCATCTGTCCCGATCGAAGAAGATGCAGTGCTGGCTTACGATTGGTCGGCCGTCAAGCTCCTAGAAGAGTATGACCCCAACAACTTGAAGGAGGTCAGCCGGCCTTACGCCTTTGTAGCGGACCACGTTGTACGGGTCGATCTGGATGTGAGCGTCGCCGAGGAGATTGCTCGATACGAGGAAAGAATGGCTAAGAAGAGCGGCGAGGATAAGCCCATGCTGGGCGGTGCCAGCGACGAGTTTGGCAAATCGGGGAAAAAAGGTTCGGGAGGCTCGGGGAGCGGGTCCTCGTCGACGAAGAAGGCTGGCTGGTTGGAGAAGCTGCGAGATCAACTGCAAACACACGAGGAGATCCGGTGGTTCGTGGTCGTGTGCGGTGACGACGAGAGGTTGCCCCCGATGACCTGGAGGTGCCCGAACCACCAAGAATGACGGGCGTGCTAGACGATGAAGATGACAGCGATTCGACCGAAGCGGCGCCGCCGCCACGACGGAACCAGGAGGGCGGGAGATCAGGCGGCGTGCCACTGCGGGATCACATAGAGCGGGAGCAGGCATCCCGGCCGTCAAGCCGGGCCTCTGGATCCAAACCGCCAAAGCAGGGTGGCTTGAGGAGGTTATTCGGAAAGAAGCAGGATGATCTTGGGTAGTCGAGGGGCACGAGTAATGAAGCAAAGCTGAAATTTCTTATTCTAGAGGTGATTTCTGAAATGCGGAGTTGGGAAATGTGGGATGGGATAGGATGGGATAGGATGAGATGGGATGGGATGGACCGGCGGGCCGAAAACTAAACAAAATGTTCGGAGAGGTAGAAGGGGGCGAACTTTGGATGACGGGCCGGCCGGGAAACGCGCCGTTGGATGGGGCGCCAGGAAGCGGCGTTTACTTTGCGTTATGTCATGTCAGTAAATATCGGGTTCCTTGTAGGTTCATGTTGTGTACGATTCGGCTTTTGCTCTTTTGCTTGTTTGCTTGTCTTTTCCTTTTCCCCTTTGTTAGGTTATCGAAGCCCAGCACAGAGCCCACGCATGTATGTATGCATCATGTATGTATTCATTGTATACCGATTCTCTACTCACCCACGTCTTCTTCTCGTTATTTTTCTTTTGCCCGACGAATATAGGAAGCAGAAAAAAACACTAGACGTGTATACTATATGTAGACATAGGGAAAAGAGGGATCGCTAAAATGGGGAGCCAAGTGGTTATGCCTCCGCATATCTCCAAGATTTTGAGTTCACAGAGCACGAGGTGTGAGGGCTAGGCCATGGATGATTTAAGCGCGGAAGCCGCCCTAGGCGACATGGGCCAACCTAATTTTAGTGTCAATTGCATTTTTGCAACATCTAACATGTACAACTTATTAAATGGAAATGGTGTTGTCGACATACCCATGCGACGCCGTCGGAACTGGCGTGGGGATAATATTGAATTGCGACTTCCCCTAATATTCTTCACGAGGCGTCACAGGCTTACTTCTCTGCTGAACAATTCCAGGTCCGGAACAAAAGCGGAGGTGGGCCGCGCCGCCCTGGCCGATGCTTACCTCTACCAAATGCTGTTGTCGAAAGCCTTGGCCAGCCCCAGTCAGTGCGTGCTGGCGGTGCTGGTGCTGGGCCTGTCAAAGCTCAGCCCCAGAGAAAGAGAGTGACAGTGGCAGGTTGGGATAGCCCTGGTTAAAAAAGGGTTCAGTGCTATTCAGAGGTGTTTCGCATGGTCGGGCAAGCTACACGGAATGTTGAGATGAATGTTCACGTTTTTGGGACGACATCATCCCAAATCGTGCGAGCCATGTATCGGGTGGTTTTGGAAAGGAGACAAAAAAGGTGAGATGAATCGAATTTTGGTCCGTTCCACGCTACCGATACTTGGGACAAAGCTGGCCCAACTTTGCTCATTTTTTTGGTCGCCCGAAACACCAAATTGAACGGTTCCAGCATTCAAATCTGCATTCAACATGAGTCAATGGTACCGTACCGTCGTGTCTGAACGCTTCCCCGTAAAAGCCGACATTTACGTGTTTCACCCCACCACGCCCAGAACCAGAAACGGAGTGCTCAGTCCAAAGACAATAGATTTTATCCGTCGAGGTACAAGCATGTCGTGGGCTGTCAGTCGAGGCAGCGGATAGCTTGCTTGCTTGCCTGCTTGCCTGCTTGCCTGCTTGCCTGCTTGCCTGCTTGCCTGCTTGCCTGCTTGCCTGCTTGCCTGCTTGCTTACCCCCTCCCAAGCTAAATGTCCGTCCGCATGACTCGGCTGGGGAAGGCTGGAAGAGGTGGGGACTGGGCCTTGAATGTTCCCTTGTACCCGCTACAACTGATCGTCAGTGAACCTGCCGGCCTTTGCACCATCCGCCGCTAACGCATCTGCACAGTCACACGCGACCCTCGTCATCGTTTCCCTTTTTTCGTCTTCCTCCCTCCTCTATCTCTCTCTCCTCTCCTTTCTCCCCTCCTCCTCCTCCGTGCATTTCGGACCCAACTTTGCGTTTGGTCCCTCGTTGAACATTTCTATTTCCGCCCCTCGTGCGTGCGTGGGTGTGTGCATGTAGCGCGAGAAGGGGTCCTATTCCTTTTTATTTTCATCCATTCTCTCGTGTACCCTTCGCTTTTCTCGTCTCGAATTTCCGCCCCCGCGGACAGTCCTCTTTTTTTCACCTCCCCATCGTGCCAGAGCACACCCGCGCTAGCGAAATGCGGATACCCGTGCATCCACTGTGACCTCCTTGCCTTCGAACTCGAGACGCTTCCCAGTCCCCCGCGAGCCCGTCGCCCCACCCAAGGCCCAGAGAAGGGGAAAGCAAAGAGCAACGACATCCGGGAATAGCTAACCTGCTTTCCGACCCTCCTACAGAAACTAAGGTCCGGCTCCGTACGGCTCCGTCCACTCCGGCGACTCCTACCCATACTCTGCGCCTCTCTCACCCTCTCTCTCTCTCTCTCTTTCTCTCGCCCCCTCCTCTCGGGGCGTGCACATCATGGCCACGCCAGCCCAAGCCTCAGGGGGTCTCACATCGCCCACCTTTGCCCAGACCACTGCCGAATTCCGCCTCTCCAGCGACGTCTCGGGGGACGAAGCACCCCGCGGCCCCGCTGACTACCGTGATCACCCTGCGCAGCCACCCCAAGATCGACGCGGCCGGTCGACCAAGGGCAAGCGCAAGGCTAGGGACCTAGGCGCCAACCTCCGCAACAGCGAAGAGGACTGGTCCCCGCCGACGACGAGCGGTACGGCGAAGACGGCGGCGACGACAAAGACAACGAGTACGACGACGATGACGATGGTGACGACGATGGCGACGACGACGACGACGACGAGAGGAGAGCTAGGGGATCCAGCTCCACCCACGCAGCACCAGTGTTAGCACCACGGCGAGCTTCCGGCTGTACTCGCAGGATGAGGAGGACGAGGTCGTGCGCAAGTTTGATAGGAAGCTTGTGTTGTTTGTCGCGTTGCTCTACATGCTGAGCTTCATCGACCGGTCGAGTGAGTCGTAGCCTAGCCCCCTCGTATCCCATGGTTCCTTGGCTTCTCTCCTTTTTTTCCCTGTTGGAGAAGAAACCCCGGACCACGGCCACCAGCTAACTGTACGGGCGCTCCCATCACAGATATCGGAAACGCTAGGATCGCCGGCATGCATGAAGACTTGCAGACAGACCCTCCGCGCGACGACTGGTACGAGTGGGCCCTGTCTTCTTTCTACATCACCTACATCCTGTTTGAATGGATGTCCTTGCTGTGGAAGGTTTTCCCGCCCACATTTACGTTTCCTGCCTCGTCTTGTCTTGGGGCATCATTGCCTCCTCCCAGGCCCTTTGTACCTCGTATCCCATGCTTATCGGCCTCCGGGCCGTCCTCGGCATTGGCGAGGCCGGCTTTACCGGCGTCCCATTTTATCTTTCCTTCTTTTACAAGCGACACGAGCTCGCCTTTCGGACGGCCATCTTCATCTCTGGTACGTTTTTCCATCCCATCCCATCCCACATTTCCGTCCCCTTCCGCGCCGGAGGAGGATCCCCCAACGGCCCATGTTCCCTCCGCCCCATCCGGGCCTCCGGGGCCGGAGACTACCACCGTGAATCCTTCTAACCGTTTCCCCACTAGCCGCACCGCTCGCCAGCTCTTTTGCATCCACCCTCGCCTGGCTCATCGTCAAGTTCGGCGAGGCCAGCCCCATCGCCCCCTGGCGCGTCCTCTTCCTCGTCGAGGGCTTTCCCTCCGTCCTCGTCGCCGTCGCCGCCTGGCACATCATCCCAGACTCCCCCAAACCGCCCGCTACCTGACCCCGCGCCAGCGAAAGTCGCCCGCCTCCGCCTCCGCGCCGACAAGGCCCACCTCACCAAATCCTCGCCTTCTTCTACTACTACTACTACCTCCTCCTCCTCCTCCTCCCCGCCTTCCTCGGCCAAATCCAGCCTACAGATCCGCGACGTCCTCGCCGCCCTCATCGACCCCGTCTCCTGGATGACCGCCTTCATCTTCTTCCTCACCAACATGGCCTACGCCTCCTTCCCCGTCTTCCTCCCCACCATCCTCACCGAAATGGGCCACTCCCCCTCGCCTCCCAGGGCCTCTCCGCGCCCCCTACCTCCTCGCCTTCGCCTTCGTCCTCGCCACCGCCCGCGCCTCCGACAACGCCCGCGCCCGCTCCCCCTTCATCATCCTCCACGCCCTCCTCTCCCTCTTTGGCTACACCTGCCTCGCCTACGCCGAACCCTGGGGCCTCTCCCCTCCCGTCCGCTACCTCGCCCTCTTCCCCGCCTGCGTCGGCTTCTTCTCCGTCGTCGCCCTCACCGTCACCTGGTCCATCAACAACCAGCCCTCCGAAAGCCGCCAGGGCGGCGGCTTCGCCCTCCTCCAAATCGTCGGCCAGTGCGGCCCCCTCCTCGGAACCCGCCTCTACCCCGCCACCGACGCCCCCTTTTACGCCACTGGCATGCACACCTGCGCCGCCGCTATGCTCGGCGTGGTCCTCCTCGCCCTCTTGCTGCGCTTCTACATGCGCTGGTGGAATACAAGAATGGACAGGCAGGCCATCGAGGGCAACCTTTCCCTCCGAGGCGAAGAGGAGGAGGGCCTCGTCGGGCCGGGGCTGAGACGAAGGAGTGCTCGCAATTCATTCAGATATATGCTTTGATAGCCTAACGCTATCCTTTTAGCTTCTTGTGTATCCTCCTCCACCTCTTTTATAGGTGGAAAACGGGGGCTTTCCTTATCGGTTCTTCTTTTGTTTTAGCTCTCACCACCACGACATCTACTCATGGACGCACATAGGAGAAACATCAGGTTCGGCGTTTTTATGCCCATCGATACGGGCTTGGGGGTTCTTCTTACAGTGGCAATTTATGCAGTCAAAGAGAAATGGTGGTATGCATACTAATCTACGCTACGAGAACACGGCGCTTCCCCTTCCAGTGTCTCTTCTTTTTCTTTTTGTCCCTTGGTGATCGAGCACCGTAGAAGCATATGTCGTACTTGTAGCTTTTATAAACTTCAATGTCTTCTTTTCAAAAGAGAGAAAAACAAAAAACAAAAAAGAAAGAACGGATAGCTGTCATCCGGTCGGCCACACCAACACCAAACTAGCGTTGCTTGGGTAGTCATCTTCGTCTAGAGAGTGCCACTAAAATGCCCCAGGCTCTAATTCACCGCCCATCATAAGAATGAAGCCGCCAAGGGCTATCGTCGTCCCGTGCCTTGCTGTTGGACTCGCTGGCCATACTCATCGCCCTGGTCCACTAAAAACCTCCGCTGCTACAAACATACTACTAGACGTCAGGGAAGACCCACCGCCCACACACCCCTTCAGGGCAAGCCGGTGGTGGCACCCGACGGAGGCGCCGCTGTTCGGGTTCTGGTGCGAAAGAACATGGCTGGAATTTTTGGCGCCTTGGGCTTCCAGCTCCTCTCCGAATTCACGCGGAAAACTCTGAGTTTGACGGCTCGGGGAGAGCCTTTCACCTTTGACCACACTGATCGAAGCCATCCCCTGATTCTTTTGGTCGTTTTAGGAGCTTCCATACCCACTGGCTCCGGATCGGTACTCACGTTTTCAGGCTGCTGTACGGTAGGTTGAGCCTGCGGTGCCTCTCCCGAATCTCTTTTAGCTGTGGAGTAAGCGTCGGCTCCACGCCTCCCACGGTAGGGTTTTGCGAAACACTTCCAGATGAGCCCTCGTGGCTGTAAACCGGCATTCGGGGTAGGGGGTCGGCCGTGTGCGCCATGGTCCGGTAGCGGGAGTGGGGGTTGGAGAGGTGACAGGCGTCAAACTGGCAGCAGGATCGGGGTTCCGAGGTGCCGTATCCTGGATCCCAATCACCGTAACTGGATTTGACGTAGGAGTCAGGCTGGCCGGGGCCTGCTCCACGGACTCTTCAACCCTGGTGCTGCCACCGCCGTCGTGGTTCGATCCACTAGCCTGCACGTTGCTATGCCTTGAACCGCCTTCGTGGGTACCATCCAGAAGCTGAAGTTCAGAGCGAGTTTCATCTCCAAAGCTGTCTGCACTTTTAATTGCTGGGTTTAGAAACTGGTTTCGGATCGTATTCACCTCGGAAATCATTTGCCCTTGGTGATCTTGAGAAAGTACCGGACTGCCTGGTCCCGATGATGGATTTACTAGCGTTAGAGAAGCCGAGTAATTGGAGGAGAAATCCCGTCCAGTCATAAGCCCTGGTGGATTTGAGCGCTGGTTGCCCGCCGGGCCTCTTTCACCTTGTCCATCATAACTTGAAACTTCTATGTACGCCTGATCATCAGCTGCTCCCTCGTCGAGAGGAGTTCCGGGCGCATCCAAGTAGAGGCTTGGCGAGGGCGAGGGTTCCTTATCGGGTTGAGCGGGACTGAGGGTGGCGTGGCCACCTGTGGACTTGAAAGAGCCATTGCAACATCCTCAATGTTCTCCCCAGCCAAAGAATCCCCAGATTCCAAGAAGGATGCATCAACAAGGTCAGGGATCTCGAGATCCCCAAAGCCGAGACTTCCTGAGCCGATATCAGGGTTCGGCAGCTCTCCCAATGAATGAAATGAGGGCTGCGAAGAAACCTCGTCGGCGTTGGTTTGGTTTGGGGCGAGACCATTTTCTCCTACAAGAGTATCGGGACCACCTGTGTAATCCTGTAGTGGACCCAATGCGCTTTCGCCAGGGCGGGTATGGTCCCAAGTCTCATAATTGTAAATCACCATGCCGTCTCCGTCTGGTGACTCAATCCTGCTGATAGTTGTCGGCCCTGGGCAAGCCGGGTGATGCAACCGCCCCGCCGATACTCGATCCTCTTGCTGAAAAGGATTGGTAGCTGTGGGCTGTAAGGACGAAGGCCGAGGAATCAGGCTTCTGCGTCTGGTTCCACGTAAGGGCGATGCCGTTCTCGCGGTTTGCGGTACAAATCCTGAGGAGGGGGTTGGATGGGGCGAGATCCCACCGCCGGCGAGGTTTCTACGGCCAACTGGCACAGTTTGATATCGCCCTCGCATCATGGTAGCTGATACTCTATCACTTGTTGATAATAAAGACGTAGTAGGCAGTTATGTAAGTACATTTGATATCCGATGATGCCTGTCAATGATATCGCGATGGGTGTGATGTAACGTAAGTGAGAGGGGTATGTCAAAATCGTCTAGGCTTCAGATTTCCTCGCAAGAAAGAAGGCATAGCAAACGGTTATAATCAGGGTCTAGGAATTGAGAGAACTACAGGAAGTCACGGAACCCACGGCCACGCCCAAAGAGGATGGCTTTTTTAATCAGAGTGAGGTGCGGCTCAGACAACGCAGCCCAGGAAGATGTGCAGGCACTACCATTTCTTCCATTTGAGTCACCATTACGGCAGGGATGAGAAGTAAGAACAGGAATCGAGGAGGTGCAAGAAAGGGCCCGACCTTGGAAACGGGAAGTTAAGACGGGCAGCGCACACCTGTTGGGAAGGCGACAACAGTCAAGGCAGGTTAGAAGGACGATGCGTACCAAAGTGGAAGGAGTTCCAGAAATCAGATGGGAAGGATATCCTCATAGTCTCTCCACGGCCGCCGATATCATGATAGGATTATTCAAAGCCACATCTTAATAATGGTCATGTCAAGACTTCGGACCATCATCTAACACGTCCGATGAATGTCATAAAGCCGTTTGAAACAGATAACGGTAGTAAGCCGGCCCTTGATGAGATACAGTTTTACAAAACGAGAAAAGAAGCTCCATTTCAACCCGGCTCCCACAAAACGATTCTTCAGCCGGGCTTGCTCATCTCGATCCGGGCTTTACGACAGGAGTTGGCACCGTCGTGGAGCCGTCGTTGTGTTTGATTCGCGGAGTCGTGCATAAAGTGGTTCCTGATGTTGAATTATCTAATCAAAATTCCAAGAAGAGTTGCCTTTAAATAGCAAAGAAGGGCTCTGCTCACCAACAACCACACCGACAACCTAGCTCACTAGGTTGCTCATCGCTCGGTTAGCTCAGTTGGTTAGAGCGTGGTACTAATAAACTATCCGGTTTATCAAGTAATGCCAAGGTCATGAGTTCGACCCTCATACTGAGCATTTTCTCCAACTTCTTTTTTTTTTTTTCCTTTTGCGATACTCACTTTTTTTCCTTCTCGTGAACCATTCATTCATCCATCTCTGTGTTTCCATTGTTATTATCATCGAACGACTGGCTCCCTAGGAAAATTATCTATCCTTGATTTTTTTGATAGAATGAATGAATTTTCATTATCTGTGACACGAATGGAAATCGAAACCCACCTGCCTACCCGTCTTCTCTCTATATGTGTGCCAAGCCATCTTGCTTGCCAACATAAGAATAATGAAGGAACTTCTCTCAGAAGAAAAGAAAGTTTTGAATCATCGAGTGATGCCGTATATGAGATGCTGCTCAACAAAAAGTGTTGCAGTATCGGCCAATGAGGGAGAGATAGATGGGGGCCAACATTGTTATCAAGTTCCTTTTCCGAGTATATTGATTGCAACATGAATACGTATGTATAGCTTTTCGCAAACCAACCCGGCCTAAACGTTCCTAGTTAGGCGTCTATCTCAAGCCAACATGTCCCGTACTTCTATCTCACCAAGCCCCCAGAATGTTGCAGCGCAGTCCCTAGCCGTTCGGCATGGGAGGCAACAACAAAGGAAAGAGCAAAACGCCGTACATCGCATCGTCAGAATATGGTATCAGACATGGCGAGCGCCAAGCACAGGACAACCAGGAGGGAAGGCCCACGTCGCCCCCGCAGTTTGGCACGCAATAGGCCACCACGGGAGGACGCAACGGGCCAAGCAGCATGCTAAGCGTTCCCGTCTGCTCGTTCAAGCGCCCCTTCCCCTTCCCCTTCCACGGCCCTGCCCGCGGCCACCGCCGCGGCCGCCCCTATCCCCACCGCGATTCCCGTGATCTCGGTCCCGCCCACCCCTTCCTCCTCGGAAGCCGCCTTGCTGGTTCTGCTGGTTCTCTTTCACGATGTCGATGATCTCGTCGGGGACTCGGAGGTATTTGATCTGCAAGAGCGTGCGTATCGAGGAGTAGGTTAGCGATCTGTGCCATAGATAGCTGTGATATCCTTGAAGTGGGGGAGAATGGAAAGGGGGCTTACGTTGTTGCCCTTGACGTAGGCCTCTGGTAACCGCACAAACTTATCGCCCTCCTAAACCGAGTGTCTTAGAGATTAGCCAGGTATTCGAGACGGCAGGATATATCAATATCCGGCTAGATCGCGTGGAATTGCACTGCGAAGGCCCAGGGATTTGCCTCGCGCAAAAGGGAGGACCGTGAGGCTGAGGGGGTTGTCGTACCGGACTCGATTGCACAACCTCTTTGAGTGTGAGGTTCATCCACGTATCGCACATCACCAAGTGGCCGTTCAGATTCTCGCCATTCTTCAGCTCTACCAGGATAGGATGGCCTTGCGCCGCGTTGAGGAGGCCGAGGGGCAGCTAGAAAACCAGGATACACGTCGTTAGCTTCGCACTCGTTGGCGCCGGGTTCAGCGATGCGGGAGACGGGAGATGGGCACGAGTCGCAGCGTCGCGCCGTCCAAGGCTTCCAATTTTGCGACAACGAAAATACAAAAGGGGACTGTTTTACGCACCATTTTAGGGGAGGGAGAGTGTTTGGATTGAGGGGTTGATAACGAAGGGTAGGAACTCGTGTGGGGAGCGGCGTGCAGTATAGGCGGGAACGAGGGCAGGATATTTTGGTTGGAGATGGAGTGACGGCACGGGCGCGCGGTGAGCAGACAAAGAGAGCTTACGGGCCCCACATGAAGATTGTCCCACCGAGACTCACCACTTCCAGCAACGACAAACAATCTTGGTCCCAGAAGAGAGCAAGGCTGCACCTGCCCTTTTCCCCTCCTCTCGACAGTATTCTCTCGAATCGGGTCTAATGGAGGGACGGATAATTCTTTGTCCAAAATTCATTATATCACTCATTTATTTATTGAGATTGTCAATATGTACCTAAGCTCCTTGAATATTCATCATGGAATCTGGTGCTATTCCCACTGTTTAATGCAACCTCCCTCGCAATCAAACAAAAAAAACAGGAAAAACAGAAAATGTAGTAACAGTAGGCGCCTTTTATTATCCTTCTTCTTCCGCGTTTCTATCCTCCGCTTCTTTCGCCGCTCTTTTCCAATCTGTCAGGAAAATGAGGATGTACTCGATAATGGCAACGCTAGACAAGGAGCAATTGATCGCACAGTTAGCCAAGGAGCTGGTTGAACCAGGGTCATCAAGTTGAGAAAGCCTTACAATAGAATGCCGGACAGGATCCCAAACCATAAGCCCTTGAGCTGCCAGTCGAGTCCAAAAGCCGTGCCAAACGACAAAGGCATGGCTAAGAGGTAATGGCCTCCTAGATTCGCGTAGCCGCCAATGTGCTGCTGCCCGATACCCCTGAGAATACCGTGGGCGTTGATGGACACGCCATCACAGATCTGCATCACAGCAACGATGGGTATAGTAGCGACGGCAATTTCTTGAACGTCTGAATCTTTCGTAAAGAAGCCCACAATTGGCCCGCTGAAGGCCATCAAGATAACAAAGTTGAAGAAGCCAAGGATGAAACCGATGCAGGCAGTCTAGTGTCTCAAATTGTCAGCTTTCACCTGCAACACCGCCCGTTGTGTTTGGTTGACATGGCTTGATTGGGTGGTGACCTTACCACTCGAGCGCTAACTTTTGCGGCATCAACGAGACCGGCACCGACGAGATTGGCGATGCGGGTGGACGCCGCGATTGAGAAGGAAAACGGCAGTTGATAGCTAATGGAAATGAGGGTGCTGAGGATACTCTGAGCAGCGAGAGAAGATGACCCAAACTGACTCGAAGCCAAGACGAGAATTTCAAATGCAAGATACTCGGCCTCAATCATGATCATTCCCGGTATGGCAAGCCGGACCATGGGGCCTACGTTACGTTCCGTTAGTCATTTTCGTCGCTTGCGGAGGAGGTTTAGAGGGCTGTCGTCTTCTTACCCCAGTTTGTCAAGGCACGCTTGCTAAAACCCCCAGCATTGGTACCCATCGACAAATCTCACGTAGAGGAAAAGGAACAAGGGCATGAGAATCTCTGTGATGACAACCGACATTGGCGCGCCGATGAAGCCGAATTCCATCTTCCACACCAAAAACCAAGTCAAGAATGCGTTGATGGGCGCTGCGATGACAAGCACCCACGTAACGGCACGGAAGAGGCCCTGCGCCTGGACAAACCGCTTGCCCGCCTCGAAGATGCCGATGAACGGGCCGCCGATAATCAACACCCGTAGGTATTGTCCGGCTAGCTCGGCGGATCTCGCTTCCGGAACGACCTTGGAGAGAAGCCACTCGCCGTGCCACCATACAAAAGCGACGGGAATGTAACATAGCATCAAGAGACACGTCATTCGCTGAAATTGTAGGCCCACGAGATGCTTGTGCCCGGAGCCATAAGCTTGAGCGCACAGGGTGTCTAGACTGGTGGCCATGCCGAGGAACGGAGCATACCCGGTGATGACAGAGGTCATGCTGGCAACTGTCTCAATCATTCCGTTAGTCTGGCGCACGCTGGGGTTTTGGCGAGGGTGCAAAAGAAGAAGGAGGGCAGCGAATCACGGTCATCTACATGTACTTACGGCTCACGGCCCCCAGCTCGACCTTGCCTATTCTTCCCACAGCAAAGATGCAGACGACGTTGATGGAGTACTGGAAGAGAGAGGCAACGAGCAGAGGCGGAGCATAGCTCCCAAGTGTCAAAGCTTCCCGTGTCCAGGTGGTTTGGATGCGGCCAGCCGACACGGCCTCGTTCCACTGCTGTTCTAGTTCGTCGTCGTCGTAAAGAACCTCACGGCTGCCGGGAAGGAGAGGCGACGTCTCCCGAGGCCCGCTGTGCCCGTCTTGGGCCCCGTGGGCTGCACCATCCCTCCCCTCCTGCTTTCTCTCACTCGGAGAACCGGCTAGTACGCGCCACCAAGATTTAGGCTTGGCATGGCCAGCAGTCGAGGGCAAGAGGTGATTGTCCTGCAGGAGGGCACGTTCGGCATTCCTAGCCTGCTCCCTTTCGGACCGGGTCAAGACAGGGGCGTCGACTGATGAGTCGTTGAAAGCAGGCCGAACTGGTCCATAGGCAACCCCACTTGGCCGCCGATACATGGGAGGGCCAGACACCTCTCCGGAGTCCTCGGAACCCGAGTCAATGGCGCGCTCATCCTCGCTTGAGCAATCGGCAACATCCCTAGCAATCGCTTCCTCTACTTCCGCTATAGGGGCTCTAGACCGAAGCGAGGATGAAAGGGCATTCACGAAGGAATTGCGATCCCCCTCGACCGCCAAGTGGTCGTTCGGGCCCATGGAAAGGCCAAGAAATTTAGAAAGAGAAAAAAAAAAAGAAGGAACTAGTGACGTCGCTCAATCACGAACCTCTGTAAGAGAGGGGCAGGTAGGAAACCAAGGGTTTCTCTCTGGCAGTCACAACTGCAATAGTGCGAGGAAATATATGCGTATGTGTATGGGAAAACGGCGGGTGGGGAGATCAGTCGAGGTTTATATCAAAATCTCGCCGAGGCGAAGTAATGGGTGTAGACTACAAGATAGGCCATACAACGAGGTCATAGAGCATACTCCGGACGGAGGAAGATTAAATGCAGGCAGTATCTCGAAGCTACACACCGCCCTCCCCCACCCCGTCAAGGGATCAAGAGCGCCAATGTGGGGAGATCTCTGATTTTTTTTTTTTTGGGAGGGGGGACCAAGGGGGACTAGCCCAAAACCCTCTTGCCGAGTGCATGGAAGGGCGCAAGGGCGTGAAGGAAGCCACTTGACCGTTCAATGGTACCCTCAAAGGCCCAGCGCGCTGTGCATTGGAGTCATTCCACTGAAAGAATGAGGATTGTGACCTGAGCAGCACACAATTCCGGCGTCCCACTTGGCACACCGGTGCCAGGCCTATGACCTAATAGAATCCGCCGCCTCCTCAAAGACACTTCATGTTTGACAACCGTCAAAGGGCGGCTTCCTGTAGGTCTAGGAAATTCTGCCCAATCAAATGTTTGAGCCACTAGAGTTTGCCATTGCAACTGCGAAAGGAGTCTTGCGTTATTGGCCAAGAACAACCTAGGCCCGAAAGCAGCACTCACGCCAAAATCTATCCTTGCCTTGGTGGAATAGATCCACCCATCAATCAGTCAATCAGCCCTTCAGGCCATCACATGGCACCGTGGCTTTGCGGGATATAAACCGAGTTTCCTTCTCCGCGGCCCGCAGTCTACGGATCACTGGGACTCTCCCGACTTCAGCTATCATCAAGTCGTTCACACTGCCGAACCGTGGGTTGGGGTGGGGGCTGCTTGGTCGCCTCTCCTCGCCCTACATGTAGCGTATGCATAAGGAAAGTCGGGTGTTTGTTTTGGGGTAACTGATGCATAGATCTCGTCGAGCCCTCGTCGAGCCCTCGTCGACTCTCTATTTGTTCAATCGAATCTTCGCCCTTCGGCAAGGCAATGGAGGGATGCGGAGGTCTTAGCGTGACTTGGGACGATGGGGTTCAGTCAATGGATCCATTCTATCCAATTTGGACCCATTGATAGTACGGATCCATTCTAACGGGTTGCACTGGGTCCATTGCACACAAAGCCCCCCTCTCAGTCTCAACGAGTATGGATCTATCAGTTGTTGCCAGTCAAGGGTCCCTCTGCATCGCTGCATGGCAGACGGCACCCCGCCCCTCCGCCCCTCCGTCTTTGATACCCGATTTTTTTCTTGGTGGGGTAAATGACCCCTCCACCCAAAAGGGACTACGCGCACCAGCGCCAGGGGAGGAGGGAGGGGAGGAGGCAAGAGGCAAAATTGAGTGGCTTTCAACATTTCTGGTGCCCGCCTCCACCCATTTTTTCTTGCCACGATAATAACGACCCTGTGCCCCTCTGTTTTGTTGACCTAGCCTCACGAGAGACTCGATTCCCCCACTCAGGAACCTGACTTTGCTTTGCTTTTCTTGTATTCTCGTTTCCTCAACCCCCATTTGCGTCTTTTACATCCCTCCACCCTCCTCTCTCCAAGCTTCATTGCTTGACCGTCGAAATGTCCACCACCACAACGACGACGACGACGACGAATGCCCAGCCGATCACGGCTGAGGCCATGCTTCGCCTCTTCCCCGACATCGACACGAGATCGGAAGCTCTCACGGGCCACGATGCCGAACAGATTAGGTTGATGGATGAAGTCTGCATCGTTCTTGACGAGAATGATATTCCAATCGGCACCGCGAGCAAGAAGATTTGTGAGTTGGTGTACCCCTTTGGCGATCGCATCCCCCCTCCGCACCAGAGGCGCGGGCGCCATATACTACGAGAAGAAAAACAAAATGTTAACCGCCCCCCAATCTAGGCCATCTCATGACCAACATCGACAAGGGCCTCCTACACCGCGCATTCTCCGTATTCCTCTTCGATGACCAGAACCGCCTCCTCCTGCAGCAGCGAGCTGAGGAAAAGATTACCTTCCCCGACATGTGGACCAACACCTGCTGCTCCCACCCGCTCAACATCCCCGGCGAAACGGGCTCAAACCTCCCCGATTCCATCGAGGGCGCCAAGCGCGCGGCCCAGAGGAAGCTCGAGCACGAGCTCGGCATCAACCCCGAGCAAGTTCCGATCGAAAAGTTCCACTTCCTCACTCGCATCCATTACAAGGCTCCCAGCGACGGAAAGTGGGGTGAACACGAGAGTATGTATTGGCCTCACTAGCCCTCGCGGTGTTTTTTCAGGCGTACTCCAGCCGTCTTGGTCGTTGCTGCTTCATAGCGCTGAGCGCACGCGTATCTGCGGTCCGCAGCAGCAAGAGGTAGATCCGTATCACTAACCCTTCCCGTCCGCGTATAGTTGACTACATCCTGTTTATCAAGGCCAATGTCGACCTCAACATCAACCCGAACGAGGTCAAGGACACCAAATACGTCGCCGCCGACGAGCTCAAGGAACTCTTCAAGGACCCCTCGCTCAAGTTCACTCCCTGGTTCAAACTTATCTGCGACACGATGCTGTACGAGTGGTGGAGCAACTTGGACGGCGACCTCGCACAGTTCACCAACAACGATATAGTGAGGATGTGATTTCCTGTCCCTGACGCTCTCGTTGGTGTTTTCGAGCTTGCCTTGGCGCGCGCATCTTGTCTCCCCCTCCCCCTCCTTTCCCCAAACCTATGACGGGGATCCGCTTACTTGGCCCTCCCCCTCCTCCCCCTCCTCGGAACCATACCTTTCCACATTCGACACCCCCACCCGATTCTTTTGATAGCCCCGGTGCGGCATCACCTTTCCTATTTCGCGTAGTTTCCAGAGTCCGTCTCAAGGGAGCCACATTGTCCCCAGCCATCTATATAGCCCATCGATGACGCTCCTAGCCAGCTGAAATAATACTATAACCTGAATTTTTCTATTTCTCATCGTTGTGTAACTGCCAATGCCGAGATCCTGCTTGGACATGCTCCGATATGGCGCTTTTTGCGTAGTGTAGCTCCGAACAACAGCCACTAGATCCTCACAATGCAAGCGGCTGAACCGGGCAAGGGACACAGATCGGACTTAACGGAAAAGGGACAACCTGTTTACTCCCCTGGTTGGGAGATGTCATCGCTGTGTCATTGAATCTCCTCCTCCGTCATACGCTACACTCCCGCCTGTGATGAGTCTTCGATCCGGGTAATGACGTGCAAATGGGTGTTTCCATTGTATCATACATGTAGCGCCCAGCGACTGAAATTTCCATGGCGCTTCCTTCCTTTTTCTATCTTGCGCTGATACAGCTTTTACTCTTGAGCCCCCGTCTCGCTCTCTCCCTATGTCTCAACGTTGAGAGGGAATGCGCCCCAAGGGTCACATGCCTCGTACTCTCACTACTGTCACGAAGGACAGAACCCTCCGCGAGGTGGCGACGGAGGGAACGGAAGGGGGAAAATTAATATCATCGCCCAAGGACAGAACAGAACAGCGATAAGCTAGCCCCCTTTTTCCTTTCTTCTTCTTCTAATACTCTCTTACACTAGAAGTCCCTCTTCGTCCTCTTTTTCTTTTTCTCTCTCTTCATTTTCACTCTATTGAATCCCAGCTGCCCTCTAGCTCCAGGGTTTCAACAAGGCTTTTGGCGTTCTTTACTTTTCTAGCTGGCCCTCTCTGTTTTTTCTCCTTCTCTCCCTCCTTCTCTCTCTCTCTTCGCCTTTAGCTCGTTGACAAGATTTAAGTTAAAGACCCGAGGGTTCCTGCAGGTTTCCTTGGCCCGGACCGATACGGGAAGCTACTCTTAGTATTATTAGTGTTGCTCCTGTCATGTTGTTGCTGTGTTGGGGGCAAAGGGCGGGAGGCGGTCAAGTGGCCGGTCCGGCAAATGTGTTGACCGAAGGGGCGGATGACGTTCCCCGGGCCTTATCTCTCACTGTTGGGAGGTGGGAGGGGTGGACTACAGGGCATGCCCATGTAATTCGCCAGCCTCCATTCCCCTAATAAAACAAGAACAGGGTTTCAAGGGGGGGGACGGTCGTGACTACGGGCCCCGTGAGCTTGAAGCCGGGAGTTATCACATGACGATGATTGCCCCTGCACTGAAGCGGGTCGCTGCCAATGGTTTAGACATCGCCTGCCGGATGCAGTCCGCAGAGGTGGGTCACCATTCTCAATCGGTCGGTGTAGTGTAGTGTACTCTTTTGCGCTTTCAAAAAAGATACATGGGCACTACTTTGGCACACCTATCGCCTCACTTCAACGAGCTTTTGTCGCATCCTGCTTGGCCGTTTTGATTTCCTTGGGAGGCTAAGCCGGAAGCTGACCGCGGCCAATTGAACGTCCTGCCATTCGTGCTTGCGGCATCTAGGCATCGTGCTATCGTGGCATCGTGGCATCGTGGTTGCGTGGCTGCTTGCAGAAAAAAATTAAAAGAAACAAACAGCTGTCTGCTTCTCATGGCGCTTCCCTGTGCTGTGCCTAGGCACGAGGACATCAGGGGCATATTGATTTTGATCCTCGGTGTAGGTAGCTAATTTCAAAGGGACATGTCTAGCGCTGACTTTTGTTTGACTGCACCGGTCTCGGGACTTTTGGTACCTTTGGGCATCGAACCCGAACCCCCATGTAATCGAAGTGGTTCAGATGAAGAAGCGCAAAGAAACGGGAGGCGGCGCAAGAAGGGAAAAAAAGGAAAAACAAGTCTCGCATCGCCGATAGAGAGCCCACATCGTGCGTGCATCGATGCCGCGCGGGATGAGTTCTGCGAACAGGATTAATGCCGTACAAGTCTGCGTCGGTTGACGAGATCGGGCTCCTTGCTGTGCACCTCAGCAAGCGGTGTTGATAAAGGGGATCGTAGAGGTCAGGAGGTGGCTGCTGCTCTCTTGTCTTTTGGAAAATGTGCCAAGCACAGCCAGATAGAGAGTGAGAGAGGGCGAGAGAGACCTCACCTGGACAGGAAAGAGGACATTGAGCCACCCTTGGTGTGTACATAGACGACCCTCTATTGTTCCCAAGTTCCAAGTTTTGTCCCCTGTTGAGCCCCCACCCCGGGCTTCGTACCGAAATACCACACGGTTGGGATGCAGAGGCCGCCAGGGATGGTCGATGGTCGATGGTCGATTCCATCACCGAACTCTGGGTCGGGTTATTTGGGTCTCTGCGAGGGAGAGAAGGGGGAGGAGAGGAGAGGAGAGGAGGAGGAGGAGGTGTAGGCGAGGGGAGGACCCCGAGTCTGGCTGCTCCAAGACGGGAAATACTCAGCGCCATGGGGCGGGGACTTGGCTCAGAATCCCCGAATCCTGGATCAATTCTCAAGGCTCTTCCCTGAACGTCTGCGAGCTTTTCTTTTCCATCCAGTTCCTTTTTTGGGTTCCTTCAGTTCAGCATGGCCAAAGCAATGCTCACTCGCCAGAAAATGACCGCCACTTACGCCCCCTTCCCCGTTGGCGGACCTGGAGACCATCCAGAAAAAATGGCATCAATCTCTGATGCACAGCACCTCACCCCTTTGCAGCGCTTCCGCCTGGGGCTCTCTTCATGGGGCTGGTGTGTCAACGTCGGAGTGATGGGAGCTGCTCAAAGCGACACCTGCAGGAATGAGACTAAGAACCGCTTGCTTGCACTTTCACCCATCGGCTTTCTCACCGGCTGGGCCCCCAACGAAAAAAATAAATCTGCGTGTGTCTCCTTCTGGCAGAACGAGTCTACTACAAAAGCAAGGTTACCATTTCTCCACACCCTGCAACGCACATTCGTCGCCGCCACCGCCCCCTCAGCAAGGGTGTTTCTTTGGAAATGTTCAGCCCCCTGGTCCCATGCAGCCTTTTCCTTTTGCTCCCTTGACCGACTTGAAACTACAAGGGAAGGAAGGAGGAGGGCAGTTGTGGAAGGAAAGAAAAAAATTCAAGTGTGGCAAGCAACACTGCACTGCGACAGCCTTTTTCCCCTTATCACCACCCCCGGTCTTATCGGTGAGAGGGTCCTTACTCGCAATGTCTGGAGCGGGAATAAAATCCAAGCACTTTTGAGACAAGACGGTGTCTTCGGCGGGTCTTGTTTGCGGCATCCAATTCGTCTTCTGGGTCTCTGTCTAGCGCAGGTTCCGAACCCGCACCCGTTGTGTCGTGGCTAAATGCTCCGGCTTGGGTCTCCACCTCTCGGGGCCACTTACATCGGCTTTGGAGGCGACAGTCACTCCGTCCCGTCTGAGGCCGGTATCCGGGGAAGGATGGATGACTCTGAGAAGATTGGTCAACGTCAAGTGCCACCCGACAGATTGGGAGATTAAAGGTGAGAAATCGCCTTCCCAGCAACCCCTGGCGGAGAACAATCCAGAAAGAAACAATGGAACACTAACTGAACGAGGGATCAAGATGACATGACGAAGTGGTAACAGGTAAAAATAGATGTGAGAAGGAAACCCAAACTGAGATGGAAGAAGAAGGAGGAAAAAAAAAAAGAAGAAACAAGTGCGGATGAATTATTAACACAAAACAATCTGAAAAGGGGACAAGCAAATTCTCTGTAATACCTTCCCTCAATGATCTCTTCATTATACTTTTCACAGGAATCATGCCACCCCACCCAAGTCGAGGTGCGAGGTGTCCCTTCCCTGCCATACAGTTGTCCCTGGATCGAGAGGGCAAAGAAAAAATCAACGGGGCCACCGCTAGTCTCCCCTTCTGCAGTGCACCTGCCCCGGCCCCTGGTAGCCCCCTTCTCCCCTCCCCTCCTCCCTTCTTTCAAGGTGTCCCCTTGTCTGGGCGATACGAGTGCCGCTCTCTTGGGTATTACGCACTAGGCACGAGGCACTCACTCCGGGCGAGTATACTTCGGGTTCGACGGAAGGAATTCTGGCAGCACGATGGTTGCAACACAACTTCCGGTCGCCAATCAAGCTTCTGTGCTTCCTTTCGAGGCGACTTGTCCTCAGCGCCCGATGACAGCTTCGGCAACCTTGCTCATTGTGCGCTTTTAAACGCGACACCACACGGATGCCGTCGTGTTACAGCCAGCCTCTGCGATCGGAGGACTAGCAAAGAGGAGGCAAGCGGGATTTTAAAGAGGAAGGGAAAAGGAGTGCTCAAGTGCTATTAAATTTTTGGCCTGTCGGAACCCTTTGACCCCGGTCCGTTGGATTCTATCCACTTCCTTTTGTGCTTCATACAGTTGACAACACTAATAACCGTTGTTATACATACACCCATAGATTACTGCTCGTTCGACGCGCTGCGCAGCGCTCTCAATGCCGGACTGACTTGGTACCACGGTGTCACTTTATTCCTCTCCCCATTCATTTTCTTCACGATTGTAGACCTTGGCCGAAAGTTCCTTCTCAGCACGAAGTGGGACGGCTTCGGGCTTGGCTTGGGTTGAGTCAACTACATAAGCCCTCGCTTCCCTCCCTCCCAAGTTCAAGACGATAGAGGCTGGTGCTTCATTCTCAAAGTGGTCTCATCATAGTCCGCCATCTTCCTCTTTTTCTTTTCAATCTCGTTTTTTTCTTACTTGGACGAGAGACACTGCATTTCTTAAACGTGCCCAAGAACATATCATACAATTAATAACATCCATCGGTCAATCCATCATCCCCCTTGGAGCAAGCAAATTCTTTCCTAGGCGCTGCCACTCAGCATCCTCGCGAACTTTTTCTACTTGGGCTCGTGTTTGATTAAACCGGAGAAAAGAGCAGGACTCCAGAGGCTCAAACAACCAAAAAAAAAAAAAAGGGGAGATAGAGCTTGCGCCTAGACGATATCCCGGTATTGCTTGATATTAGATTCCAGTCACACCGACCTACGCTTCCCTGCCAAATCGGGCAAATCCCAGCCACGACCTTCTAGCTCCTACAAGGGGCCGACCCCACGTGGACCTTCTGACATACCCCTAGCTCCTTCTCGAGGACTATCAGTATCATTGACCTCTCGACTGCTACCTTCCAACTGTTCCATTACGACGCTAATAACCAACTCCTTGGGACCGCACCGTCACTCGACTTTATCAAGGACAGCCCATCACATCTGTTAATCCTCCTTACCTTAGGCTTCTCTTCTTTTCTTCATTTATATTTTCGATACTCTCGCGTCAATACACCCTAGCCACCCTATCTTCCCATCTTGCCAGTCACGCTCTTCTTACCGCCATCGACGTTTACCCTCCCCTGGAACTGGAACCCGGCATTTGCAGAAAGCCACCATCATCGAGTAGGGAATCAAGAGATAGGACACACGCTCATGCGAGTCTAGAGACAAGTATAGAGACTTACCCCGGGTGACGGCTGCTAGCGAAGCTTTAACAAAGACCCGTGTCTTTCCGGTTAACTTCTTAACGCGAGACAACATTGATGTCGTTTGACCTTCGAACCAGCCTCCATTGTCTGCGTCATCCTTCTAGATTTATGCCCGTCTCTCGAACACAACTTTCCGAAGTTCACACGGGTGATAGTATACAAAATAAGATACCCTGTAAGTCTGACTGTTGCGAACATCCATGTCACCAGCTTGCCCACCTCACCATAAGTTCGGGACGAATGGCTTGTTGTATGATACTCCACGTATGATTGGCATTTGGTTGATGTAATCTACGTATCGTGGCAATTCAATGATCTCCTAGCCCTATTGCCATCGATGCCACTATCTCCTTGAGCTTCCCTTGCCCCGTCTCCTATCTCATATCATCCACTCTGCACCTGCCGCCACTAACGCCTCAGTCTAGGAAGCTACCCCGCGGCCCACTTACATCCAATTATCCATTTGAGTGGTGTATTTTACATGCCTGGCCCCCTGCCTTGGAAATCCAACATGGAGCACGTAAGCAGTAGTGTTACACTTGTTGAGTTGAAAAGCTCACTTGTCCCCTCGACCTGGGAGGACACTGTCCGTCGAGTCGGCATATCGGAGTGCAGAGAGGTAGGGCTTTCCCTAGCCCACTCCTTTGCTGCTGATGATCTTAGCCAGTACCTCCTGGGCGCGGACGACATGGCCCACCTCAGTGTGGAGCAAAAATGGCGCCTTCACGTCGATATCATGACATATATCGCCGCAGCCCACTTCCTTAAAGGAATCGTAACAACAATCGGCCCAGAGCACGATTGCGTATCCGTCTGGTGAGTTTGCCCTACACCGCAAGCCTCTGTTTGAGAAGTTGGCTGGTGTCTTCAGAGGCCGTATAAGCGGATTCTAACGATTCTTTTCTTTTAGGCTTCCGCCTGGAGTTGATGTAGATGGTTGGTGGATCGCTCTCCGCAGCGGTCTCTGGCGTATGCACTACCTTCTTTCTGCAGAAGGGAGGAGAAGGTATTTTCAAGAACTCCTTCCCCTCCTACACGATACAAAACTCGAGGTTATGGGAAGCCGCGATGCAGATTGCTACTACCTTGTTTACCTCGGAACAAAGCCCAAGGCTCGGGGACAGGGTCATGCAAGCAAGCTGCTCCGTGACATGGCACGGATTGTAAGTGCCCTGTGAAACCGTCCTGAGATGGTGGTGGCTCAAAGCCGGTCCTTTTTCAAACGGGCAGCTAACGTCTATAGGCTGATGCCGAGAACCGCCCAATCTACCTTGAGTCAAGCTCTCCTTCAAATACCCGGTACTACAAAAGGTTCGGTTTCGAGTTAAAAAGGACATCGTTTTGAAACGCGGATGCGAGCCCGTCGTTCTCTCTGCCATGGTCCGTGAACCCCAACCCCGAGATTTTGCTTATTCGCCCTATAAGTTTGTGGGTGCCAGGACCAAGGCTTGATTCAGGAACAAGTAGTTGTGCTTCTTGACCGTGCTATGTGTTGTCGTCCGTCAATCATCGCAGAGCGTGGTAGTCGCAGTGGCCGGTGAAATATCCGAGCCTCGCTTCCGACCTTGACTTTGCCGTCTGTCAACCTCAATTTTTTTTTGGTAAGCCGTCCTCGTGCAAGGCATTGTTCGGGGTCTAGATCATACATTATGGCTCGCGAGAGATGCTCTCGCTGATGGGGGACTGAAAATATCACCCGAACGAGGTTACACAATAGCGTCGTAGACATATAGAACTAGTAATAGGCGAGTCCCGCAGCGAGACTTTTAGCCCGATCTTTGCAATACTCATTTGATGACGGGTCCACGACAAACCTGTGCGTTGGATCCTCGTTGTGTTTGAATCCCCGTCCCTTTACGCCCTAACGATGTGATGCTGGGGGAATTCCTCTGACATGCTTCGGTGCCGTATCTATCGGCAACGCGGCGCTCGTCCTCCGGACACAAGTCTTCCAACTCTTCAACTCTCCGACTCCACCTTAGTATTCTAACACTGCCCATGTCTCATCATCGACCGTTGTGTATATTACGCCTTGGCCAAGCAGCTCATCTGCAGCCTTAAGCACTTCCCTTGTCGTCATCCCGGAGCTCTTGCCAAGAACCTGCAGATGCAAGCCTTCGTTGCCACCGGGTGTATTCAGCATGAAGTTGTACAGTCTCTGTGCTTCTGACGACACGTTGCCGAGCTTGGCAGCCCCTCCCGCGTGCTGATTCATGTTACCACCGACACCTCCGCCGGCGTTGCCACCAGCGCCAGCACCGACACCACCACCATAGCCATTGTCGTCTACAAACATGCTGTCACCACCGCCCGCGTTAACAGTGCCTGCTCCTTGGCCGCCAACTGGGCCCTTTGCGAAGTAGAGGTGAACGGCTGCCGCCTCAAGGAGATGATAGTGTATCTCATTGTTGTCTGACACTGGGCGTATGAAGTGTAGGATAACGTTGCGATTGTTGTTGAAGGATTTCAGGCGACCATATGCGCGTACGTAATCGTGCTCCAGTACTTTGAACTCGGGGCCGTCCTTGGGCTTCTCTGGATCGACGAACTTTTTGCACTCAAGCACACCGGTCCCATCATCTATCTTGAATTGTATATTGGTCTGGAAGGCGTTGACGTAGCGAATTTGGCCGACAAATGTGACCTAGGAGACGGGGAGGCGGGGTTAGCCACGAGGGTCAATACTGGCGATGGGCAGGAAACGTAGGTACCTGAGCAATATGGGCGCCATCGATGCGGAATTCGCCGGACTCGCTGTAGGTCTCTTCGGCATCGAGGATTTGCTTGATCGTCACGGGACGCAGCGTATCATTTTCTCTAGACTAGACATGCAAGGGATAGGTGAGTAAACGATGGAGCTGGTTTGGACTGGGGAGAAGACGATTCTAGCATGTGAAAGAACGATACCTTTTGGTTGTTTCCCTGGCTTCCTTGTTGAGATCCAAAGACGAATCCACCCGCATCGTCACCGCCGCCGCCGCCGCTGCCGCCGCCGCCATAACCACCTTTGTATCCACCACCGTATGAAGCTAGAGAAAGTTAGCACTTGTGATGGGAGCACGGCTTCGTGTGGGAATCAAAGGCCAAAGCCGGAAAAATTCCCGACATTATTGTGAGGAGTCTTACCCATATTAGATCGATTTGTAGGAGAAAAAGAGTGAGGGTGTTACGGTTTACGATGGGATGTGGATGGACTGATCACAAAATGCGAGGATCACGATGAGGGTGGGGAGACGCGTGTGGTGGGATGGTTAACGCGACTTTCGCTAAATTGATTTGAGCTTGTCTACCCCGCGACAGACAGTGAGCTGGCCTTGTCGCCTCAGGCTTTCATTTTATTTTTCAGGGTGAGAAAGAGAGATCGATTGAATCAATATTATTACTAATAATATCCATCGATGTCAGGCGAAGAAGCCACCACCCACCTGCACTGTTCCCGAGCCACTGCTTCCACTGTCCCAGCTGGCCCAGCACTTGGTTGATAATCCGCCAGCGTTTCGACGACAGCAAAGGATTGGTCGATCGGTTGTACAGCTCGACTTGTCACTGGACCTAACCCACCCAGCGTCCCTGCAGGCGGCATTGGCCGCTCGGCACCACTGTGTGGTAACTGTGCGGTATTGATCCATTGGCTCTGTGCTGATTTAGACTAGTTGAAGATCCGCCTAGACTCTCCCTTCGGAAGCTCAGAGAAGCTCGCACTTAACCAAACGTCATTTTGCCTCGGCTTCCCAACTCATCGGCATCACGAGAAACCTTGGGACCAGAGTCATCCATTATAGATACCCGCGCTAGACCTTTTGGCACCTTCGGATTTGCGTTTTGCTTCCTTAGACCGTTTTTAATTGCCCGACTTTCATCCATCTTTTGCATCTGCATTCTCTTCAAAGTTCCCCCAATCTATCGCATTTATTCATCGTTACCCATTCGCCCCTTTCCCCCGTGACGGCGATTTTTCTCCTCGACGCAAGTAAAGTCCGAGTCCATCGTATGACATGGCGAGATTCGACACCTCTCTCCCACTAATACCTCTAACGCGAGGGACCGTCCTTTTCCCCGGAATTGTCCAACGCATACCCATTCCGGCGAGCAGCTCTCACATTTCGCACCTTTTCACCAGTGTTTACGAACGCGCCGCCCTGCAGCGCCCCAGCAACCCTCTCGATGCTTTCCAACTAGCTTGCGTGCCGCTCGCGTCCCCTATCTGAGCCCCTCGGGCCAGCTCCTTGTGCGCGACTCCGAGCCGCAGGATGACTCTTTTCTCGACGTGGATGCCTCGGACTTGGCCACCGAAAATCTATTTGGATATGGCGTGACCGTGCGAGCGCTGGGGATCCAGGGCACCGGAAGCGGCGCCGAGTTAAGGGTTGAGGGTGTGCAGCGTTGCAAGCTCAAGGCCATCGCCAACGAGCGCCAGTACTTTGAGGCGACCGAATACGAACTGTGCCCTGACACAGGTAAGCCACATCTCCCAAGAGCAGTTTTGTAGGTCGCGCAGGAACTCTAACCAGGATCGAATCTAGTCAACCTCAAGGATAAAAAGACACGCGAGCTTTTTGCCACCCTCAAGTCCCAGTCCCTGGAGCTAGTCTCCATTCTCCGCGTGTCCTCCTTTTTCAATAACCGGTCCGACCTTCGAGCAGCTCTCTCGCCCCTTCTCGCCCAGCGACTCAATATGTTCATCATGAAGAAGGACGTCAAGGACGCCGGGTCTCTTGCCGACTTCATGGCCAATATCTTGGATACTTCTTATGAGGAGAAGCTACAAATCCTTGCCGCCATCAACGTCAAGACTAGAATGACGAAAGTAATCGAGCTGCTCCAGCGCGAGGTCTCCGACATTAAAGGCAATATTAGCGTCACGACCGTCACGGCTATCCCTTCGCAGATCCTTGATCGGCTCAATAACCGTCAGATCAAGTCTGGAAATGTGCCCATCACTGGTGCAGCATTAAACATGACGCCACCTGCGGGCATCCCACCCAATCCCCAGGATAATAATAAGGATCCCAACGAGCTCGAGCTCCTCCAGAAGAAGTTGGACGCGGCCAATCTTCCTCCGGATGCAGCCAAGCTTGCTGATCGGGAAATGAAGCATCTTAAGAATATGATGCCAGGTGGCAATGAATACTCGATCACCATGACTTGGCTAGAGACGCTGGCAGAGGTCCCCTGGTCGACCGTCACAGAGGACAGGCTCGGCGCAGAGACTCTCGTCAAGGCCAGGAAGCAGCTCGATGAAGACCACTGTGGTCTTGACAAGGTCAAGAAGCGACTAATCGAGTATCTCGCTGTGTTGAGACTGAAACAATCCCTCAATGATGACATCGAGGAGCAGATTAGGAGAGCCGAGGAGGAGGAAGCCAAATTAAATGCCGAAAAAGAGGCAGAGGCCAAAGAGGAGACTCCCCGTCCACGAGAAATCCCCCAAGTTGCTTCCTCCAAGCTCGAGTCTCTGAAGGCACAGCGGGCGGTGGACAAGTCACCCATCCTCCTCTTGGCTGGGCCGCCTGGTGTCGGCAAGACAAGTCTCGCGAGATCCATCGCGAGCGCGTTGGGTAGAAAGTTCCATCGCATCTCGCTGGGCGGCGTGCGAGACGAGCCCGAGATCCGCGGCCATCGTAGAACCTACGTATCCGCCATGCCTGGAGTGATTGTCCAAGGGCTCCGGAAGGTTGGTGTGTCGAATCCCGTTTTCCTGCTCGACGAGATAGACAAGCTAGGCAAGGCCAGCAACATGGGTGACCCGTCGGCCGCCATGCTCGAGGTCCTAGATCCCGAGCAGAATCACACTTTCACAGATCACTATCTCGGCACCCCTTGACCTAAGCAAGGTACTCTTCATTGCGACGGCCAATAATCTTGAAAATATTCCCGCGCCGCTTTTGGACCGCATGGAGACCATCTATCTCCCGGGATACACAACGTTGGAGAAGCGTCAAATTTCCACAAGGCACCTCATCCCGAAGCAGTTGCGGGCCAACGGCCTGTCCAAGGGCCAGGTGGCTTTTAGCGAGGAGGTTGTATCGAAGATCATCGAGTCGTACACTCGTGAATCAGGCGTGCGTAATCTCGAGAGGGAGATCGGCTCCGTCTGTCGCGCCAAGGCAGTGGAGTACGCCGAGGCCAAAGACAGTGGTCGTCTTGAATCTTACCGATCACAAGTGACCCCAGAGGATGTGGAGGAGATTCTCGGCATTGAGATGTACGAGGAGGAGATTGCCGAAAAGACCAGCCGCCCCGGTATTGTCACCGGGCTGGTAGCTTATAGCTCCGGGGGCAATGGCAGCATCCTCTTCATCGAAGTTGCCGACATGCCCGGCGACGGGCACGTGCAGCTCACCGGTAGGCTAGGCGATGTGCTCAAGGAGAGTGTCGAGGTAGCACTCACCTGGGTTAAAGCTCACGCATACGAGTTGGGTCTTACCCCGAACCCACCACCAACATCATGGACGGTCGTAGTATTCATGTGCACTGTCCCTCGGGATCGATCCCCAAGGATGGACCTAGTAGCGGTATTGCACAAGCAATCGCACTCATTTCCCTCTTTTCCGGAAACCCCGTGCCACCGACGATGGCGATGACGGTACGTAGCAAGGGGCTTCTTCCTTCACTACCCCCACATCGCATCACTCTTAGGAGACTCCCAGAAGAGAGGAGGCCCTTAGCGAGCTTTGTTTTCCTACCTAGTTTTCACGCCGGTGCCCCAAATTCCGAGAGTCGCTTTAGCACCAGACTCGGCAAAGGCTAACATGATTTATAGGGCGAGATCTCCCTTCGAGGACGGGTAACAGCCGTCGGGGGCATCAAAGAGAAGCTCATCGGGGCCTTGCGTGCGGGCGTCAAGACGGTCATGCTTCCTGCGCAGAATAGAAAGGACCTTAAGGACCTGCCCGCCGACGTGACGGAAGGCCTACAAATACTTTTTGTCGGGTAAGTCTACCTTCCCAGGCGCCACCTCAGCACACGAACTTGTTTATTGCCGACGGCCGCGTCCACCATTCCCATCTCCACTTCCCCAACCCCGGATAGTTATTGCATTGCTGCCGTGCGACACCGCGAAAGCGAAGGCCACTGCATCCCCATCCTCAACCACCCTTGCCATTTCTTGTGGCCCCGTTCTTCTGCGTAACTTGATGACTAACAACTGACGTTCTACCACGCATTATAGCCACATTTGGGAGGCTATCCGCCTCGTGTGGCCCAATTCGCAGTGGGCTGTTGACGAGAAGAAGTTAGCGGCGGTCGAAAGCCGTCTCTAAGGTTCCAATCTCGCTGAGAATAGCATCTTGTCGCCCGTCACATACGCCCAAGATTCTCGAGTTATCCCTCATCTTGGTCGGGTGCCCGTGGCACGGATGTAAAGGTGGCTCTTATGCTGCCGAGGGTCCAAGTTCCGTCTAGGATTCCGTGTACAAAGCACCCTAGCCGGGCTTGTTTGCGTTCGGGAGAAAAGCAAAAGACCACTCTGTATATAATCGCTAGGCGTGTTGGCCAAACGGTTTACTTGTCTCGGGGACCACGCCTATCGTGCTACCCCAACAAGCGCTACCGGAAGCCGCCCAATGGGCAAGTCATTGTGTAGAGTTTTGTGTGATCTACCGTCTAGACAAGTTTAGGAATTCATATCTGTAAAAACGAGAAGGAAAGTAAACCCATCCCAACTTTCGCCTCGCCATTCCAGTAATGCGCCCAATTCCTGATTTCTGTGTCAATCTCATGTTCTCTTTACTCCGGGTGGCACAAAGGCTCTAGCCGTCACCCACCTTACCCGTAGTAGTTCAAGGGGTGCGTGTGGGTGCCTGGACAGCCAAGTAAGAAAGGAGGGGGGTGTAGGCCCAAGATCAACCAATTCTTTCAGGAAAAACAAGCGTGACTAGTCAACTCGGAACCGAGACCTAGTGAGGAAGAAGGCCCAAGGGAGGAAAATAAAAGAAGAAAGGAAAGGATAAAGGATAGGGTGCGAGTGAAGATGGGGCCTCCCTCTTACGTGCGCAAGCAAGGTTTTTTTTTTTTTGCCTCCCGAAACGTATCAGATGGCGGAGGGAAGCCCCCGACACAGCCCAGATACCATGTCTCGCTCAATTTTCCTTGACACTCTCTTCCCTTTCTTCACAGTATGCATGTTTGCATGTTCCTCGGGCTTGTGGGACGCCTTTAGCGCCATACGTGGGAAAGAAGCGAGGTTCACTAGAGCCATGTTGAAGGCGGAAATCTTGTGCCAGAGATGCACAGCAGGTCCATGACGGGACGAGCGAGACTGAGATACAATCCTTGTCCGCCTCTCGCCCGGGGACACCCCCTTGCCACCAACGGAAAACGTGCTACGGAGAGGGATAGTAAAGGGAAGCCTGAATTTCGATAGCCATCGTTGCCCGCAGCGCGTGAAGAGAAGCAAGCATATGGCTAGCACTGCACCTCCCCCTCTCCCCCATCCCTTCTTCCTTGAGTTGTCCATTGGCTCTCAAGCTAAGCTGTTCGACCAAGAACATACGTAACCATGGCATGGGAATGAGACCGCTAGGGCAGGACATGCGGAACTCATGCTTGAATAGGCCTCGGACTTAATGTACCGCCTCTGCGTGGCCGATCTCAGACATGTGGGAGGCGGCCGGCTGGCTGGGGTGGGGCGACATTCGCGATGCAAGACAAGCATTGTCTTACGCAGGACGACGTCTTGTCGTGTCTCTTGCCATGTCTTTCAGACGTGGCTGAAAGGCATTCTTAGAAGAGTAGGGATGGCCTGTGTCCGCTCCCTTCGCGAAGCTGCCATTGGAATCTTGCGCCGGTGCCCTGGCGAGGGCCAGCAGCCGAGAAACTGCACGTCGCGGGCTAGTTTCTCGGCTTTTATGGCATGGATATGCCAAGGTGTCGGCCCCTAGAGGATGGCGGAGGGGAAGATGGAATCGATGCCGACAGTTTCTTTGCCCTTGTCGACTGTCTTGATTAGCGAGCTTGCGATTCCACTAAGGCAGCTTCCAAGTTTTGAGAGGCACGAAGAAGTAAAGATGCCCCCAGGCCCCGGCGACAGGCTCTGCACGACGTCGTCCCCGCGCCCTCCCCTTGTCCGCTGGCTCTTGCAGACTACATACTTCTCATCCCCTGCTACGCTTGGCCTTTGCCCGGCTGCAGTGTTGAAAGAACAAACACCTGCCAGATTCAATCGATCTGCATTTTCTTCCTTCCGCTCTTTCTGCCCAGGACACGCCCATCCTTCCATTAGGTGAATACAATATTACCCTGAGAACGCCCGTCCCGAGGCCCTCCGCACGTCTGCATACGCCTTTCCGATAGCAGCGACGCGACTAGCCTTCCCCGGGTGTCTGTTGGACATTCTCGAAGCCCTTCCCTATCCCGCACAGGAGGAGAGAAACAGATGGAAGGATAGAAGAAGCAAGAAGCAGGTGTTATTCGGCGAGAGACAGTCACGAAAAGCACGAAGCCGAACAAGATAAAGCCATGCAGGGATGAAAACTATCGGGGCCCTTGTTTCGAGAAAACGTGGACGAGCCTTCACCTTCCGCTGTCTTCTCGCCTGCTTGCTTTTTCCGGGTCTTTTTCTTGTTCCACTGCTTCCTCTTGTTCTTCTTCTGGCTGCTCTCTTTTTTCTTCTCTGTTCCTTTTTCTTTTGTTTTGTTTTTTTTTTTTTCCCGGTCCCAAATCTTTCGTTGGTGTTCGCCTCCACGAACCTTCCAAGCAGCAGCAGTAGCACCACCACTGCTATCAACACACATTCATTAATCTCTTCTGATCCGCTCCTTCGAGGTTCCCTCTCCTCAGCGGGGGCCCGCGTGTTGGAGATGAAGATCAATTGATGGGAGACCACGCTTGTCTCGAGTCCGTTTAGTCAAAACGAGGGGCAAGCGGGGAGCCGCTCCTTGTTGACTTGAATCCCCGATTTGACGTGATTCAGTCGTCTCTCGCATGTTACAAGAAATTGGCCTCTTGTTCTTTCTCTTCTCGTCCAATCCTTTCACCTCGCCTGTCTCGTAGTCCCTGCTCTTGTTTCCTCGTCTTTGTTCCCTTCCCTTCTTCTTTCTTTTCCCCCTCCTTTCTTTTGTTTCCCCTTTCCTCTCCGTGATGTGATCGCCGATGGATATATAATCACATGTCTTTGCGCTTTAGTAATCACTACAGTCTGTTCGCATGCTTTGATCGCGATGGAGGCTTTGGTCGGGGTTAGGGGCCGGGCTAGCTATTGAAGAATGAAAACGATAGATCCTCCCGAAAGTGCATTAGTAAAGAGGAAAGTGGACGTGCCAAAAACCCGCGGGACTGTGATATTCCCTAAAATGCCATAATGATGGGATTCCGAGATCATAATCTGCAGTTGATCGCTTGGATCTGGCCGTCCTGCGCTTCCCCAGCCAGCAGCCGGCCAAAGCGTTCAGCGGTGGAGAGATGGGATGAGATGTGCGGCAGCTGTCAACCGGGGATACCTGTACTTTGTCCGATGGACTCTTTCAGACGGAAACCAGCGCCCGTTGGCGATCTGGACGCCACGAAGCCATGAAGCCTCCAAACAGAGGCCCCATCCCCCTTCGCCGGCTTTCCCATTCTTCGTCTCCCGTATCTCTATAGTTTCGTTCATTCTATCGAGTTCACCTGTCAAGACTGCCTGGGTCAGCTCCGTCCCGTATGAGCCATGCTCTTCGAGAGATGCCGTACGTCCGCGACGAGAGCCACGGCTTCATCACCTCTCGCATAAGGTGGATCATAAGAGGGTATGGCAAAGCATCAGGGATCCCCCCTCCCCCAAGATGTGATGGCGTAAATGTTCTGAGTCTTTAATTTTCCTCGTTCCTTTTTCCTAATGTTTTTCCCCTTATTCTTCTTTTTCCTGTTTGACTTCTCCCTTTTTCCGATTGCCTAGCCTTCGGCTTACGCGCCCTGCTCCCCATTGATCCCGGCGCTCGTGTTGTCTTGTCGTCCGTGGGCTTGCGGGCGTCAGAAATGGGTGCACACGGCCTGGGTTCGAACCGCGAATATCCTCGGGACGACGAGACCCAGCGGCGCAGGAATTTTGACTAACCCCCTTCGCCTCGCCTCGCTAAATGCTCCGTTTAGTTCCGGAATACCCACTTGGAGAGACACTGACAAGGGTTGACGTGGTCGGCTTCTCTCACCCAAAACCTCCTAAAATTCCGCTGCAGGGTATGCAAATCACCGCCTCTCGTTGCTTTTTCCACCTTGTCCCCTTCTCCAACAATTTTTAGTGTTTCCTTTTGCTCCCCCTCCCCTTCCTTGCTTTTCCCGCCGCCTTTCGCGTGGCGGCTCCTGCTGATACATGTACTTTGGGATCAACACTTTGCTTCTTTTATCATCCTTTCTCTCCGCGGGAAGCATCCCGGATTTTTTTAATTTTTTTAATTTTCTTTTCTTCTCTCCCTCCTTGTTGGCCAGAAGTCGGGAACAGCACTGGCACAGCAGCACGCCGACAACCCTAGCAGCCAGCTAGCCAAGGGTGGAAAGAAGGGGGCAGAAGGCCGAAGGAGGAGGGGCGGAAGGGACATCATGGTCGGGCATCGCTGCTCCTAGATGATGATTTCCCGCCAAGTTCCAGAGCTGCAGGCCCTCCTAGCCCCATGTCTATGCCGGGCAATGGCAAGATAAAAAGAAATAATGTCGACTAGGAGAAGTATTGAAGGGCCAAGAACCCCGGCTAGGCTGGTGCTGTGTCTAATGTCTTTCTTCTCGTTGGAAGGGAAATAAGAATCAAGCTAAGCCTTGCCAATACGCGAGTTGACCTTTTCCTCCTTCATTTCTCTCATCCCCCGTCCTCATGGATGTCTACCCTGTTCGAGTCTCCCCTTGACAGAAGATGGAAGTCAAGGGCTGAAAGCGAGACTAGACCCGCACGCCTTCCAGCAAGGGCCGTCAAAGTGAAGCGGGCTAAAACCTCCATGTATGAGAAGATGTGGTCGCACCGTTCCGAAACAAGAAATAAAGGCGAGCTCCTCAAGGCTGGAGTGTATTTGATTAGTTTGCATCTTAATAGATGAAACTGTCACCAACAGCTGAATAGGTGCGACAAGGGATAGAAAAGAGGAGTAGAGTTGTGAAAACCAAAACATCCGTCACGTCCAAACCACTAATTCACCAGAAAAAGGAAAAGAAAAGAAAAGAACCAAAAGTTTCAGAAGTTCGCGGAGACGTGCATGACGAGTTCATACCGCCCAAGCCCTCTTCTTTGTGAGACGGACCCCTAAGTATGAATGTATAGATGGGTGTCATGTCGAGGCGTACGCGCAGTCTTCCTCCT